GGGGAGCAACTGGGGTGAGGGGAGGATGGTCGGGGGAGGCGGGGACGGGATGGATGTGGGGGAGGGGCGGAAGAGTGGAGGAGACGAGTTGTTGGTCAGGATGGACACGGCGCACGAGAGCAACGTGTGGAGCCTGGAATGGCATCCGTTTGGACATTTGCTGTGCAGTGGAGGCAACGATCACATGACGAGGTTTTGGCAGAGGGCCAGGTTGGGTGATTCGACCACCGCAGGAGGTGGTGATAGGGGTGCGTTCGATCCGATGAACGCCAGTTTCCTTGGTGGTGGTGCGGATGACAGTTTCATCCCTGGATTGGGCGGCAAGAGCTTCATCCCGACGCCGAACGAGCAGCTCCCAATGGCGGCTAGTGGTGGCGAGGACGACTTTGCCATTCCTGGTCTCGGCTTCGCCGGCGCTGGCGGTAATCAGTTCCCACCGCCCCCAGCCATGCCACCGCAGTACGCGGGCGCCAGCGGATTCACCCCAGGAACAGGCGCAAACGCCCCCCTCCAAGGCGCATCAGCTCAAAACTTCGGCTGGAACTCCCGCCCGCAACAGCAAACTCAACAACGACCCGGCGGAACATACGGCAACCTGTACTAGCTTTCCCCCGTGTCCTTGCTCAGCTCTTCGCCGCACTACTGCCCACACAAATCCAGCACAGTCACTGATCACATCACACTCTGTGCTCTAAGAAGCAATGCAAAGAAACATGACATTTTCAACTATAAAAAAAAAGAAAGACGTGCTTCAAACCCCATCACAAGCCCATCTTCTCTCTCCACTCGTCTTTGACGATCCAGGGCGAGTTGGGCTTCTTCTCCTTCCTCGCGTACGCCGTGATCCTCTCTGCGATGGCGTTCTTACTCGCAGGCTTGCCGAGTTGGTCGAGACGCTCCTTGACATCGTCGACGAGCCCCGCTCGGGTCTTTGTGCTTCCGTCGATGGTCTTGAGCAGAGCGGGGATGGCGTCTTCTCGCAGTTGGTGTTTGAAGCCAGTGGCTTCTTTGGTAGGAGGTGCGGTGGGAGGAGGGGTGGAGTCGGTGGAACCGGGAGCGGCGTTGGCCTCACCCCATAGCGCAGCGAGGACGCCTCCCGCAGGTAGTGCTGCTTTGCGCACCTTGGTGGGCGTGTCCATAGCGCTGGTGGGGATCGCTTCATCGCCGGCCGAGATGTCGACAGGCTCGGCGGAAGTGAATGTGAAAGGGTTGAGGCCGAAGCAGGCGTCGTTGAGGAACTCGATGCGGTACGTCGAGAAGAGCTCGTAGTCGCACTTGCCGAATTGTCCTTCCCAATGAGGGCCGGTGGAGAAGGGCACGAGTTTGGCATCGAATCGTCTGCCCAGCAGCTTGACCTTCTTCTTCTTCTTTGGGTGAAGCAGGTTCGTCGTTGTCGCTGCTGGCGGCGCTGGCGGTACGGGCAGCCCCTTGGCATCCACCTCGACAATGTCGTCGTCGACATCCATCGCAGCCAGCCTCTGCTGTTCTTCCTCCTCCTCAACCTCGAGATCGTCGACAAGCCAGTCGTCCATCTCCGAATCCTCGTCCTCATCTGCGACGCTTTCTTCCTCCTTCTCCTCTCCGTCCTGCACATCTTCGCCCTCCACCTGACCCATCTCTTCCCAGTCCGCATCCGAGTCGTACGAATAGTCCAAAGACACCGGGTCCTGGGCAAGCGGGCAGCGAGGACCGATGAGGTTCGTCGACTTGGTCCAGGTGCCGTACCAGCCGGGTCGACGGTCTGATTCGAACTGCAGGAGCTTGAGCTGAACCTTGCTGCGGTCTTGAAGAGTGTCGAGCGCCTTTTCGGCTTGCTCTTGTGCGTTGCCGCCGAGCACATCGGACTCGGTGACAATCCTCTTGATGTCGCGCACCGACACGGGAGGGTGCACGCCTTTCCTGCGGCGAGATGCAGACGAGGCGCTCGATCGTTTGAGCACGGAGGAGCGCGTGAGTAGCTGAGAAAGCATCTCATCACGAGTCAGGTCCTCTTGTCCCATCTGCGGCTCGCGGGCGGCGCCAGCGGGCGAAGCGAAGCGGTTGATGGGCGCAAGATCCTTGTACTGGCAGGGAAGGAATGTGCGTTCAAAGTCGGAGACGGTCTCGGCTGCAGCCTTTCCAGCAGCATCACTGCTCGAAGCAGCGGCAGTGCTTCCGCTCGTCTTGGTTGGACTCTTGGGCGCAGCCTTCTTGACAAAAGAGGTGAAAAAGTTGGCCTGACGCTTTTTCTGCTCCTCGACCTTCTTGAGCTCCGCCTCCTTGACCTCTTTGGCCTTTTGCTTTTCGAGGTCTTTGGCCTCGCGTTCGAGGCGCTTGGCCTCCTTTGCCTTCAAACGCTCCGCCTTGGCTGCTTCCCTCTCGTCCTTCTCCTTCTGCTTTTCGGGTGAAAGCTCGACGAGCTCCTTCGCCTTTCGCTTCTCCTTGGGCGAAGAGGATGTGGAAGGTGTCGAGGCTTCGCCTGCAGCTGCAGAGTGCTTGGCGGCGGTGGGTTGAGGGGTTGACGTGGATGACGACGTCTTGCGTTTGTGGGAAGCTTTTGGCGTTGAAGGGCCGTCACGATCGTTTTCGTTGTCGGCAAAGGAGCCATCGTCGAGGTCATCATCGATCGCGATGGGCTGAGATGCGGACGATCCGACTGCGATGGCGGCTGCTTTTGCCTTGGCTTTTGACTGGGTCGACGGCTTGTCGACAGCAACAGTGGCCGAGATCTTGGATTTGGTAGACTTGTCGAGCAAAGCCTGTCTCTCTTCTTGTTTGAGGTTGGCAAAGAGTTGCTGCGCTTGTGTGCGAGCCGCTTCTCGGTCGCTTCGACGCTCGACAATATTGTCCAGGAGATCCTCTGGGAGCATGGATTCGTCGGTGACCTCCCATCGCCAGAGCTGCAATGAAGCTGGAACAGTCAATGCATCGCCTTCGGTACTTGCTGTTGAATCACTCGAGATGTCGCTGACGTTGATGCCGTAGTTTCTCCTCTCGGCGACTGCGCTGATAGCGGCTTGGATGGCAGGAAGTGGGAGCTTGAACTTTGAGCCTGTGGAGGCCGACGACATTTCGGAGTCACTGGATCCAAGCTCTACCTCAGGGATCAGCTGGGTTCTGATCGACTTTGCAAGCTCGCCCAGAGATTTGTCGCTCTCATGGGCGAGCTTAGCGATGGCTTGCAGATGCTCTGCTGGGATTTCGTCTAGCTTGTCCACACGGTCAAGAAATTCCTGGAATGTGATGGTAGCTTTCATGACCTCCGTCATCCTCGCCCAGTTGACGGGTCTCTGCTTGAGGACGAGTTTGCCATTCTTGAGCTCGATCAAAGGCGTTGCGCTGCTGAGTTTGGCTTTCTTCGATGCTGGGCCCGAGTGCGAAGGCGGGGAAGGAGCAGCGTTTCTGGGAACGGCATTCTGCTTTTCGGGTTTGCTTGCTTTCTTGCTACTTGAATTTGTGATCGACGATGTGATGGGACGATTCTCGGCATCGCTGGAAGAGGCCATCGCGTGCGACGAGTGTGATTTGGTGACAGAGGAGGAAGCCTTGCGCTTGAGGCTGTTGCTAGCCATGGTTCGATCGATGTTGATGTCAGAATCTGAGAGCATGGCATCAAAGCACGATGAGGGCGAGGGTGAAGGAGGGGGTGCAAGAACGCTCATCGCTCAGCCGAGTGATGGTCCGTCTAGCGAGATGATCGATTGATGAGCGAGTACGAGGAAAGGACAATAAGATGCTAGAATGCCAAGGAAGAGGCACTCGATACGGCGACACAGGATGTGCTTCACCTGGTCAGGCTGACAATGTGAGGTAAACCGATCGGAGAAGCCGGCCTGGAAGCGACGATGGCTGGGCGTTTGTTGGGATCGGAGCGTTCTCCGTTGAAGCGCGATGCTGTGGGAAGGATGAGAGAGATGCGATGCTTGATGGGAATGGAACGGAAAGTGACGGAATGACAGAGTGGCGATGCTAGATGTGACAGTGTAAAACGATGAAGTGGTGTGTGTGTGTGTGTGGGTTGCTAAGCACCGCTGCGCTCGCGTGTTCTTTGCAATCATCCCGTGCCCTTCTCCATAGTGTCACATTTTTTCGCGTCACGCAACCCAGTCGAGCTTCATTTCGCCCTTCCGCCTTCATCAAACACAGACACGCATGCAGTCCAGACTTTGTCGAGCAGTGGCATGCGTTGCCTCGCCTCGCCTTGTCCTGACTTTGCAACTCTGCCTAATTGAGGCTGAGTTCGACAGCCGAAACGACGCCGCCGCCGTGCTGGATTTCGAGCAGCCAGAGAGTGGCTTGGACCCCTTTCTTCTCAAGACAGAGAGACAAGAGACGTGTAAATTGCACGCACGCGGCTCAGAGGGTGTTGCTTTTACGCGTCGCGCGACCCACAGCTCCACACGCAACCTGATTCAGCGCTCGAAAAGCAACCCGTGCGAGATGCGAATGAGGATGTTCTGCTCAGCACAGTCCGAGCCAGGCGAGAATGTCCAACACTTGCTTGCCGTCCCTCGTTGCCTTCGAGTCCATCTCAAGTTCACCACTCCTGGCCAAGCGATCCGAACCAGACGATCACTCCTGCGGACATGTTCCTGCAGCAATCATCCAAGGCTCACAGCGCCGGGCAGGCGGCTCAGAAGGAGAAGCTCGCCAGGGAGAAGGCCGCCAACCGTCCTTGGGTGGAAAAGTACCGCCCCAAGACCATCGACGATGTCGCTGCGCAGGAACACACCGTCGCCGTCCTCAAAAAGACGCTCATGTCCAACAATCTCCCACACATGCTCTTCTATGGGCCACCCGGTACAGGCAAGACATCCACCATCCTCGCACTGGCGAGACAGCTCTTCGGTCCCGAACTCCTCAAAACCCGAGTGCTCGAACTAAACGCCTCCGACGAGAGAGGTATCAGCGTCGTCAGGGAAAAGATCAAGAACTTTGCAAAATTGGCCGTGACCAACCCCAAGGAAGGCTTCCCGTGCCCGCCGTTCAAAATCATTATCCTCGACGAGGCGGATAGCATGACGCAGGATGCCCAGAGTGCGTTGAGGCGCATCATGGAGCAGTACAGCAGGATCACGAGGTTCTGCTTGGTCTGCAACTATGTCACCCGCATCATCGAACCTTTGGCCTCGAGGTGCAGCAAGTTCCGCTTCCGTTCGCTCGACACCTCGTCCACCAAAACGCGACTCGAGATGATTGCTTCCGCCGAATCCGTCTCGTTTCAGGACTCCAACGTCCTCGATACCCTCATCAGCACATCCGACGGAGACCTGCGACGGGCCATCACCTATCTGCAATCCGCCTCGCGCCTCCACAGCATTGTTGGCGACCACAAGTCCGCCGTCACCTCCGAGTCCATCGTCGAGATCGCAGGTGTCGTGCCCACCCCTGTCATCACATCCCTCGCAGATGCAGTCGGGATCGAGGCATACAACACCGATGACGACGTCGATATGCAGCCTGTCGGCGCAGCCAAGAAGCGAGATGCGTTCGAGAGGATCAGAGAGGAAGTGAGGATCATCGCAAGGGAAGGCTATTCGATCACACAGCTTCTGACGCAGCTCCACGATTATGTCATCGGCCATCCGACGCTCTTGGCCAAGATCAAGGCCAAGGCGGCGTTGCTGATGGCTGAGATGGACAAATGCTTGACGGACGGTGCCGACGAGGAGCTGCAGCTGCTCAATTTGTGTCTCAAACTGCAGGAGGTGGTCCAGACCGACGGCAAGGCGTACGTGTAGTATCGCATCGGTTTCCTCATCTATGTCCCTGCTGCCTGTCGTATTGCTTCCTGTTCTTTTGTTCGGTTTTCCTTCCTTTGCAATCATGTACTAATAGCATACTCGATCAACACTCCTTTCATTGATTATCGTCAAACTGAGTGCCAGACGACTGGTTGGCGAGAGGCAAGTCCGCGGCCATTGAAGCGGCGAATTTCAAGCGCATAAATATCAAATTTAGCTGAGGCGCACGCGAGTCACACGGACCTCCATCTGGATCCAACGCTTTCTTCTTGACACCCAACCAGTCCTTCGCTGAACCTATTTTTTACCAGTGTCTTCAACCACATCAGCGCAGGTAGCTCGGTCAGAACAACGACTCCTTCAGCATCCGGGGAAAACGATCGTACAGCCATGACTGGCTCTCACAGCCTTCCTGCCGCGGGATCTTCTCAACAAACCCAGCAATCCACCTCCGCCTTGTCCTCCAAAACCATCGTAATCAAACTCGGAACGTCCTCCATCATCTCCGAAGAGACCCAACTCCCCAAGATCGCCATACTCAGCTCTCTCGTCGAAACATGTCACAAGCTACGCTCCCTCGGCCACAAGGTCGTCATCGTGTGTTCCGGTGCCATTGGAATGGGTCGTATTCGAATGCACATCACCGAAAAGCCAAAGTCCCTCGGTGAGCGACAGGCACTCGCTGCGCTGGGTCAGCTCCGTCTCATCGCTCTCTGGGACTCGCTATTCGGTACGGTCGGGATCGACGTTGCGCAAGTACTGCTTACGAGAAACGACATTGCGGATCGTCCCCGGTACAACAACGCAAGGACGACGCTGAACACGCTCATGTCACCGCCGTTCAACGCTATCCCTATCGTGAACGAAAACGATACCGTCAGCGTGTCCGAGTTGAGGTTTGGAGATAACGATACGCTGTCCGCGATCACAGCTGGGTTGGTGGATGCGGATTTCCTTTTCCTCTGCACGGACGTGGATGGGTTGTACACCGGGAACCCAAGGAGCGACCCCAACGCACGCCGATTGGGAGTGGTCGAGGACGTAGCATCGGCGCGCAAAGCTGTTTCTGTAGCGACCATGGGATCGAGCTTCGGAACGGGCGGAATGCAGACGAAGCTCATCGCGGCGGAACTGGCGACAGCTGCAGGAGTGGCTACCGTGATCATCAACGGAGAGCATCCGGAGAACATGATCAAGGTTGTGGCAAAAGGTGTTCCTTCGGTCAGCTCTGAAAGTGCGGGTCCAAGAATGGATTCGTTGGCGTCCTCCGTATCATCACTTGCGTCGGAGGAGAAGGAGCTGATCGGTTATCCGCCATTAGACGCTCCTGCGCATACGATCTTCCTGCCGAAACCAAATCCGCTTTCGTCGAGAAAATGGAGCATCTTGCACGCACTGCATCCCGCAGGTGCGCTGATCATCGACGAAGGAGCTTTTAAGAGGATTGCGCGAACGGACTCGGGTGGCAGATTGCTTCCTGCGGGGGTGGTCGGCGTGGAAGGCAACTGGGAGAGGATGCAAGCGATCCGACTGGTGGTGAGACGAAGGATCCTTAAATCGGTCCCCCACTCTAGCGGACTCGAACAAGGTGCACCTCTTACCAACTCCGTCCCCATCGCCCGGAGTCTCGGTCAATACCTCCTACGGAACGATTCGGACGGCACAAAAACTCCTCCCGTCATCGACTCCCTCCGCAAAGACACCACCTCCTCCCTCTCCAACAGTCCATCAGCAGCAGACGTCGCGGCAGACACAACCACAACTCAAACCGCCACAGTGGACGACAGCGCCGAGGAGGACTGGGAATGGCAGCTGGTCGAAGTAGGTCGAGCACTAGCCAACTACACTTCGATCGAAAGCGAACGCATCAAGGGTCTCAAATCATCCCAGATCTCCTCCACGCTGGGATACGCAGATTCGGAATACGTCACCGATCAAGTCGCTCTACACACACTCTCCCTTCCCGACCCACACACTTCTTCATAGACATACAATGACAAATCACTCATCCAGCTGTTCCAAAACAAAAAGCATGATCAGATTTCCTTCCCCACTCCTACACTACGACATGGTAGGCATATTGACACTAGCCCTCTCGCTCAGCTGCGCATCGTCGCTCCTCCACAAGCTGGTGCTCGTCTTGAAGCTCGTGTAAAAGTTCAACGCCGACTTTCCATAAAACCCGATATCGCCCATCACGCTGCCCTTGTTTCCGCTCCACGCGAACATCGGCAGCGGCACGGGCACCGGCACGTTGACACCCAGCTGGCCTGCATTGACGGTCTTTTCAAACTTCCTCGCCGTGGCACCGTTGGTGGTGAAGATGGCGGCACCGTTTCCGTACTTGTTCTTGTTGATGTAGTCGACGGCTTGATCGAGAGTATCTGCTTTGACGACGACGAGCGTGGGACCAAAGATCTCCTGGTCGTAAGCCTTCATTCCTGGACCGGCTTCGACGATGGACGGACCGACAAAGTTTCCGTTCGGGTACTCGGGGCAGGAAAAGTCGCGACCGTCGAGGAGGATCTTGCCGCCTTCCTGCTCGACGCTACCGGTGAGCGAGCGGACACGTTCGCGTGCCTGAGGAGAGATGAGCGGACCCAGATCAGCACCCTCCTCAAACCCACCAGATACCTTGAGCTGTTTGGCACGCTCCACCAGCTCAGGCACCCACGACTGAGCCTCTCCCACAACAACTACCACCGAGAGAGCCATGCATCGTTGACCAGCAGCACCAAACGCAGCACCGGCGAGCGAGTTGAGCGCAAAGTTCTTGTTGGCATCCGGCATGAGAATGGCGTGGTTCTTGGCACCCAAGTTGGCCTGGACGCGCTTTCCGTTGGCGGTACCGCGGTTGTAGATGTGCGCACCGGCCTTGTCAGAGCCGACAAAGGAGATGGCCTTGATGCGAGGGTCGTCGCAGATGCCATTGACAATGTCGACGGCACCGTTGACGACGTTGAGCACACCCTTGGGCATACCAGCTCGCTCGCAGAGCTCGGCGATGATCATCGATGCACCAGGCACGCGCTCGGAAGGCTTCAGCACGAGCGTGTTGCCCGTAACGGTGGCCATGGGGATGGACCAGAGCGGGATCATAGCGGGGAAGTTGAACGGAGCAATGGCTGCAGTGACACCAAGAGGTTCACGACGGGCGTAGGTGTCCATATCCTTGGAAACCTCGATCCGCTCCTCCATCAAGGTGCTCGTGATACCGCAGGCGACCTCGACGACCTGAAGTCCACGAAGCACGTCACCTTTGGCATCAGCAAACGTCTTGCCCTGCTCGAGCACGATGGCGTTGGCAATGTCGTCCATGTGGTCACGAAGCAGGGCTTGCAGCTTGAACATGACCTGCTGTCGGCTCAGCAGGCTGGTGTCCCTCCAGTCGGGGAAGGCAGCCTCGGCGTTGGCGACGGCGGCATCGAACTCGGACTTTGTGGTGAGCGGTACCTTGGAAAGAAGAGCCTGGGTGGAAGGATCGTTGACGTCGAGCCACGAGGATGTGGAAGCTTCGACAAACTTGCCGTCAATGTAGTTCTTGGTGGTGCCGCCGAGCATGGAGGTTCCCTGCCATTTGGACTCGACATCCTTGGCTCGCGAGAGAGCGAGCTGGCTGAGCTGCGCCTGGGCTGCACCGGCGGAACCAGCGGCAGCAGGCTGTGCAAGCCTAGCGGTGGTGGAGGTGGATAGGCATCGTGCAAAGCCGGTGGCGTTGACGGCCTTGGACGAGGCACGGAGAAGGCTGACTGATCTCATGATGGATAACAGATGCCCTGACGAATACAAAGATGGTGGTGGTGATGACGAGAGCAAGGATAGGATTGGACGCTGAAACCGAGATCGGTGGAAGAATCGCATCGCAACGCAACGAGGAGTGTGTTTGGTGACTGTGCACTGAGCAGGTTCCTGTCACCGGCCCTTGAAGCGGCAATAGGGTCGTCCGACGCACCGGCGTGAGACGAGAGCGGGGTAAAGCCGCCCAAATTGCAAAAGTGGGGCAGCGCAGCGCGTCACGGTGTGCGAAATCCATCGACCACCAATCATTCGGCTATAATGGTCGAGCCTGTCCGACCCAAAGAGACCGAGGATCCAACCTCGTGAATTTACCGGCCTCTTTTCTCTTTGCGAAGATTTTCTTTTCAATTCCGACGACACCTTGTGCAGCTCCAAGTCAAGATAAGAACGGTCCTAATTCCGACTTCTCAGGACTGAAGTGTTCAGGGATTGGGATTCCAGCAGCGTATTGGTCCCATGTCTCGTTCTTCCTCTTGCTGATCGAGCGATCGTCAACAGCATCGGGCCGATTCGTAACGCCGCTCAAGACGCCGGTCTTTTCTGGTCCATCTGATAGGAGATGGCAACGGCTACGTTCATGAAAAGGAGATATCAAGAAAATCTGGTTGATTTGAGGACAAAGTTGGACTCGAAGGAAGATGTGGGGGACGTCAGAGACCAAAGCGAATCTGAGAGACCTGAAACGCGAGAGTGAGAACAGAAGAGGGGAAGAAAGAGACAATTACGAAGACATATTGACAAGACGAGAAAGGAGCCAACGGAGGTACCGTGAGGTCATGGGAGCAGCATTTTATGAAGCTGTGACTGAGCGATGCCCGATGATCACTTGCGCGAGGTAGGCTGGTACTGTAGCTTTGTGCTGTAAATCCTCTTCAGAGATGGCAGGTTCTCGAAAGAGGTTCATTTCGAAAGCGCCACATGAAGCCGAGCAGATTCTTTGGAAAGACTTGAAGCATCGAGCGTCGATTGTTGCATTTCATAAGCGTACAAAGGTGAAGCTCGACATGGGCCAATCTTCTGACCTAAGATGGAACGGAATGTAGCCGTCACATTTCTGCCGACATGACGTAGCTTCATGGGGGCCTGTACCGAAGCGCCAGGCTGAAAGCTTCCGCAAAGATGCCCGATGGCTACAAGGAGCCAAAAACACAATGCAAATTGACCCGATGAAGGCTTCGTGGCATGAAAGCTGTCGACAGAATAAATGCTTGAGGCACCGTATGATATGAGACTTCGTCGGAACAGCGAGGTCCTGCGCTCCTCTCTGTGCTTTCTCGATCTTCGGACCTTCTTTGGTGTGGAATTTCATCTGTGACTCTACAGAGAGGGTCATTATATCTCTTCTCCGTTCGTGCTCGGGTTCTATTGGAGCCGGAATGGTGAATACACCTGCCGAGAAAGACCTTTGGTGACGTCTGTCGATGCCGACCACGAAATAAATGTGACGCGAGTGTTGAATCGGCAACGGACTCGAGTGATTGGAAAATCAAAGCAAGAGAGATCACTTTCCGCAGCCACCTGAGGGAACAGGGAAAAGAAATAAAAAAATCATGAAAACTCGTGCCTTTCTGTTGAGAGAGAGCGGACTCGAGACTTGTTCCCTTTTTGGACATATTTGTCGTTTCTTCCTCACCGACATCATCATCGGACGCGCCGGCAAGAACCCGCTTCGATATCGACGCACACAGTGAGTGTCCACCGTGCCTACGATGTAGTGCATCCGACTCTTCCATTCACAGGATGAGAAACACTTTCACAGACCTGATCCGATATACCTCTGAGCCGAATCAGCTCAGAGGGTCAGAGGACAACCACTTTATTGCCTATTTTTGGCTGATCACATGGAAGAGACAACACTATTGATCGACTTCGATTGCATTTCGGATCCATTTGCTGACCGGTTTTCGATGCTCTTGTCTTTGCACCACAGATTCCAGATGCTTGGACTGTCCTCTTCAGCAACTTCGTGTCATCCGCGTACCGGCTCCAGGTCGTGGTAGATCGACATCGCCGAGATGTCACATTTTGAAGTTACAAACACCAACAACGCCCCTATGAACGCAGCATATGACGTTGCCGGCATCGACAGCTTGCTCGTCTTTTGGCCAGAAAAGCTCGTTGACCTGTCCCACCGCGTTTCTGCTCCTGGCAACGTCAATGCACGCAAGACTGCTGACGATGCGAGTCTGCTCGTCGGCGAGGTCATTCGCGGCCATTCCCATGAGGCGGCCGTTGTCGTCGTCGGGCAGGTCCAAGACTTTGACGCCGACTATGTCTCACACGAGGTCAAGCCGATTGGGCTCTCGGTCGTCGGACGCATCTCATTTCCCGGATCTTCAAGCGGTATGCGCAGTCGTGCTTCGATTAAGCTTCAAGACGGGTCGGTATGGCTGTCTATGCTCAGGTCTCGCTCACAAGGTCATCCGCCGGCGGTCGAATCGGTTCTGTTTGCCGGAGAGGTCCTTTCCAACGGTCACGCCAATGATGACTACGCGTCCTCTCAACCCGCGTCGTGCGGCGTCAAAGTGATTGCTTACAGCGTGCCAAATGCGCGAATGCTTCAGTACTTTGCCCTCGAGTCGCTTCGCCTTGCTCCTGTCTCGGGCATGAAGCTGGTCTCGACCGCGAGTGCCCTGCTCGTGCCGGATGTACAGCTGTCGGCCTACTCGCGACTTCTTGCTACCAACGCTGCGCCATCGAAGCTCGAGAACAAATTTCTGCAACTGCTCATGTTGGATCCACTTCTTTGGCAATCTTTTCGGAGCGTCAGCCCACATCAGAGGCAGCTGCATCGAGGCACAGCTTTGCGCAGAGCGGTCGAGCTAATCAATCGGCTTTCAGCGCAGCACGCTCGTCTTGCTGCTTCACCGGCACTCAAGAACATCAACGGCGCTTCAAATGGTGTCTTATCTAGACCACAGAGCGACAGTCGCCCCGGCTTGCTCGCACGACTTTGCGACTCGGTGACGTTGTTGGCTCTAGCTCTGCAAGGTGTACTGCAGCGTCCGCTCTACACTGCGAGGGAGCACACTGTCATGATTGATGGTGTGGTGAGACGACGGCCCGGCTCAAAGCCTACCAGTTTCAGCTTGACGAGCGTGTCGGCGAGCGCGCGGCAACTCGACGTGCGCATCTCGCAGCTGGTCGTCGCTCCTCGACTGGCGTCGCGACTGCGCTACCTGCGGAAACAGCAAAAGCTACCGATCGACGAGATTGCTGCACCCTACATTGGACTGTGGAACGCGGTTTGGCTGATCGCCAACGACATCATCCTCGGATACGCAGCCAGCGTGCTACTCCTTCAATATCGGACAGAGCTTGCGCAGCTGTCGCGCAGCCTGTCGGAGCGGTACCTGTTAGAGTCGGTCTTGTGGCTGCTGTCGTGGCTCGAGAATTGGCCGGCTGGCTTGAAGCTCAATACGGAGCTGTCTTTGTTCTTCAGCGACGCCTACTCTTCGCTTACGATGGCGTGGCATGCTCAAGGGTTGGCACATGTTGTTGCACGATTGGACACTGTCATCGCTGCCATAGCGCTAACAGGCCGCTTCATGGGAGTGACCATGGTGCTGTGCATGGTGCAAGATCTGGTCTCGGTCTGCACGCTGCACATCACGATCTTCTACACCTTGTCCTTCAGAACGATGCGTGCGTTTGTATACGTGCTGTCTTCCCTCTTCGATGTTTTCCGAGGCAAGAAGCGCAACGCACTGCGCGGTGGTCGACTGGACAATGCAAGCTACGAGCTGGATCAGTTGCTGCTCGGAACGCTGTTGTTTACGCTGGTGGCGTTCCTGTTCCCCACCGTCTATGTCTACTACCTGGCATTTGGACTGCTCCGGTTTGGAGTGGTAGCCTTCGAAGCTGGCGTGGTGGAGACGTGCTTGGCACTGCTCAACCACCTACCCTTGTTTGCACTCATGTTACGAGTCAAGGATCCACATCGCCTGCCGTCCGGTGTATGGCTGCAGAAGATCAAAGCGCCAGCGGAGGAAGATGCATACGGAGATGCGCATACCTTGCCCACGGGTCGGTTCCGACTGCGCTGTCGGCCCCTAGCAGTGGGTGACATTTTCGAAGGTTACGCCCAGCATGTTGCTGGCCTCTTTGAAGTTCCGAGCATGCTTCTGCGATGTATCTTTGGCCGCTCACTTCGGCCACCGCCCTCTTAACCGTAGAAGTAGAGTCAATCGAAGTCTGCATTTTACCATCATCGACGTCTGAAGCGAGTTTGTATGCTTCGTCTTGCAATCTTGGTAGGTAGGTGGACAGCAGCGCGCGACTCGCTTTCGGAAGTTGTACCGGGAAAAAGGCGGTCGAGGGAGAAGGGCGAGAGGGCACGCGAGCCGAATCTCGTCTCAGAGCTTGGTTTCAGCGATTGCGGCTGATGCAGGGCCTGACGGAATTGAAGAAATCGAAATTCATTTTGCCCTTCTCCGTCTCGAGGCGCGTTTGCAAAGCGAGGTTGAGCTCCGCTAGGCGTACCTCCGCACAGGGTGACTGACTCTGCTGCCGTGCTGCAGACTCGCATGATGGCGAAATCTGCAGGGCGCCTGCGTCAGCGTCACACAAGAGTCACAGTCACACGCTCAAGTGGGCAACCGCAGTGTGGAGTTTCGTTCTTGTGAAGACATCACCGTATCGTCTCTTGCAACATCGCTTTGGCTTCCGTGTCTCTTGCCCTTCTACCTTGTCTCCTGAACAACGATCGGTGCGACCAGACAGATTCGCAGCCCACCGGTCGTCTCGAACTTCATTCTCTGGATTCTTATCGCACCAGGCGCCGTGGGTTTTTTCCGATACCTCTTAGTCTCCTTCTGGAATCAGCGTTCAGTCCAACACACTCTGGCAAGCAAGCAAGCAAGCAACTGGCTTGATCTGTCGTGACAATTTCTTCGGCCTGAAGCAGCTCAGCCAGATCCATTCGACGTAGACTCGTTTCACCTGGATCAGATACTACCTTCGTCGACCTTTGCAGCGATCGGACCGTCGGATCGCAGCTGCTCGACAACAGTTCAATCTGTCGGATCGAGCCGATTCGAAGCCTGCGTTCGGCCGCCCTCTTCCGAGCTTTCTATCAACGGCATGCTCCAAGACTCTCTCCATCGATCCGCACTTTGACACGCTGAGCAAAGCGCATATCCGCCATGACACCTGGACCTTCCTTCACCGTGCCCAGCACACTCAGCCCGCCTCCCGCTGCTCCTGCCGAGTCGCATCCTATCACATCGGCATCCTCTGCATCTGTCGCCGCGCCGAATCAACAGAATGCAAACATTGAGCCGCTCAACAGCAGCAACACTGATGCTGTTCACGACACCAGCGCTGGGCCGAGCAGCAACAGCGGCTTGAGGCGATCAGATCCCGTCGCGCCTGTTCAGCCCAAGCATTGTGCCCACTGTGGCCTGCTGCTTGAGGCCGCTCCGTCGTCCCATGATCGTCATCCGGGCCTCCCTCGCACATCGTCGTCTGCATCCATCTCGGCTCCCAGCCCATCGTCGTACGCTTTTGCGCCAGACTCGATTCGCTCGCAACATCGCCTTCAGCCGCATCAGAGCCTCACCTCTGCCATAAATGCGGCTGCCGTGGTAGCTCTCTCCCGCATCCTCGGCAGCGACGAGCCGGTTCCCACCGATGCAGACGGCCACGCAATCTGCGCGCAGTGTGCTGATCAACTCGCGGGTTCAGCGACGTCCTCTGCAACCACCGTCACCCAGCAACGCCAGAGTCGTCCAGCAAGCCACGCAATCGAACACAGCAACCTGCAGTCAGGATCTGCCACTGCCACTCCCGCCAACGCTCCATCCATTGCAGACGATACCTCCAGAGATGCACCTCAGACTCGTCTCACGATCTCAGTGGACAACATGGGGGCAGGTGGCGATGCTGCTATGACCCAGTCAGTCGACGATGTCCACATGCAGGACCCTTCCAGCTTCCCGCCTCTGGAGCGCGCACCCATCACTCCAGCTTTGAGAGCGCCGCCTTCGCCTTCGGGTGCTGGGCGCTCCACAAGCCGTGGCAGAATCCGTTTCGCCGACACGCCCGAGTCTCACGCAGCCGATGCGCACGAACAGGGCCATGCTCGAACTTCGGTCACGTCCTCTTCGGTCCTGGGCAGATCAGGCAGCTTTTCGAGGAGCCTCAGCTACAACGGTCCAGAGAGTGTAAGCTCATCCTCTGCCCCTGTCGTGGTCAGCTTCCCCGCGTCCCTCGCAGCTACTCCTGCATCCGAGGACGCTCCGTCGTCGAGCATCCAGAGCACTCACCCTCTTGCACCTTCTGCATCTTCATCTGCTCTCACCTCGAATCCACAGCCGAGGTCACGAAGCAGCAGCAACGTCCGCGCGTCCGGGGCCTTGCAATCTCACGTGGTCTCGCCACCGACAGCCATTGGACTCAAGCAACGTCGGCCGTCTTCTGCGCGTCGTCTGAGTCGTTCGAGCTCTTCGACAGGTCCAACCACCATATCCTTCGCCGCCGCCGGTAGCTCTGCCGAAGCAGCAGCAGTCTCGAGCTCTTTGTCCAAGAACGATGATCCCTTCGGACCAGGAGCAGTCACACGTCCAAGGCTCAGCGACGTCCCCACACACATTATCGCCGACGAGCTATACAACTCGGCGAGGCACACGCGACCAGCATCACTCATATCGGGTTCCACATCGACATCGCTCGCTGCATCGTCCGCTCAGCAAGCCGCCGGGATCGACCCAACTAGAGCTGTGCGATATCACTTGGATCCGCTCGCCTTTCCCGAACCTGCACCGACGTTTGCGCGCTCAGCCGATGGCAAGAAGCGCGAGGACGAAGCGGTCGGTATGGACATTGACGACGACAGGGTGTCGCACGGTCTCGCCGCCAAGTGGGGTGACGTGCGTTGGTTCGATCCGTACAAACCTGATCCGCTCGCCGAGCTGTCACGCCTGCGCAATCCACCTAGAGGTAGAGGATGCCTCTACCCAGGTGCCACGTTTAACGGCACGCAGAAGTCCGGTCGCAACTCGTACGACGTCACCGTGCGCGTCGTCAACGTCGACCTGGAAGCGTCGCACCTCTGCGGCTACCTCAACATCCGCGGACTCACCGAGGACTGGCCGGAGCTCACCACGTACTTTGACGCCGAGATCATCGGCGATCGCTACGGTTTCGTCACGGGCAAGTGGGGTGCGACCGAAGCGGATGATCTGAAGCACTGGGCCCGGTTCGCGCCGTTCCGACCGCTCAGGTCGGCGTTGTCGAAACCGGGATTGAGGTTCAACCATATGAACAAGCCGTTTGTGTTTATGCGATGGAAGGAGAAGTTCTTGGTACCGGATCACAGGGTGAGGGATATCAACGGTGCTAGTTTTGCCGGATTTTATTACGTTTGTGTGGAGTTGGGGGAGAGTGCGGGACGAGAGGGGAGGGGGAGGAGGGATAGCGATGTTTCGATGACGAGTGGAAATGGAGCAGGGGGACTGTCGAATGCGAGTTCGCCGGTTCTGAACCAGGCTTCGAACGTCATCGGTGGACCCGCGGTGTCCGGTCAACAGTGGTACGCAGCACGAACGCAGCGTCGACGAGAACTGTCGCTCTCCTCGCCCACGAGCAACCCGGTTGCGTCGACGCAGACGTACTACCATCCGATCTATCACCCGCACTCACCGCTTCCACCGTCGGGACCTGGATTCTGGCCTGCTTCTCCCACCAGTCCACAAATGCCCTTCGGAGGTGCTGGTGAAGGAGGAAGGGAAGATGCATTTGCGACTATGTTCGGTGAAGCAAGAGCAGGAGCGGGGATGGTGGTGGAAGACGATCTGGGTGCGATGGGGAGGATGTCCGGATTCTACTTTCATGAGAACTCGGAACCGTACCAGCAGCTGAGCCTGCATCATACGGCGGAAGCTAGTTCGAGCGGCTTCGAGATGCGCTAACTCCTTTCCACCAGGTCGCACTTTACTCGATCTTGGGGGGAACATCGTCGTCCTTACACGCGTAAGCCACACTCCTCTCCACGAATGTTTCGACAGTACGAGCGTGTTGGGTATTAGAAATGTCGATAAAGCTACACTACAGAAAAAACAAGAAAGCGGAAGAAGCGCAACTCAGTGCGTGCGCGCAAGTGTGTATTTCACTCTGCCGCTTTCCAAAGTTGATCGGCAAGGATGAGGGGAGAGATCTCGTTCTGCTTGAGATGACTTGTAGCGATGTCGAACTGGATGGCTGTGTTTCTGGTGTCGCTGCGGACGAGGATGCTGGACCATTCTGCGGAGGCGGAATCTTGGGTTTTCGACGGGAGGAATCCTAGACTTCGGAAGATTCTCAAGCACAACCTGTGGACCGATAAAGTGGGAAGAAGGGGGAGGGGATGGATTCAGTAATCAGAACTTTGATCGGAAACCCAGGGTGGGAGCGGGCGGTGGAAGGAACTTACGCATCACGATCCATCTCGGTCTCATCTTCCACATCCACCTCTTCCAACTCCTCCGACAGTCTCTTCAACTCGATCACTTGATTCTGCATGCCGCTGAGCACGCTCTCCTGTTCGTTGATTTTTTTGGCCAGATCGAAGTTCCTGTTGTCGAGCTTTTCGATGGTTTCGGCGTGCGAGGCGAGAGATCTCCACTCCGCGGCTTGTCGTGTGGACTGCTTGCGCAGGTCCGCGAGGGCGGATTGAAGGGCGTGAATCTTGGCAGTGTGCTCTTCGGTCTCTTTGCGACGTCGAATTTGGGTTTCCCGGATGGTCTTTTCGATAGATCGGAGATGGTCCAGTTCGGAGGTCGGGGAGAGCGAGGCGATGAGAGAGTCGATGTCGTCGTCGGTCAGCCGGGCATCGTCGTGTGGGGTTGGTTCTACCGTGGTAGGGGGTGTGAGGGGGGCTGAGGAGGATGGTGGTGGCATGAGCGCTGCCGAATCGTCTCGTGGTGCTGCTACGGATGCCGACATGGTGTGATCGCAAGGGTGGTGAAAGAGATAAGAAGCGAGCGGGTGTACGTGTACGAAACGAGGAATGCTTCCTGCGGTGTGGTGCTTGCGATGGATGAGCTAGACTGAGGAATCTTCGAGGTGTACCCCAGGGTGGGTCTCGTGACAGGAGAGATCGGTGGGCCTGTTCGAGTGCGATGATGTGCAAAGCTGATGGACGATGACTCCGAGATGATGGTGGAAATAAAGAATGATGATCCTGTCCCTGCATGCATGCAGTTTCTCCAAGTGTTGATTGTCACTCTCACCACCAAAAAAAAGTGTTGGTTCAACACGCGCGCGCCATTTTGTTTTCTCTAGGGCCGAGCTTGAGCAAGGTCTAACATTTCTTGCTACGCGTTTTTAGCCTCTGCACGTGATGCACGAATGCGGCTTTTTCCGCCATCTAGTGCGCCTTTCCGCAGATGCGCGTCGTGCATATTCTACGAATCTCTCCACATTCAGGTCATCCGGCGGTAATCTACTTTTGCCCCTCCTCGATCCCTTCTTTCCTCTTTTCTTTCATCCACTTCGCAAGCACATCGAACGATTTCATCATGCCACCCAAGACGGCCGTCAGGGCAAGCGCCTCCCAAGATCCACTTCCAGATCACTGGGTAAGCTCATCCCTCCCTGCTCGCGGCCTCCTGAAACCACCCACTAACTCCTTCTCTTTCTCTGTCCTCATCAGTACATCTTCTTCGGAATCCTCGAACCGATCTCCGTCCTCGCCGGCGCCTACTACGCCCTCATTCTCCCCGAACGATACAACCACGAACTCATCCCACCCGCATTCTTCCCCGCCTCCACGCTCCAGAACTCGCTCCGGCAAGCGGGCGTTCTCACCGATGCAACTCGAATGGCACTGGGCCAACTCGGCAGCTGTTATTTCCTGATCATGCTTAACTCCGCCCTGATGTTCTACGCTCTGAGGAAGTATCTGAGGGGAAAGGATGATGTGGTGTTGGAAAAGGTGGTGAGGTATTTGATCGTGGTGTTGGGCGCAGCTGATTGGATGCACATTGGGATTACGATTGCATTGCTGCCGAATGGGCCGCCGACGAGGACTGGGTTGGTGGCGGTGAGCAAGGCTGGGTTGTTGGACAAGTTCGGGTTGCTCGCGAGACCGGGGAGCTGGAACAGTCTGGTAGGTACTTGTAACTGATCGGAAGGGGAAATAGGCTTGTTCTACTGACACTTTTCGCACTTTCATCTCAACCCAACGAAACAGCTTTTCGGTAACATCATCATCACTCTCATCCTGTTCTGCGTAAGTACCCCGATCCCTTCGTTCGAATCCTCGAGGGGAAACGGTTCCAGGCTGACATCCGCCCCTTTCGCTCTATCGAAATAGTTCCGAGTCCTCTGGTGGATCGGCGTAGCGCGTGGTAGTCCGATCGCTGCCAAATTTCGATCTAAGACTGCCTAAAACCCTCTTCTCTCATACACACATCTCCACGCACATGAACCGTCACTCTTCAATAGGAAAAGCTGTATCAATCGGAAATGTCATTGCTGCGGCCACCTAACGTCCGTTTGGCCTGTCCAATCCAACCTTGCCATCCGAGTGTCTTCTGGTCGGCAAACCCGCCGCCTCAACATATGACCTCTCCTCCGTCGCAAAACCCGGTGACGGCGGAGTTGAACTAGACCTCGACCTGGCGGCGATCAAACCTTGGACCTGATCGATTCGATGAAACGGAGGGTCCCCAAGTTGCGAATGCGGGAAAAATGCTGGACGATTCTGTGCTGATGATGCTGTGGGGTCGAACGAGATGGTTCTTGCTAGTGGAGACGACGATGCTGGCGTATGCTGTGTGCTGAGGCTCTGACGAGAACTTCGTCGGGCGGCGAGAAGGGTTGATGCTGAGGGAAACACGCCTGGTGAAACGGCCGAGGCGTTGGTGACGAGTGAGACTGCTGAAGGGTATGATGGTGCTGAAAGGGGTGATGGTGAACGTGGGTATCTGGTGTCTGTGACGAGAGGTGATAGGAGGTTTGATGGGATTGGAGAGGGCCGTTGCAATGCTGAATTCGAGGGAAATGTTGAGGTGGTGGGGAAGAAGGATGTGAGGACCGTCGGCGAAGGCGATGCGGTAGGTGAATCCACCTGCATGGCCTGAAACGTGGATTGCACGTCGAGATCCATTTCAACGTCCGAGTCCAGCTGGACGAGTGTCGAAGACGCCGCAGCAGATGTCGGAGATAGCGAGGTCGACGTCGTGTTCACTCGAAGGGGGTCTTGAACGTTGAATAAGGATGGAGGTTCCGCCTGCGCTGCAGTCTGGATCCGCAAGTGGTGTCTGTGCCTTAACGCGCCCGACGGCGAAGACGGCGTTGCCTGATAAAGTGGTGAGCCAGGAGATTGACTTCTCGTCCTTGCCAAGCCTAAATCCGAAACGTAGCTGCCCAGTCGTAGTCGGAACATGGGAGGAGCTCGATCGCCCTCTTCTTCCGATCCCGAGGCTATTCCGCTCGACAGTGTACTGTGACGCCTGCGCTTCCTTGTCGCGCCTACACCTACATTCGTCAAGGCTGCTGGTGCACTACTACCACCCGCGTTATTGCCACTGCCTTTGACTCCCCCACTACTGGAACTAGATCCGCTGCTGCTGCTCCTTCTGTTTGTCCTCCCCAACCTGAATCGCGCCGACGTCGAAGCAGCACCGCCAAGAGGCGGCGTGGTCGAGCTGCTCTCCGCAGCGCCGATGGAAGGCGTGGCTGCAGCACAGCCCGCATTCATTGTGTGACTGTCCCTCACCCGTGTACCTCTGTGCTCCGTCCCCGTTGCCGAGTTGGGATGAAGGACGAGAGAGAGAAGCAAACCAAGCTGACATCCGTCATTCTTTGTGGCGCAGGACGGTCCGTGCTCTGACCAACACCAAAAAAAAACCTGGACAGGTGGAGGCTTGCCTCTCGGTCTAACATTTCGTTTCTCTTCGAACTGCCTGTGTTGAAGACGCAGCGGAAAAGGCCACGGACATCGGCAAAGCTGTCTTTCCTGTCAGTCTCACCCCAAGCCGCGGCATCGCCGTCACAATCGGTTGGCTTACAAGTGCCAGCAGCGGCGTTCGTTGGTCCCGCGGAATGTGTTTGTCAATGCTGTACGGCAACGCAGTCAGAAAGCCAGCCACGATACGGCTGGTCGGAAAGCTCGAGTCTGCCGAGACAGATACTAGCGATTCGAAAGCGCTATCTGATTGTTCTAGTGACTGCCGAGGCCGTGAACTCTGCTCTTGACAAGTCCGCGGCCCTGGGATGCTTGGCTCAGCCTTCAAAAGACACTCGGACCACGTCGATGGTGCGACCTCCCGCGGCGCATGTGGTAATCCGAACACTTGGTTCCAATTCCGGTCAGGCACAGCTGTAAAGCGTTCCGCCGGAAGTCAGTGTGCCTCCCGTAGATCCTTCTTTCTTGGTGAAGCAGAAGTGTTCTCAGCCAAGTCGCTGTGATCATGCAGCGATGCGGTGACGCTTCAGGGTCCCAAGACCAAATGTCTCCGCCTTTATAAAGCAGCCTCGTTTCGCATCATGGTCGAGTGACGGATCTTCGTCTCAACCCATTCTCTTCTGCCCTCCATCCACTGCGCCTACCCAATTCAGCGTCAATCACTCGAACTCTACGCCCCAACATGCGCGTCCTCGTCAGTGGAGCCGGTATCGCCGGTCCCACGCTCGCATATTTCCTCTCTCACGCGGGCTTCCGCGTCACCGTCGTCGAGAAGGCCAACTCGATGTTGGCACAAGGTCAGAACATCGACATGTGCGGAACTGCGCTCAACATCGTCAACAAGATGAACCTGCTCGAAGAAGTTCGCAAGCACAACACGACCGAAAAGGGATTCTGCCTCATCGACCGTCACGGTCGGCCTTTTGCAAGGATGCCGGTCAACGGATCTGCTGGAAGTCCCAGTAGCGAATTTGAGATCTTGCGTAGTGATCTTGCCGATGTGATCTACAAGGCGGTGGAGAAGCTGGATAACGTCGAGTTTCGGTTTGGGACGACGGTGAGCAAGGTATTGGAGAATGGGGTGGACAAGGTCCGAGTGGAGTTGAGCTCGGGTGCAGAGGAAGAGTACGATATCTTGGTTGCTGCGGATGGTCAATGGTCGAGGTTGAGGAAGGAAGTATTCGGAGAACAAGCCGTGACGGTACGGGATATGAATTGTCTCGTCATCTACGCTACCATTCCCCGAACTGATCAAGACGGCGACTACTGGGAGATCTTCTCCGACCTGAAGCGTCGAAACGTTCACATTCGTCCCGACAATCACGGAACCACGCGAGCATGTCTTACCATCATGCCTCGAACCGATCAGCAGAAACAATCCTGGTTCGCAGCTGCTCGAAGTCACGATCGCAAACTTCAAATGGATCTGCTTCGAAGCGAATTCAACGATGTCGGATGGAAGGCTCGTCGCATCTTGGACGGTATGGAAGTAGCCGACGATCTATACTTCCAAGCGACCCAGCAGATCCGCATGGACAAGTGGCACAAGAATCGTGTCATCTGTCTAGGAGATACAGCCTACGCTCCGACACCATTTACCGGCATGGGCGCTTCCCTCGCTATCGACGGAGCCTACCTCCTCGCCGGCCACCTGTCCAAGCTAAAATCAGGCCAACATCCGTCAAGCGCTTTCGAGGAATACGAGGCGCAATTCCGTCCGTTCGTCAAAGAAATTCAGAACGTGCCCTGGTTCATCCCCGGCATAGCCCATCCGACACACGAATGGCAGAGGTGGTTGTTTCAATCCTTCGTAGCTGCAGTAGCTTTTGTGCTCACAAGACCACGTATAGCACGGTGGGCGGCGACCAAGGGCAAGAAGGTGCAAGAGGGACTGGTCGATATTCCAGACGCGCCTTTCCCGCAGTTTGCCGCCTTCGAACAAGCCAATGAAATCAAGGTTTGAATGGATGCTCGCACGAACCTCACTTGTCAATACATAACCCACGATACCCTTTCAATGACATGGGATCAAGATTGCATTATAGAAGCCGATCGTGTTGTTACAAAAGCTTTGAGGGTCGGACGAGGAAGGACAGGACAATTGACAATGACATGAGGCTGAGAGCACCGTGCTAATCAGCGGAAACCTGGTTGCGAGAGCGAGACGACAAGACGAGAGAGACTGGTACCTAGTTGACCGCGGATCCGCGACGACTGCGGTCCTTAACCTCGACGCAGACGGTGCCACCCATTCCGTCAGGGAAGCACAGGTGACGTTTCGCAGGTGGCGCGGCGGGTGCAGCGGTGGATGCGCTGCTGTTCGTCTGCTGTGCAGGGGGATTTGTGGACCACGAAGGCAACGATTCGGATGCAGGCGACGCAACAGCGCTGCCGGTACGTTTTGAGAGCTCGGCAGCACCGGCGAGCGTGGCAGGAGGTGAGGAGCTCAAGGTCGGAGACGCCGAAGTGAAGCCAAAGGCACTAAGGGCAGAGAGACGACCGCTGCTGGAGAATGCTCCGCCGAAGCTGGTGCGACGCGGAGGCTGGGAAAGCAAGGCGTTCGTGACAGGATGCGACGCGGTCTCCGAGTTGTGTGCGGCGTTGGTGTTGTTGGTAGGGGCGAAGAAGAATTGGGGAAGCAGAAACGAATTGCTGCGCTGCGTCTGGGATGCAGATTGCTGCGACGAATGTTCCGGTGAGGATCGTCCGGATGAAGAGGCCATGGAAGACGAAGAGGGTGATGTCGAGTACATTGCGGGCACCTGTGACCGAAGGAGAGATGCGGTGGTGGATGTGTCGTAGTCCGTGACTTCGAGTGGGGATCCGATCCGGCGCAGTGGGTATGTGGCGATGTGAGGGGATGGGTGTTGTTCTGATGAGAAGCGTGTGAGACGATGGTAATGGGAATGAACAAAGCCTGGCGAAGGTGGAGTGGCAAGGATGGGATGGAGGCAGGCCACGATGGTCACAGGGCCAGCAGGAGTCATATGGGAGTAACATCCCTCACAACGTCACGCCGGTCAGCTGAACATGTCGAACGAAACGTATTCGGCGGAAACGTCAGCAGGCGCATCTCTCCTGCAGCTGCACGTTGCCCTCGCGCCTCATTTTGGCTCAAATTTTGAGATTTTTTGGTGCGATTCCGTGTCCTCGGGTAGCGCCCGTGTCTATTTCGCGGATGTCTCCGTCTGTTCGCTAAATACAACTGTGATGCTCACTGCTCGACGGCTATCGAGGCTTTGGACGGAAATCGAGACTTGAGCTTAGCCATGTTTTACCGGCCAAAAGCGTTGAAGGCATGCAACAGCTTGCTCGTCACCTTCGGCCAACATGCCAGTCTGTAAGGTGAACAGACCCCGAAAGCCCTCGCACCCGCCGCCGCCCTCTACCCGCAACCCACGATGCTCGTCAACAGAGGTGCAAGCGCTTCCCCAAAGAGCCGGACTCATTCCAGTTCAGGACCACAAGATCTTGATGATCTATCGGGCCTCGATTACGTCATCCTAGACAACACCACCACCTGAATCTAACAAGAGTCTTCCCCCGTGTTAAATCACGTGGCGCCTTGCGACACGCGTTGACGCAGTGTGGTGGTCCAGGGTCCAACGAAGCTCGCCAAATTCGGCCTCAGCTTTCAGCACGAATTGGCGGCGAGGGCTCGAGGGCTCAGTTCGAAGTGTGTGGCACAGGACGGAATACATTCGCAATGATGCAACGTCATCTTCCTTTTCTTCTCGCCACCACGACAAGACTCGCTTCCTTATCCCTGGCTTTGATCTCGGCTCGCTCTGTCTGAATTCACAGGCACGACAGGCGCAAAGCTTTCGCCATGGTCGAACGCGACGAATACCTACGTGAGGACTTCGACCCCAACACGCTCACTATGCCGCAGCTTCGAAGCATCCTGGTCGAGCATGATGTTCCATTCAGCAGCGTCGCTAGGAAAGCCGATCTCGTGGATCACTTTACCGACAGCGTCCTGCCAAAGCTGTCCTCTCTCCGCCAGAAGAACGCGTCCATCGTCGCCAGCTCGAGCGGAATCATCGATATGCGCGAACAGTCCACCCCGGACCAGACTCCCGCCAAACGCAAGCCAGGTCGTCCCAGGAAAAGTGAAGCTCCGACTCCGTCCGCTTCTGCACCCAAGACTCCTGCAAAGACACCCGCCAAAGGGCGAACACCTGCTCGCAAGAAGTCGTCGCTGGTCAAGGAGCTCGTTTCGTCCGCCGAAAGCGAGGCTGAACCCGACACCAAAGACGTCAAGTCCGAGCCCGAGGAGGCTGAAGTCCCCGTCAAGAGGAAGCCAGGCCGACCTCGCAAGACAGCTCCTGCAGTTGTGTCCGCTCCCGCCGAGGATCCAGAGCCCGAAGACAACGCATCTCCTCGTCGCGTTTCTTTTGATCCGAAAACATCTCAGCCCGCATCTGCTTCACGAAAGGTTGGACGCCTTAGCCTTGGCGCTAGGAGCGACGACGACGGCACTTTTTCCGACAGCAACCCCTTCCAGTCCGGCAGCGAGGCCTCGCCCGCCACGGGACCAGCGGCCAAGGCAGCTGCCTCGGCACGCAAGGCACGCCGCAAGACCACCGATGGCAGCTCGCTGCTGCGCAAAAAGACGTCCGCCTCGTCGCTTGCTAGCGGCTCACCTCCCAAGCCCAAGCAAGCCCAGAAATCCAGCCCGAGCGTCAGCTCAACACTACGCAACTACATGGATCAGGCGGTAGCAGCCACCACGCCTCCGCGCATCATCGGCCGTCTCACTGGTACAACCTCGGCAAATTCGACGGGAGGACACGCCGCAGACGACGAAGGCACGGTCAGACACGCCAGACCCATGTCGACTGACGCAGCTGACGATGCGGATGAGGACGATCTCGACCTCGAGACGTTCACCTCTCCCTCGGCACTCGCCAAGATGCGCCACCTCCGACGCAAGCGCGATCAGCAACGACGTCGAGAGCAGCGCTCGGGCAAGTCGTTTGTCGACTACCTGCTCAAATCTGCGCTGATTGTCGCAGCCGTCAGCGTTCTGGCCTGGACTGTTTGGTATGCCAAAGAGACGCGCGCGCTTGGGTTCTGCGACGCTGGCTCCGACACCAACTCGATCGTGGAGGATCGACGTCTCACCGCTCGTGCCTTTGCTCAAGCCAACAACGAGACGCTGGAGGATCTGAACGTCCTCCCTGACCGTCTGCAGCCTGCATGCACGCCGTGTCCGCCGCACGCCAACTGTGCGTATGGCAAGGTGCTCGGCTGCACCTCGGACGACTGGGTCCTGCAGCCCAACATCCGTTCGCACGTCCCACTCGCCGACTGGGTGCTCCCGCTCAGCATGACCGCTCCGAGCTGCTATCCCGACACGCAGAAGCTCGTGCTCGCATCCGAGCTCGCTCAAGGCATCTCACACATGCTCGCCGAGTTCAAAGGCGAGATCGTCTGCGGAACGCAAAAGACGCACGCGACGGTGCGTAGGCTACCGAAGAAACTTGTGAGCTCGGATGGGAATCTGACGTATGCGATTGCAGAGGCGGCGGTCAAGAGGTCCATGTCGGCGACGAGGGATACGAGGGTGGATGAGGAGTACTTCGAACAGATTTGGTATATGGCCTTGTTCGAGTTGACCGATCCGAGGAGCAATGTTGTAAGGATTGGGGTTGGGAACGGGACTGTGGGGGAGAGGAATGGAGGGGAAGGGGTGTGGTATTTGGCTGCGAAGGAGGCCAAATTGTCGATGTCGTGTGCGACGAGGTTGATGGTCAAGGGGTGGGTTTTGAGGGCTCGGATGTATTTCGGCTTGGTAGCGGCTGGGTTGGTTGGGTTTTGGTATACGAGGTATCGGTTGGCTGCGGCCAGAGCCGAGAGTGGCAAAGTGGCAGTACTGGTGCAGGCAGCGTTGGAGAAGTTGCAACTGCAAGAGTACCTGCATGGACGAGACCCTGTTCTTCATCCGGACGAGTTCATCCCACTCTCTCATCTCAGAGATGATATCTTGAGGGAAGAGCATCATGCGACTACGAGGAATAGGTTGTGGAAAAAAGTGGCAAAAGTGGTGGAGGAGAACTCGAACGTTAGGACTAGGCAGGCGCAGAAGAAGGGCGAGTGGTTGAGGGTTTGGCAGTGGGTCGGGATGGATGGTTATAGAGCGGGGGCGGGGGAGTTGGTGGCAGATGAGAGCTTGCCCGTTGCGCAGAAAAGGTTGCGAGACGGATGATTGGACACATTTCACTTTGTCGCTCACCAACACATGTACTTTTTAGGTCTTATCGCACACAGGTTTCGAAGAATGCAATCAATCACACCAAACGAGGCCGCAGACTGTGCTGAATCGTAAACTGTATGCTGGTTGCGAGATGAATGATGACCTTTTGAGATTGAACTTGCTGCAACAGAAACTTTCTGCGAAAGTGGCTCCATCAGATATCGAGATCAGCCAACGCCCTGCCGACGACCTCAAAACTAGCAATCATGACGCCACACGCTGGCGCCACCTTGGCCGTCCTCGGGCTCAACCCCTTCCACAACCCTTTGCTGCCTTCCTCCCTAACAATCTGACCCATCGCCTTCCACACATTCCCCTCGTATCCCGCTGCCTGACCCCGCAACGAACCGGACAGCCTCCCAACCGATTCCCTCGGAGAACCTTGTGTCTGCAGCCGCGTCTTGATCACATCAAACGGATGCGTCAGAACAGCAGCGAATGAGCCGGACAGAGCACCGGAGACGAACGCCACACCAAACTCTTCACCTGAGCCTGCCGCGTTGCCCTCGCCCAACCCGCCACCCGTGAGCGACCGCTTGCTGGCTTCGTACCCAGCAAAGTAGATCGCACTGAACGGTACGTCTCGCCACAACGTTGGCGTCAGACCGCGCCACAGAATCAACGGTCCTCCGCCGGTGCGCAACGACGTGGTACGCATCTCGACCCACAACCCGCGCAAGATGGACGAGAGCGAAGCTTGAGACCGCGAACTCGCCTGCAAACGCGTACGGATGAGCTCGAGCGGCGTGACGAGTGTAGCAGAGATACCGCGTGCAAGCGCGCCCGCCAGCAAGGATGCGTAGAGCGACTGAGCCGTGACTGCCGACAAGGAGGGCGTTTTGCCGGCAAGACCAAGCTCTCGACCGTTAGCGGCCGAGCCTTCCTGGAATGCGCGTTGAATCTGACTTGTGTCTTCCGAAGCGAGCAGGTGTGTGCGGAAGAAGTCGTAGCACGACATGTAGGTGACTTGGCCAGGCACCGTCATCATGAGTGTCGGTGCCAACCCGCGCCACAAACCGCGAATGCCTTCGGCTTTGCCGACCTTGACAACTCCGTCCCATAGACCCGTCAAACGACCCTGCTTTGCTGCTGCAGCTTTGAGCTCCCTTGCAGCGACGGTTTCGTTTGGGAACGCACAAGCGCACGAGGACGAGCCGTTCGCAGTGACGGCGGAAGGCGTCGGATGAAGGTAGCCGACGGGTGCCGGTGGTGGCGAAGGAAGGATGCGGACGCTGGACCGCGGAGCATTCGAAGATGCTGCGAACGACGTGGTGTGGCGACCAAAGCGAGAAGAGGTGGATCTCGGAGCCGATCGATTCGTCGACGTTTTGGAGGAAGACGCTGGTGTGAAGAATGCAGATGTAGATGCTGAAGATGCGGAGGTAGTTGAAGCTGCGGCTGCGGACGCCTGTCGAGGATCATAGCGGCAGAGGACGGATTCCGGTTGTCGATTCGAGGTGAAGAACGTCTGTTGGCAGCAGGTTGCCGGATGTGCCTGCAGACCTCCAGAAGCGAGCCCAGATTTTTGCCCGCGGGCAACGTGTTTACCCTTTCCTAAATCTGGGGACGAAGAAGTCGGTGTGGCGGCAGCCGAAGCGAGGTGCTGCGAAGGGAAGAAGAGGGGCTCTGCACTGCTCTGCGTTTGCAGCCGCGTTTTAATCACGTCAAAGGGAGTCATGAGGAAAGAGGTTGTGACGGCACCCGTGACAGCGGCGACCGCTTTCCTGCTGCGGGACACGGGCTTGCGTGGCGCGCCTTGGCCGAAGCTGGTTCGTCGCTTGCCCGCGGACGGGCGTTCGAGCGAGGTGACCTCCATGGTAGGGAAGGGCTCGGCATCGTCGAGCCTGGAAGAAGAGGCATGCCTCGATGTCGACGCCATGTGTGAGTTGGGTGACCGCAGGTGATGCTTGTGGAGACGATCACTTGTGACCCTTGATGGTGAGGATCAAGTGGAGGCTGGCCTTCAGGTTCGAGATTGATGTCTGTCCGCCGAACGTCTTGATGCTTGATCTTAGTTCTTGCTAGAGTGCACTACCAGGACGTGGGCCCAGTGAGCATGGTTCTTGAACGAAGGGTTCAGTGATGATGGTGTCGATAGATGGAGAGCAATGTGGCAGCGCGCCAAGTGGACAAAGTGGAGTCAGCCTCCCTCGCTCAAAGAAAGCTCAGCTTTGGAAAAGCGAAATTCCGAAAGTCCTTCTAGCGCCCTGCAAAGCCGACAGTCTAAAAAAAGAGAAGAGGGAAAGAAATCAGATCAAAAATGCCGCTGTCGGTCGGTCAGCTGGACCATGACGCACTGTGGTAGCGTGGCACAATGAGGCGTGTCTTGGTGAATAATCGCTCAGTAACTTGACTGATAAGGTGTGTCCAGAAATTGTCTCCAGCAGCGGGCGGCGTAACTGCAAGGTGACCACTACAAGCTGAGCTAAGAGAACTTCTTTCGCGTTTTCCTTGTTGCCAATACTAGTCTAACACTTTCAACTAATCTGTTAGTCAGGGTCCGACCGGAAGCCGACATCTGTACGATGCTTTGATGGTATGTGTGGGGAACACGACCTCGCCGATGCGCCTTCTTCTTGCGTCGCATACACTCGTATGTCCACTGGCACCTAGCTCGTGCGATGCCGAAAGCATGTCCTCACCTTCTGAGGGCAGCCAGAATGTCTTCGCAGAGAGCTCGAGCTTTCACGACGAAGGCGGTCACAGCAGCTGGATCGAGCAGCCGTCCCACGATCCGAACGACGACAACACCTTGACCAAACAGGATCACGCACCACAGGCCTTCGCCTCGAGGGCAGCATCATCGTCACGCTTGCACCCACATCCGCGGCCAGTGTCGTTGCCTCATCGCCACCTCAGCACACAGACGTTAGGTCGATCAGCACATTCCTCCCCGCGCAACAGCACCGACTCCTTCCCACGTCGACCACCGCTCGTCGACCGCGTCACCTCCTCCCGCTCTCTCTTCCTCCCTGCGATCAACTACTCGAGCTCGCAGCAGCCAGACGACCGAGATGATTGGAGATCGACCGCTGTCGGCTCTACACCGCTCGATCGCACCATGGACCGCATCGGCATGGGAAGATATCAATGGACCGTGCTCATCCTCTCTGGTCTGGGTTGGGCTGCCGACAACATGTGGATCCAAGCCATCGCCATCATCCTACCTCACATACAGCGCTACTTCATGCTCACCGATGGCATCGTCGGTCTCGCCAGCTCCTCCATCTTCGTCGGCATGTTTCTGGGCTCCATAGCGTGGGGCACTATCTCCGACTCGTACGGCAGAAGGGCTGCTTTCAACATCACCCTTGCCGTGACGGCGATCTTCGGCTCTCTGTCGGCCATGGCTTCGAGCTTTCCGCTCTTGTGTCTGCTGCTGTTGGCGGTGGGCACGGGTGTTGGCGGAAGCATGCCGACTGACTCCTCAAACTTGGTCGAGAATCTCCCCGTGAGGAAGCACAGCTACGTGACCGCTCTGTCGGTCTTCTTTTCGGCGGGATCGGTGGTCTCTTCGCTGATTGGGTTGTTGGTGCTGTCGGCAAGCGATCCGGATGGCTGGAGATGGTTGTTGGGTGCGCTTGCGTTTGTGACGGTGCTTTTCGTGTCCGCGAGGGTAGTGTTTTTCAGATTGCTGGAGTCGCCAAAGTATCTCGTACATTCCGGCAGGCCACAAGAGGCAAGGGACATTCTGCAGAGGATTCATCGGTACAATGGTGGAGCGACCATTTCACTTCGTATACAGGACGTAGTGGATCACAATGGCTCTGATCCCAGGAGAGGCGGTGAGAACATGGAAAGCAGTCAGCACTCGATGCATCAGCATCCGTCTCGCAAGAGCACGGGAGTGAGCCAGCAGAGAAACGATGTTACTTCCAACGACGAGCGGCTGCAGGACAGCTACACGGAAGACGAAGACGGCGAGGCAGACCTCTCGGGTCAAGCTGCCACTCGTCCACTACTGGGAGACGCTACGGCATCAGAAGACGAAACGGACAGTGCTCGCAAGAGCGATCAATACGACACCAGCGTGCACATACGCAACGGCGGCAGCGCCATCTCGCAACCTTCTTCCCTCAATCGCGACTTGCCGTCATCGCTCTCATGGCTGCCCAAAAGTTGGCATCCAAGCGCAGCAGATCTAGCCTCGCGCTACAGCGAAATGTTCTCGCCAGAGTGGAAGCGCACCACCATCCTCATCTGGATCATCTGGGGTGGCATGTCGTACGGCTTCACCACCTTCAACGTTCTCCTCCCCAAATACCTCGAGCGCGGATACGACCCTTCCCAACCATCGACCCTGAGTCCAGCAGAACCCGACGACGCCACCATCCGACGAGCACTGATCGACATCCTCCTCTACTCGCTCTCGTCGCTTCCCGGCAGCTTGATTTCGGCCTACATGGTCGAAACGAGGCTCGGACGCATCGGCACCATGGCCACCTCCACCGCCGTCATGGCCGCTTCCGTAGCCCTCTTCTCCGCCACACTCTGGCGGTCCAGCTTGACAGTAGTTTCCATCTCGAGCTCCATCTCGTATGCTGCCATCTACGGGTACACGCCCGAAGTCATGGCGCCCACCATCCGGGCAACGGCGTGCGGCACCGCTTCGGCCATCAGTCGCGTCGCCGGTATCGTCGCACCCATCCTCGCTGGCTGGACCTACTCACTGGCACCACCCCTCCCGCTGTTTCTCGCAGCTACGGTGCTTGGCATCGTCACTTTTGCAATGGCAATGCTGCCTATAGAGACTCGTGGTCGCGCAGCAGATGCGTCGCGAGCTGACGACGGTGAGAATTCTACCATCCATTAGCACAACTCAAGCAATGCTTTTCGTAAAATATACCATCTTCGCAATTCCCTCACGAGTCCTCTGTGTGACAGCGTCCATCTCCACCATCACAATCTCATTCAGGATTGATCGCGAGAATTTCAAGCACCCGCGCACATAGAGACGAGCATTTGGTAGATTTTGAAGCATTATTCTTTGATTGCAAGGGTAGTGTCAAGTGAGGGACCAATCACTCGCAGCAACAAGGAGCACATCGATGGTATCGAAAAGCAAATCGAGTCGTCGTGCGGTAGTGATGGTGCAAGGTCAGACGAACACCAACAGAGCTCTCACTACATTTAAGCAGAGGTGTTGTTGTTGTTCAAGCCGACGGCGTTCTTGGCCTTGTCGAGGATCGACTCGTCCGACTTGTCAGAGCCCGAGACCTTGTCGCCGAGCTTCTGCGAGTCCGACTTGGTCGAGTCGGGCTGAACGGTGGCGGCGGCCTTGTCGAGGTTGTCCTTGGCCTTCTCGCCGAGACCCTTCTGCGAGTCGGGCTTAAGAGCCGAAGAGGCCTGTGATCATGAAGCGAAGAAAATTCGAAAGGAAGCGAGGTGTTGCGGAAGGTCAGCAAGTGTGGGAAGTACCAATGGCATCGAGAGCGAATAGCAAACGTACCTTGTCGGTGAAATCCTGTCGTCCAGCGTCAGACATGTTTACGATTAAGAAATGTGGTTGGGTTGGTTTGAAGTGGGAGAAGATAGATGGTGGTGGAGAAATGGACGGACAACGATGGAATGGGCCGCCTATATATACACTGTGGAAAGGACGTCCGTAGGGTATGGCTCAGTTGCTGCGCACGGGACGGGAGGACGACGGCTCAGGCGAGACCCTTGACCAACATCGGACAGTCGGTCAAAAGCTCAGGCTCGAGGCTAGGACGGCTGAAGAGAGAAGGGTGAGTGAGCCGGAGTGTGAAAGCGTACGATCGTCGAACCCTTGCAAGCCTGACATCTGTGTGTGTGTGGCGCGAGACAGCAAGACTATGAGCAAGAAGTCGACAGGGCACGAGGCAAGGAGATGTGAGGAGCTCAATCGAAGCTCCGATGACGACACGCTCACAGAGGCCTTGCACCTGCCACGGCCAGGGAGACCGCCGTCCAGCATCCGGGGGTTGCTAGGCAATCGTAAAGTCACATCCGGCCCCCAAGACTAGGGTGGCAGGAGAATTGGGCCACGTCACTGTCCAGGGCTGTGTGAGTGAGTGACAAGCAGGTCCTTGTGGCTGCCAAGAATGCAAGCGGACGGTGATGCGGTGGAGAGAGCTTCGCTCGTCATTGCTCGCGACTCAGGCCGAAACAAGATCACGAGGTACAGCTTCTCCAACTTGGACCGAGACGGCAATGTCCTGTCGATCGAGAGAGGGGAAACCCTGCATCCCGTCCGTCGGTGGTTCCGCACTCGCTTGTTCAACAAGCACGGTGCTGTCATTTTAGGCACACCTGTGCAATTGTGCCAGTCTTCGGGGTGGAGGCAACCTCGCTTGCGGCTGCCTTCAGTCTCTCGTGGGAAAAATATAGAAATAAGGCGTGAGTCTGTGCGCACATTCGGTTTCTTTTCTGCACCTCTCAGTCAGCACGGCGTTACTGTTCCTCGCTGCAACATCTCGAGCATCATTGCTGACTCGCTGCTTCTATTTGTGATCTCATACTGTCGATGGCGGGCAGACGTCGTCCTTGCTGCATCCTTGAATCGGACCGCACAGCTTTCAACCAGCAAGGTCGGGTCGTTACTCCGATCGGCTGCGACTCGGCCGTTCCGAGGACCCATCTGACCTGGCATCTTGCTGCACTGTACAGCTCCGACTGCCATGTTGCTATGTTTAGAAGCGCTTCAACCCCTTCCTTGGGCCGCCAAGCACCGAAGCTTACGGCAAGGTGCGACAAGACTTTTGGGTCCATCTCTGTCGGATTTCCCTTCGTGACCTCTCTTTAGCTTCAAGGGTCGTGTTGTGGGTCCCTTGGTCCGAACTCGGCTGTGCTGCAACATGAGCATGTCCCCGCATTTTTTCCGTGTTGTTCTCGTTGATCCAGTATGACGCGTTTTTGCTCCGACCTGTCTCACGTACCGAAAAAAAGCATTTTGCAATCGTCACATCACCTCACAAACCTCCGCCTTGACAGCAGCTTCGGGCCCACGCAGCGCAACGCAACGCCGATCCTGTAATGCGTGATCAGCGGTGAAAGGCGTGCCCGGATGAGCCGTCGCAGCCCACATGTCGGCAGTCACATCAAAGCACCGAGAACACGGCTCATCCGACTCTGGCGGAGCCTTGTCTGTCGTCGTCTGTTCGCCTTGCGAGATTTAACGAAATTGTGAAGGCTCAGCTCAAACCCACACAGAAAGCAAGCTAATTGAGTGAAAGAGAGATATGTCGACGACGTGAAATCATCGAGCAAAGTTCACACAAGGCGACGACGGACGTATACATGAGTCTCGAGGGGCGAGAGCGAAGCGATGCGGAAGAATAGCACGTTGAATTCGGAAGACAATCAAGCAGTAGCAGCCGACTTTTCGCTCAACTGCTTCTTGGCCTGGCGGCGAGCGAGACCACGCTGACCACCCGAGATCCTTGCTAGCCAAGGCCAGCGACCTCGACGAGCCAGCGCCTTCCACAGCTCTACTACAGCGATGAACGCTGCAGTCATAGCGATCGACATACCCCATCCAGCGCCACCCATAGGTGCGTGACGGAAGACGTCTGTGTTGAACTTGGGCACGTACAACGCAATCGGGATGGTGGCGATACCAAACACCACCGACCACAACAGCATCGGATTCGCCCAAAGGTGCTTGGCGGGCGACATGCTGAAGAACGACTTTTCCATGCTGATCAGCTCCCAGCAGACCAACAGCAACTGCAACGTCAATGTGGTGAACACGGCCGATCGGGCCTGGAAGATAGGCTCGCAAGTGGCTGCCGAAGAGTGGTTGCAGTCAATTGCGATTTGGCCACCGCCGATGGGGTAGATCATCAGCAGGAAGGCGACGAGACAGGTGATACCCATCGTGCTACCGTAGACGAGCGTATCGACAATCACCGCCCGGCTGAGCACACCTGCACGCAGATCGTGAGGGGGACGCTCCATGATGTCGCTCTCACCAGGCTCGAGACCAAGACCGATGGCGGGCAACGAGGCGGTGACCATGTTGACCCACAGGATACCAACCGGGGCCAAGGGGAACACCGACTCCTCGTCGGCATCGCGAACACCGAGACCGCAGAGGAGCAGAAGCACCTCAGCCACGTTGGCCACCAGCAGACCGATGAGAAAGCGCTGGATGTTGTCAAAGATGGCACGTCCTTCGCGGATACCTTTGACGATTGAGTCGAATCGGTCGTCGGTCAGCACCAAATCCGAACTGTCCTTGGCGACGTCGGTGCCCGTACCCATTCCGATTCCAACGGGTGCCTGCTTGAGCGAAGGTGCGTCGTTGATACCGTCGCCGGTCATGGCCAGGTAGCGGCCACGGCGTTTACCGGCGGCAATCATTCGCACCTTGGTCGCAGGCGAGCATCTGGCGACAACAAGAGGAAGGTCCTCGAGCGCATCAATTTCGACGTCGGTCAATCCATCAAACTGAGCAGCCGTCATGACCGCCGAAGCGCCTTCGCTGCCGTCGACGATAGCGACTTCCTTGGCAATGGCGTGGGCAGTGGCCGGGTGGTCACCGGTGAGCATGTGAACGACGATACCGGCGCGCTTGCAGGCTTCCACAGCGGCACGGGTCTCTGCTCGAGGAGGATCGTAGATACCCAGCAGACCAATGAGTGCAAAGTCCTGCTCGGCAGCAGCACGCGAGAGACCTGAAGCAGCGTCTCCGCCATGGGTATGCTTCTTGTCGGTGGTGCTGATGGTATCGGCCTCGTCGGCGTCGTCCGACTGGGAAGCCGAGCGAGTGCGAGAGCTTTCGTCTTTGAACTGAACATCGTCCATGCTTCGTTCGGCAAAGGCAAGCACACGGAGACCCTGCGTGGCCATCCTCTCGACTTGGTCGAGGATGATCTTGCGAGCAGTCTCGTCCATGGTGTTACAGCAAGCAAGCACCTGTTCGACGGCACCCTTCATAAAGAAGACGCGGTCCTGGCTGTTGCGGCGGTAGACGCTGGTCATGCGCTTGAGAGTGCTGTCGAAGGGGAACTCGAGCTCGAGGCTGTACTTGGCGTGTGTACCGGAGGTAAGCGAGTCGCGCGACATCTGCAGCTTGGTGGCAAAGACTTGGAGCGCGATCTCGGTAGGGTCACCGCGTGCGACCCAGGAGCCGTCTTCCTTCTGCTCAATTTCAGCAATGTTGCAAAGCGAGGCAGCGGTGGCAAGGGCGTGGATGGGCTCGGGCAGCTGATCGTGCTCGATGGGCTGAGGCTCAGCGTCGGAGGAGACCGGTGGCAGAACCACACGGCCCTTGGGCTCGAAAGCAGTAGCACCGGTCTGCTCGACGTCAAAGCTCTGCTGCTTGCCATGGGCAAGCGACCATCCTTGTCGGACCACCATCTTACCCTGGGTCAACGTACCGGTCTTGTCACTGCAGATGTCGGTGACACCACCGAGAGCCTCGAGGGCGTCAAGACGACGAACGACCACGTTGCTCTCCGCCATACGCTTGGCACCAACACTGAAGGTGATGGTGAGAACGGCAACAAGAGACTCGGGGATGACACCGATACCGAGAGCGATGGCGTACAGGATGACTTCGTTGTTGATGTCAAACTCCGCCACACCAAAGACAATGATAGCGCAGATGATGGCGAGGAACAAGAGCACGTAAGCGAACTTGTTGAGCTTGATCTGCAGGGGGGTACCCTCACGAACACCGAGGAAGGTGGCGATGGCGTCCCAGGTGCGCTTGTACCAAGGACGATGGACATCCTTGTTTCCCTTCTTGGCCAACGCGGTGGCAATCTGTCCGATCTGGGTGTTCATGGCAGTGGCGACGACGATACCGACGGCCCTACCCTTGGTGACGGTGGTTCCGGCGTAGGCCAGATTGGTGCGATCGGCAGGGCCAAGGTGAGGGCGAGTGAGCGGACCGGTGGTCTTGATGGCGGGGACCGATTCACCGGTGAGTGGCGCTTCATCGATCTCGAGGTTGCTGATGGTGACGAGGCGGACATCAGCAGGCACAAGATCACCAGCGCGGAAGTTGACAATGTCGCCAGGGACGAGGTCCGAGGAGGGCACCTGGCGGATGGTCGAGGCTCGGAGCACATTGGCGTTGGGCGAGGAGAGCGTGCGGAGCGAGGCCATGGTGCGCTCGGCCTTGTACTCTTGGATGAAACCGATGAGCACGTTGGTGACGATGACGGCGGTGACGACACCACCCTCGACCCAATCCTTGACACCGAACGAGAGCGCCATGGCGGCGAGCAGCACGAGGGTGAGGGCGTTAGCCATCTGACGGATCAGGATCGAGGTGGCGCTGACCCTGTTGGTCTCCTTGAGCTGGTTGGGACCATGCTCGCTGAGGCGGGTGGCCGCCTGGTCCTCGGAAAGACCAGTGTTGACGTTACTTTGAAACTGGGCAATCACCTGATCGGCTTCTAGGGAATGCGATTGATGCAGATCAACCGTTGCGGCAACGGTGGAGGATCGACGGCTGAGAGTCGAAGAAGGGGTGCGGCTGAGCGAGTCCGGCTGGACATCGACGACCGTGACATGGTGCTGGTCGAGCTGAGGTTTTTCAGCGTGGTGGTGCTGATGCTGCGGATGATGAGAGGGTTGTTGCTGAGTCGAGTGGGAGTAACCACTACAAGGGGGTTCTTCAGCGTCAGAAGTGGCACGAGCCTGTTCTCCGGCGAGCACTTGGGGCTGTGAAGATCCTTTGCCAGGAGCAGAGTCGCAGCCATGACCGTGAACCATCGGTTTTGGGTGATAAGAAAGAGCTAGAGCTGGGTTGCTGAGAAGCAAAGCACACGAGGACACAAGCTTGTAACGGCTTTGTGTTGCAGAGAATAGACGAGCGAAGTAACGCTAGCAGTAACGGACTGGAGGGCTTGTTGACGAGGAACAGCAATCCAGAGGGTTGTGGAAGGGGCAGAAAGGGAAGATGTTGCGTCTTTGGCCGAGTTTGGCGCGGCCTATATACACCGGTCGACCCGTCACGCCTGTATCATTACTTTGCTGCCCTGAAAGAACAAAGTGGCACATGGACGGCACTCACGAGACCTCGGCGCTCCGCGCACCGATTGCCTCAGAGATAGGGCTGCTCCCCACTCTTCGATTCAACGCAGAGTAGAAGCCAAGCGCTGAGAGGCGGCCAAGATTCTCAAGTCTGTCGGCTGCTTCTGCGCCGATAAGAAGGCGACTTGGAAGTGCCATCTCGTAAGGCAGTGTAGGCAGCGAACCAGGCCGCTGTGCCTTCAACTCGAGTGAACACGGCGACCTCTTACCATCTGCAGGCGCAAAGAGACGCCGTGACACGTTTTGCTCCTACTTGCCATCGCTGTACCAAGGGTGCAAAGGACTTCAGAAAGGCTGAAACGGCAAGGACTGCCAATCAGCGCATCCACTCTTGGACAGCCCCGCGTTTTACAGAGCCTAGCTGGCCGTCGAGAAACCGCGCAGCACAGCAGCACGGCATTCGACAAAATGACGAACCAAGGCTTGGCAAAGTCTTGGCAATTTGCTCTCGCGGCCATGGAATCGACTCAGCATCGTCACTGAGCTACACTTCAGGCCACAGCACACTAATCGCTGTCCGCATCGCCAAGATCGAAGCACTTCCTCGCCTCGCCGCGGCTGCCAACTGATTCCCACACCACCTCGCTATTGTTGAGGTAGCTGCAAATAATCTCGTAGCCGGATCTTGTCCTGGGATGGCAGTGCACCGCCGCTGCCATCTTTTCCATGTACTTCCGGCCGTATACGATTGTCAAATGGTGCTGGACCAGGTCGGGGATGGAGTGCTCTCCGTTCAGAAGACACAGGAGAAAAAATTGGGTCGATGGCAGTGTTACTGCCAGAGGAGTTCGTTGTGGCATCGTGCTTTTGAATCGCTGATGTCAACGGGATCGGGATCCCGATCGTAAATCATCTTTCTCAAGTTTTGGGCACACGCGTTTCGTGTTGGTCTGTACCGACTGCATATACGAGCAACCGGCCGCAAAAAGTGGAGGCAGCAACACGAAAAGTGACTTTTCCTCACTCATCCTTCTTCGCGGTCGGGAAAGCTGCTACCACCACCATCACCTCTTCTTTCGCTCGAACAACCCGGCCAGGACGAAGGGCTCTAGTCTTATTCATAAGAATGGCCGATACGGAGCAAGACTACGAGGCGATCCGGCAGGAAAACATCCGCAAGAATGCAGAGCTCATGCTCAGTCTCGGTCTGAACCCCGTGAGTATTTGCGTCTTCTGATGATCTATCTTTGCGCAATAAGACGTCTCTGACAGTCTTCTCGAAACTCGCTTTCCTTGCTCAGACCACGACACGCCTTCGACCGCCTTCTCCGGAGAGGAAGCCGTCTACGTCTAAACGCCGAACCAGCCGATCGGTAACTCCAGACGAAGCGGGCGAAGCTCGCAAATCATCACGCATCGCGTCGGGAAGTCGGCCTAGCTCGTATCGCGAGAGGGACTTGCATCCTTCGATATCAAGGCCGAAGGAGAAGAAGGAGAGGATAGTGCGACAAGGTACGCGACGCAGCAGCCGAGCAGCAACCTCTTCTCGAACAAAGTACACCGACTGGGACTCGGACGAAGGGAACGACTCGGACGCATACGTGCCGCGATGGCGCGGCGGTAGCGTTTCTGGTCGCAACGACGACGGTCTCGACGACGACGACAGCGACGGGCCAAACAGTAGCCGCGGATCACGCACCTTTGACCTGTCGGGTCGACCTATCCTGCAGAAGCTCTCGAATCCAGCTGCACCGCCGCTACCTACAAAAGGAGGCGACGAGATCTACGAGACCGAGATGCCACTGCCGTCTCGTGAGCATATCGTCGACGGAAGAGGTCGAGGAGCACTGGTCTTCGAGGAGGAGTACTCGCAGTTCCGTCCCAATGTCACGCCAGACGAGATGCTTCGCGAAGGCGCCTTTGGGGGAACAGCTTTCCGCGATTACCACTCAAGAGTGCTGGGAAGGTCCATCGACGTGGAAGCCGAGCTCGCCGAGCTTCCCGAGCACTGGCTCGAAGATCTCGACGTGGACGACATGCTCAGGCGCGATCAGCTCGAGCCCTCTGTCAACAAGTTCAAGGTGAAAGCGGGCCAGTCGCTGGAAGACTGGGAGAAGGCTGGTTGGATCCGTCCGCTCGACCCGCGCGGCTGGTTCCAGTGGTATTACCGCTTCTTTCTCGGTCGAAGATCGGCAGATGACGCACGTCAGATTGGACGATGGCTCAAAGCGTGTGGGCCGGGAGGACGATTCAGAAAGTCGCTGGCGGTGAATGTGGCCTCCAAGGGTGGAGGTAGGTGGGACGATCCGAAAGTAAATCCGGTGGTTAGGCAGACGCTGTGGCAGTGGGGCTACGAGCTGACCGAGTCGGACTACAAAGCCTATCTCTAGTTGTCGTTGTCGGCGCGGTGGTCGCTCGTGCAACACACTGGCTCTATCCAAAACTGTCAGCCCTTAGAAAGCATCGCCATAACGCAGCTAATACGATCAGTCGGTACGATTACATAGGCATTGGGAACGTACCGGAGACGCGAGCCCGTGGTCGATGTCAGGCAAAGCAGGACGGAACCCTGATCTGTGTGCAATTAAGAAACAATTCCAACGGAATAGCCTTTTCGCTCCTACTTGTCCCTGTCGCTGCTACGAATCAGCCGCAAGGTGTTGCCTTCGATTGAGGGAGCTTCCATCGTGACTATTCCGCGGACCCGATCGTTCGTCGTGCTGGAATCGTCTCCGAACCCTTTCTTGAGCAAGGCCGATCCAAGCAGGAACATCGCAGCACAAACTTGACAGCAACACAATTCCGAAAATCCATTTCCGAATATGCCTTGCGACACGGCTTTGCAAAAGGCGGCATTCCACGCGTGTCTCTGTCAGCGGCGAGCCAGTCGAAGATCGGCGACCCGCTCTTATGCGGTGGTTGGCGAGCGCGCCTTGATGCGCAATATGTCGAATGATGTTTGCTGTGGTGCCAGAACCCTACGCCGGCAAATGGATTTGGTGGAATTTTTCAGGCGCACGGGGAAGGGGGTCCAAATTGTTGCCTGATAACTGAACGGTTTGTGATGTCAACGTGTGCTGGCCTGCGAGGAGGTTTTTAGCCTCCGCTGGTACGACGATGCTCCTCTGCATGCCGGCGGGACTCGCTTGCTGAAGTTGCTGCACAATGGAAGGAAGAAGGCAGCTGACAATCAGACGCCTGAAAGATGAGCATTCCAAGACGTCGTGATTGTCACTTTTCGACGTGTGTCGTCGTCCCTTCCGACACCATCAATGACTTGACCTGAATCGGCTCGAGAACGTTTTGGAACTTCTCGTCCTACACAAGTTCTCGCGTTCAAGATGTCGACGACGCTGTCGGACAAAGTGCTTGGATGGGCCAGCTTGCATCCCATCCTCGCGGCCATCTTGACGCTTGTCCTGACCGCTTCGCTCTACCTCGCCTGGAAGTCGGCGACCACAAAGCCATCCGTATGGGCCAACCTTCCGGGTCCTGAGCGAACCTCCTTCCTCACCGGCTACTCCCGCGATACCAAGAAGAAGTTCGGCGTCAAGAGCCTCACCGCCTCGGATCGCACACCCATCATCGGCGACGATGGTGCAGACATCACCGACACGCCCGGCGTCTCGACCGCGCGACTGTACGACGAATACGAATGCGACCACCTCGTCTTCCCTCGACCTCTCGGCGGCGAACTCCTCATCACGCGAGACGCAGCTACCATGAACCACATCCTCAACGACAGCTACAACTACACCCGTTCCACAGCAGGTACCAAGGCCACCAAGATCATCATCGGTAACGGTGTAGTCGCTGTGTTCGGTGACGAACACAAGAAGCAGCGCAAGATGCTGGCACCGGCGTTCAGCGTCGATTCCCTCAAGGGTCTTATGCCGATCTTTACGCATGCGACGAATCAGATGATGGAGCGGTTCGGCAAGGATACCTCGCTCGAGGAGAGGTGGGGTCCCGACGTCAAGGATTCCGTCAAATGGTTCGGACGTGTCACGCTCGACATTATCGGTCGAGCTGGATTCGACTACGACTTCGGCGCCGTGGAACAGGGTCCCAACGGTCTAGCTGTTCGATCCACCTTCCACGACGCAATGACCTCTACGATGAACGTGTCGCCCATCGACGCTGTGGTGGGAGCCTTCATGTTCTTCGTGGTCCCGTCGTTGCTGTACATCCTACCGCTGACGGAAAACGTGCGAAAGATGCGAGAGATGCGCAACGAACTGATCAAGTGTTCGCACAAGATCGTAGCGGCCAAAGCCAAGCAGATAGGAAAGGAGTTGGAAGCGGGTGTGGATGCCAAAGAGACATTCGGGGGTAAGAAGGATATCTTGCATCTGTTGATGAGGGCGAACATGTCGCCGGAGATTCGACCGCAGGATAGATTGTCGGACGAAACGTTGGCTGGTCAGATCGTGACTTTCATCTTTGCAGGTCACGAGACGAGCGGAAATACGATGAGTTGGTGTACGTTTTTCCTCGCCTTGGATCTAGACTACCAGTCCAAATTGCGTCAACACATCCAAAAGGCACTCAAGGAGTTGGGCAAAGACGGTGATGCCATCACGGAGCTCACCTGGGCCGACGTCAACAGCGAAGAGATGCGTCCTCTAGACCACTGCATCCAGGAAACGCTCCGTCTCCGACCCCCCATCACCACCACCTTCCGCTACTCGACCAAAGACGACCAGCTCCCCGTCACCACCCCCTTCAAAACCAAGGACGGCAGAACCCTCTCCACGATCCCCGTCACCGCAGGTCAGGAAATCGCCATTTCCGTAACCGGAAACAACATGGATTCCAAATACTTTGGATCCGATCCACACCTGTTCAAACCGGAGCGTTGGAACAACCTGCCCGAGCTGCACGCCAGATCCAAACTCCCCTCGCCGTACGGATCGTTCGTGTTCAACGGTGGACCCAAGGTGTGCATCGGCAGCAAATTTGCCATGACCGAGATGAAGGTGATCCTGGTGAACGTGCTGGCAAAGTACAGGATCGAACCGGTGGAAGGGCTGAAGTACAAGAGCGTCGAGGCGGTGGTTCAAAGACCGGCCGTGATCGGGTTCGAGAAGGAAGGCAGTCAGTTGCCGTTGCGTTTCGTCAGTGATCCGCTTTAGATTTGGGTGAAAATGGAGTCCTCCTTTCAAAATGGGATTGAGCGATTGCGACAACAGTCTGACGACAACTGTGATGTTGTTCGTGAAACAGGACACACGAAGGACTGGAAAGCATCTTGGTGTGTGTGTGAGAGAGCTTCCGAAGTGACTGATTTTGATTGCTTGTGCGGGACATGTACAAAGAAGGACAAGTGGGTTGAGGTTTTGGTTATAGATCGAGACGATGCGGGGGGGACAGGTGGGTTAAGGTTTCCAAGATGCTTGAGCGCAATTCGACCAGATCAAGGAGCCGATTTGGTCATGTTCAAGTCGACGAGTTCCTGCTTTGCAATGTCAAAGTAAAGGCCGTGCACCTGCACCTTGTTCATGACTTTACCGGAGAGAGGCGAAGTGACGCCGTTCCAGTTGTCCTTGATGATCTGGGTGTTGACGATGTTGTCGATCTGCTCCTCGACGGACGCCTGCACGACCTTGAAGGCCAGCTCGTCCTTGGGCAAGTCTGGGTTTGCGTCCTTGACCTTCTTTGCGACCTTGAACAGCGGCACGAGGTGTTGAAGGAGAGCGCTTTCGGCGAGGTCCTTATCGCTGGGTGGAGCATCTGCGCTTCCCAGAGCAGCCAAGACACCACCGCACATGGAGTGACCAACGACACAGACGTGCTCGATTCCCACCGACTGGACCGCGAAGGTGAGGAGCGCGAGGGCAGCAGTGTCGTCAGTGCGGAACTGGTTGGCGATGTTTCGCGAGACGAAAAAGTCACCCGGTTGGGCGTCGCAGACGGTGGTCTCGGGAACACGCGAATCGGCGCAACCGAACCAGAGCATCTTGGGAGTCTGCTTCTGGGCGAGATGAGCAGCCAGCTCAGGCTTCTTGGAGATGAAGTCGGCACTCCATGCCTTGTTCTTGGAGATGAGTTCGGCGACGGGCTGCATCTTGGACGAGGTGCTGCACGACGAGGAAGCGGTAGAGTGAGATCGGGTGGTAGTGGGGTGGCGGAGAGTGATGCGGGTGGTGGTGGTGGTAAGGGATCTGGTAGAAACAAGACGTTGGACGAGGTGCGAAGGTGAGCTGTGACGACGAGCCACGCTGAAGAGTGACGAGGGAGGCAAAGCCGTGTACATCCAAATGAGTTTTGGGGTGAGAGAGTAGCTCGTGCGTAGGCAACGGCGGCGCTGACGTGACGATGGGGCAAAGGATGGTGGACTGCCAAGAGAGAGATAAGGAATGTGAGAGGTGGTTGGATTAAGAAGAGTTCGAGTTGAATCTTCTTGTGGGAGATGTCGGCAAGGCGGGTACGACGCCAAGGCGGCGCTACCGTGTCTCGATGATGATGTCGTCCTTGGGTCGTTCAAGGCTGACTCGACCCAGACACTGCCGTCTCGACGGCAGACGCACAAAGAAAAGGTAAAACGCAACCAAGATCTTCGCGGTAAGATCGTAGCCGAGCCAAGACAGACCCGATAAGTGCGCGTGCGCGAGCGAGCCAATTTGCTCTTGATAAAGCGGGCTTGTGCACTTGATTCTTTTTTTGAAAAGCGAAGGCCGTAGCGGGGTTTGGTTATCAATCGGACCTGCGCATAATGCACGCAGCGATTCGCTGATCCGATCTCGCACCGCTTCCCCCAAAAAAACCATCATGCGTGCCGCGCTGGATTGGCGGAATTCCACCTCGTCTGTGTTCGCACTTTCGTCGTGTTACGTCCCTTTTGTCAACATCATGTTGTTGGTGGCACCACGAGCTTGCCCATTTGTTCGACAATTATTCGACCTCATTTTTTGACTTATTTTCTTCCTGTTCCACCAGAAAAAGGGGCTTCGGTGGTCGTGGAGCATCCATGGACCGCAGCCCTCTAGGCTGGCGGAAGTGTCAGGGCCAAGCAAGTCGCTCACCGTCATCTGCGAGGGCTCGGTTGGCACACTCGCACCGACCGAGGCAGAGCTGCACCTCAACCTCACTGGGTTCAAAGTCGGAGCGGCTGAAGCACTTAACGCTGTATTGCTGTTAATTGAATCGCGTCCGAATCAAGGTCCGATAAGCTACAGTGTGCCAGAGAGTGTACCTGCGGGGATTGGTCTCGGTCGGCCGTCGTGTGCTCCGACAAAGTCAACTTAAAGCGAGACAAAAACCCGAAAGAAAGGGTTGTGGCCGGCGTGTGGGGCGGTCCAAGCGCGTCCAAATACTGCACTGGAAAGCGTGACGGCGGCTGTGACTTTGACTTCTGGTTGCTTGGGCCGCGTTCGACTAGCGCTCACACATTGCACACGTTGTCTCTTCTCCTCTGCTTCAAAGTCGAACGTCGTCGTCGACCTTACCTTGCTCGACACGACCCTCAGCAATTCGACGTTGCTGCTCTCGCATCCCATACTCAAGCCACGCACCTCCTGAGGCGCCAGGCGCGTCCACTGGTGCTTCCCCGCGCGACTCCTGTCATCTTCGCATGCACTCGCCTTCCAGCAGCATTCCATCTCTCGACAGACACGCCGGGTCGCATTCTCTCGACTCGTCTCTTTGGTTCGACACTGGCCTTCTTGGCAGCTCAGCTTATCTCAATGTCTGCCCACTGACCCGTCAGTCGCTCGTTCAACTGCTGCGTAGAGCATCCGTCCGCCTCCGAGCGCATCCAACCACATCCGAGCGATGGTCTCCGCCGCCAACAGCTCCGAGGGCGCACCGCGCGCCTCGACATCCCAGCGCGAGCCACAGCGCGGCCTCGAGGCCTTATCCAACTTCTACGGCCGCTTCTCTACCGACAACGGATCCCTCCGTTCAAAGGTGAAGGATACCTCCGTTTCCAGCTATGCCGACAGCGTCCGCAGGTCATCCTCCGGGGCTGGGACCGAATTCTACTCGAACGCTCACAGCCTCAACGGTGCAGACGAACAGCCGTCCTCAAACCCGGACGCCGCTCCGCCCACTCCCAAATCGCCTCGTGTCTATACCTCCTTCTCGGCAGCAGCTGCAGCCGCCTCTCGCTCCTCTCTCAACAAAAGAAATTCGCAGGCAAGTATCCCAGCCACCGCGGCTGCATCTCCTTCCATCCGCAACTCGCCCGCCCACTCGTCTCCTCGTGGAAACTCTTCCGCCTCCGCAGATGCAACTGGCTCCAACGATGCCGGCCGTGCCGCTTCAGGTCTGATGTCCTCACCGCCGCTCAACAAGGGCGCCTCCTTCGATATCGCCGCCATCAATCAGTACTCTCCAGGCTCACTCGCCAAAACATTCCCATGGCTCTCAGGCACCTCAGATACCACGCCGAAGCGCGATGTCGTAGCGTCGCCCGCCCTCACCAAGCCAGTTCCTGCCAAAGCAAAGACGGATTCGCCGCCTGTCGAGCAATATAGCAGAGGCAAGGGCTTCGGCTGGAATCCCAACAAGGTCCACACAACTCCAAAGTCCAGTTCAAAGCCGCGGCTTGGGCCCAGCACCTCGTACGCCGATCTTCAGAATCGCGGCTTGGGCATCAAATCTTCTTCGGAGCTCGACCTGCCTGAGCGCATGCGCAGCCAGCGTAAGGGTGCCATCGCCCCGCCACGCCTTTCCCAAGATCCCATGGCATTCAGCATCGAAGAGGAGCTCCAACCTCGCACCAGCTTTTCCAAGGGTGATTCAGCATTCTCACGGCTGGGCCGCGCTTTCCGCCGAAAGAGCAAGACGGGTAGCGACATGAAAGCCGACTTTGCCACAAAACCTCCCGTCGTACCACCGCTGCCAAAGACGCCGCACGCCGCATCCAAACACACCTCTCCCTCCAAGCCCTCAGATCCTTTCGCCGCCAAAGCACTCAAGGCAAGCAGCGGCTTTCCCGATCGCAGGCCATCACAAATCAGCAACAACGACACGAGCTTGCAGCAGCACGAAGCAGCCCCAGCAGGCGTCTCAGCGACAGACAAGGGGCAACCAGAAAGCGATATTGTGGACGGCGACGCGATCGCAAGAGCAGATGCGAGTGAAAGCGCTCCAGAAAGGCCTGTGGCCGGCGACGAGGATCAAACGACTGAGGCGGCTGCGGGGACGTCGCCCGTCGGACAGCAAAGCACTGCGCGGGTTCCGCAGACCGACAACGAAGACACTGCGCACATCGATACGGACAAACTGCCTGGAGAATCGCTCGCAATCTCGACGACGTCCCAACAACCTCAAACCCCATCGAACCGACCCATGTCGATAGACTCGATGTCATCCAGTGCGAACCGAAGCTCGCTAGCTTTCCTAGCCCCAGCCATATCCATGGGCGCCATCGCGTCAGCGATAGAAGGCGCAGAAGGCGCTCCCAGCGATGCCTTGCAAAGAGAGCAACGGCCAAGCCAATCTCAGCAGAGCCCAACTCGAGACGATGCAGCACAGCAGGTCGATAACGACGCAGCGGCACCATCGTCTTCCTCAGCCACCGCCACTGCAGCAAATCCGAACCGCAGGCGCCTCGAGCCAAAGTCAGCAACCCGCGACGACCACGTGCCCGGAATCCTCAGCGACTTTCTCAGCATGGACGCGGCGCTCTCGGCAAAGGAGAGCAAGAACTCAAAGGGACCTGCGCCATCTCAGTCCGCCAAACACGCAACATCGGCGACCGATGCCAGCGCGGACGCCCCTATGGAACGCTCCTTAAGCGGAACATCGGAGGGGCGCAGATCGTCGGTGAGCTCGTCATACAGGGCACCGCGCGCCACCAAAGGAGTCTTTATGGCTCCAGCTGCCGGTCCGACAGGTATGGCTGGCTTTGTGTCGCCTTTCTACGTTGCCCCGCTCATGTCCACAGATGCAGGCGTTTCCGTGCGCCGGCCTTCGGGCGGCCGACGGGCCAGCGCCACCAGCGACGACTCCAAGAGTGTAAGTAGTGGACCACGACGCGGCTCCATTCCCTTCGCTGTTTCTGAAATCGCGACGCAGGAAGAAGTGCCGTCCCTCGGTGATGCAGCTCCTGACAAGGACGACCGTCCCGAACAACTTCGAGAGCTCAGCGACGCCGAGAAGGCCAGGAAGGTGAAGTCGTTCGGCAACCTCCGAGCTTCGAGCAGAGAACGGGATGCAGAAGCCTTGCCGCGTGCCAGCACCTCGAGGCTACCCTCGCCCTCCGTGGTGCTCAATCCAGCTGAAGAACAGCATTCCCATTCGAGACCTTCCGACGTCGACGTATCGACCAAAGGTCTGCCCGGCCGTGCGTCAGAAGAATCTCCTACACGTTCCAGAAGTGTCGCTCAACGACTCTTCCGACGCCCAAAGACCAGTGGAGCCGAAGCAGGCATGTTTGGCGAGCGCTCCACATTGTCGCCTGCCAGCGCGGAAGATCCTCTCGGACGGCGAAGAGGGTCAGGTCCGGGACGTGTCTCTCTCGACGAGTCCGGCCGCAGTTCCAAGCCCTACTCCGCTTCGCCTACCGAGACCAACCTTGACCCGCTCGCAGCGCGCAGCTCATCGGCAACGCCGCGCAAATCGCACGACAGACCGGAGCGACGGCCGGCCAACGGTTCCAACACGCTTGAGCCCGGAATTGGTGCTGGCCTCGGTCGCAGGCCGAGCGAGCAGAGCATAGGTGCCGTCACGCCTTCTTCGTCTCGGCTCGAGTCGCAAGGCGGTGCTGCTGGTTTGTTTGGCAGCCCGCAAACGCGGCCACGCACTTCGTCACTGCTCCCTTCCTTCGGCTTCAGCAGAAGTCGCACGGGTTCTTCCGCAGGTATTGAAGGATCCGGAAAGAGTCCCGGCACTTTCGGAAGCAGCACACGCTCCACATCTGGCGGCTTTCGACGGGACACAAGCGAGTCTCTGGATCCTTCTGCCTCGAACTCGCAGCTTGTCGATCCCAACGGCGCTTCCAAATCGCCCCGTGTGTCTTCGAGCTCGCGGCCGTCTTTCAGCAGGCAACCCTCCACCGTTACCGGCTTGTCCGAGGCGGATGCCAAGCAACTGTCCGTCAAACCCGAGAAGAAGTTTTCAATGTCTGCGTTCCTGCCCTACGACGACGAAGATGCGCCCGAGTACGCCGAGCGGATCGCCTCGACGGCGCCTAAAGCGCAGATCGCCGCCATCCTGGCTTCGAGCGCCGACGTCTTCTACGGGGAAGCCCTTCATCACTTTATGACGCGCTTCTGGTTCAACAGTCTTCCGCTCGACATTGCTCTGCGAAAGCTGCTCATGGACCTGCACTTGCCCAAGGAAACGCAGCAGATCGACCGTGTGATGGAGGCGTTCGCCAAGAGGTACAACGAGTGCAACGGCGGGCTCTTTGCTTCCGACGACCAGCCCTACATTCTGTCCTTCTCGTTGATGATGCTGCACACGGACGCATTCAACAAGAACGCAAAGAACAAGATGACCAAGGTCGACTATCTGAGGAACACGGGCGCCAGCGGAGTGCCCACCGAGATTCTCGAGTATCTGTACGACAATCTCACATTTACGCAGTTCATCTACATCGAGGACGAAGAAGGTGGCAAGCGCCGTCCGTCGGAAGCTTCGGCCCTGTCGCTGTCCGCAACGAGCGTGCCCTCGTCTCTTGGGCAGCAGTCCACCGCGGCGGCGAACAATCGCGCCAGGATCGATCCTTACTTCCTCATCACGCAAGGCCGTCTGGGCGAGCTACGACCGGACCTGGAAGATGCCATTCCCGAGGACTCTCCCTTTTCCTTTACAGGTTCACTGTCGACGTTCGACGTCGATCGACTCAACTCGGCATTCCTTCACGCACCAAGTATCGAGATCGTCACGACCAAAACGCCGAGCGAACAGCCCGGCGCAGCGACGCCAAGCTCACTCGAGGGCGAGGAGGAAGTGGTGTCGCTCAAGGTCACCAAGGTGGGTGTGGTCAATCGCAAAGACGACGTCTCGGATGGAGGCAAGAAGGCAGCCTCTCGCAAGTGGAAGACGAGCGGTCTTTTGCTCACGGGATCGCAGCTGTTGTTGTTCAAGGACGTCATCTGGATCAACGCCTTGCAGTCTCAGATACTCGACCAGGTCGGGCACTCGCTCTTGTGCAACGGCATCCCGACCGAAGACGACGCCGACAACGACGTCGTAGAGGGAGGCGTCGTCATCACACCCAGGATCACGTACTTCAAGCCGGATGGCGTGATCTCGCTCGCGGATGCTGTGGCCGTCAAGGACCATTCGTACGCCAAGTACGATTTCGTCTTCCGCTTGGTCGCAGCCAAGGGTCGGCAATACCTGGTGCAGGCTCAGAGCGAGGACGACATGAACGATTGGATCCACAAGATCAACTTTTGCGCCAGCTTTCGCAAGTGCAACATCAAGATCCGCGGTCTCGACCTCGCGCCTCGTCTCGGGATGGGCTCATCGTCGCTCCATGTGGATTCGCTCGAGGAGCGCTACGGCCGTCCGAACCTTTCGAGACGTTCGTTCGATCACACGTCTCGAAGGCCGGATGCGAACGAGAGCGGAAGAACTACGCCCGTGGCCGACGAGAGTGGCGAATTTTCGAGGGATGATCCGCTGCGGTTGAGCATGGATCCTGCGTCCAGGCCGAGCGAAGGCGATGCACCTGTCAGGCCTCGTTCGTCGGCTTCTCACCGGCTCAGCCCTGCGTCTTCAGCGATCCAGAAGCGCGCCAGAGCGCGTCGCGAGATGATGCTGACCAAGATCGCCGAGACCGAGGTGCAGCTGGAACGAGCGACGAGCCGGCTGGCGGACGAGATCCGACTCGCTCGACACTTTGCCATCCTGACGCCGTTCCTCAAATCGACGCGCGATCGGATCGAGATGTCGGCGCTGCCACTGGCGACACGCATCCGGGCGCTTCGGCTGGATGTGGCCAAGGCTCAGTCGCGATGCAACATCCTACGTCTGGATCTGGCTGCGGGCGAACGCGTGGCGAGAGCGCTGCTTCCGAGTACGTACATGTCATCGTCTGCGATGCGTGCTGCGAATCGCATGCCATCTGCCACAATGGCGACGCCGCAGCTGATGGAGCTTGGGCAGGTCTCGGAATCGCAGTCGCAGTTCGAGGAGCTTTTCGCGCCGGTGGCATCTGGCAGCAACGGATACGAAGCACCGTCAGTGCCAGCCTCGTTGTCCGGTACGGTGAACAAGCCAGCATCGCACCAGAGGAACCAGATGAATCTCAACGCTGTATCGGAGCAGCCGGCGGATGAATCGCCGGTGATGGCGAGTGCGCGGCAGATGGGCGGTGCTGAAGATGGAGAGACGAGCAAATCTAGGTTGATGTCGCGGAAGAGCGACGAGGTGCCCGAGGACTGGGAGCTCAGTCAAGTGGGACGTTCAGGAAAGAACCGCATCAGCTTAGTGGACCTCCCCTCGCCGAACGAGCTCGAGGAGGCGACGGGCGGGCGATTCAAGTTTGGTGCTAGAACGGCCGAGTGATGTACGCGGCAATCTCATCAAGCAGTGGTAGTCGGGCGGTAAGGATCAAAGTCGGAGAGCTGTGGTGTACGTGTGTTTTTGGTTTTCGCATTTGTTTTCGCATTCAAGTAATGGATCATTGTGAGCCGAGTGTGTACGGAGGATGATGCCGTGTGATCCGACGGTGGTGTCGGAGCAGCGTGGTGAGAATGCGGGGTAAGGAGGATTCTATCGAAGCGCCTGATTTTCCGCGCGAAAAAGCGATCCGAGTGGATGCAGACACGCACGGGATTAGGGCGGGGTTGACCTCCGGGCATGCGTCTTCACCTGAACCATACATCCTCAAGAAAGCTTTTGTTGGAGACTTTAGAGATCGTCGTATGAGCTCCGTATCCTTGAGGTTCAGTATGAGGTGTCAAATGTCAGCTGAAGCTCCATCGACGATATTGGCTGAACAAGAGGTTCCCGATACCAAGACGATGCGAGGGAGCAGAACGGGCAAAGAAAAGTGTGACAGCGGCGGGCGAGGCGAGGAGCAATTTGGTTGAATGTGAAAGCCAGCCTGTGACAGGTGGGATCGACGTTAATACGACGCAAATTACAGAGCCGCGCTAGAATCTCACAGCGAGGCGACTGGCCAGTGTCCCCGGCTGGAGCGCTTCCAATCTAGCCGGTGTTACTTTGCTTTGGCTCTCCGCACTTACCACGACGCTTCCTGGAAGGTCCACTCCTTCTTTGCTAGAAGGTCTTGCAAGACGGAGAGTGTCGTTGTGTGGGGCCCTTTCCTTCGATCTATGCGAGGTAGACAAGGCATTCGGTGCAGAAATGCTGTGGGGCAAAGATCGTTCTCACGACCTTGTCGACCTGGGCTGGCTCGGCTGCCGTTGCTCGCCTGTTTTCTATCAGATACAATCGCGGTCAATCTCTTTGCTGCCCTTTGCACAGCGATGCTGGCCCGAACTTTGCTTGCGTTTGCTCTGGCCGTTTGTTGAGCGCTGTGGCATTGAGCATCCTTGTTAAGGCGTGGTGGCTCAGAGCGAGCTCAGTGACATTTCAAAGCTGTCTCGGTCGAACGAGGATGGCCAGACCTGCTGGACTCTCGAGTGTGGGGTATCTTTGCGTGAAATGGGAACGGCCAAGTTGATGCGTCAGAACAAGCAGCTCATTGCGTGCGAGTAGATCGCGTGCAGAGCCTAGCCAGCGTCCGAGAAAGGCGGTTTGTGAGCTGCGAGGTGCGAGTTGCGTCCGGTTGGCAGAGTGAGCGGATGGACCGGCTGGTTTTTTCAAGAAACTCCACTTGCAAGCTGCTGGAAGCTCACCCCGCGATTGCGCTCGAGCTCTCTCTCGCTCTGCACTCTAGCCGGATGCAGCTCGCCCTCCGCTGTGATTTCCTCTGGCGAATTGCCTTGGAGTCGCTCGTGTCCGGCTTGCAACTGGGCGTCCGGCTAGCCGGTGTGATTGGGACTCTCTCGCCGTACCATCGCCTCGATCGACGCAACCGCTCGCATTCACACTCGTCGACTCTCTCACGCTCAGACATCTGGAAGCGCCCATTCAAATACCCGTTGCGCTCACCACACTTTCCTTCTCGCTGTCGCTACGCTCGATCCCTCCTGCCTTCCATCGAAACGTTCCATCCTCATCCTCATATCATCTTCTTACGACTCCGTCTCCTCATTTTATCTCAGAGGAGGTCAACCACCACCAATACCCTAGACGGCTGCATCCCTCTTTCTCCTCGCATCCGTTCCATCGCATCTCGACCCGAAGCCGCATAGTACGGCACAAATATCCTCAAAATGTCCGACTTCCCCTCCACCGAGAACGGCAAGATCTCGTTCAAGGGCCGTGTCGTCGTCGTCACCGGTGCCGGAAACGGTCTTGGTAAAGCGTGAGTAGACTGCCCCCTTTCCAGACAAGCACGTTCGAGCGCTTCCAGTTGCTACAGTATATCTTTGCTGCGACGGCGCATCGTCGTTTTGCCAGCTTGCTCTGAAGTCTCTCATTGAGCGAATTTGTACTGACCTTGTTCCTTGATCCTCGTGTCCCTTTGTGCATCCCTCCATTCTTTCGTCGTATTGCGATGATTGCAGATACGCACTCTTCTTCGCTTCGCGCGGTGCAAAGGTTCTCGTCAACGATCTCGGTCCTTCCGCCAAGGACAAGGACAAGAAGGCTGCCGATGTCGTCGTCGAGGAAATCACCAAGGCCGGCGGCGAGGCCATCGCTAACTACAACTCAAACACCGAAGGTGACAAGATCATTCAGCAGGTGATTGACAAGTGGGGCCGCGTCGACATCGTCATCAACAACGCTGGTATCCTCCGTGACAAGTCGTAAGTATTGCCCTGGTCAGCGAGCCAAGCTCTGAACTGCCGCTACACAACGCAACGACATAAATCTGACCCCTTTCATCACATTACCTCTTCTGCAGCTTCAAGGCCATGTCCGACAAGGAATGGGATCAGATCACCGCCGTCCACATCACCGGATCGTACGCCTGTGCCAAGGCTGCATGGCCTCACATGCGCAAGCAAAAGTACGGCCGCATCATCAACACCTCGTCCGCTGCTGGTATCTACGGCAACTTTGGTCAGGCAAACTACTCTGCCGCCAAGCACGCCATGATCGGCTTCGGCAAGACGCTCGCCATCGAGGGCGCAAAGTACAACATTCTCTCCAACATCCTCGCTCCCGTCGCCGCCAGTCAGCTCACTGCCACCGTCATGCCCCCCGAGATGCTCGAGAACTTGACTCCTGACTACGTCGTTCCCATCGTCGCCTACCTCGTGTCTGCCGAGAACAAGGAAGTGTCCGGTCAGGTGTTCGAGTGCGGCGCCGGCTTCTTCGCTCAGGTGCGCCGCGAGCGCAGCCGCGGTGTCGTGTTCAAGACCGACGACTCGTTCACGCCCGCTGCCGTCCGTGCCAGGATCGACGAGATCCTCGACTACGACGAGAAGCCCGAGTACCCCTTCCGCATCACAGACGCCAACCACATGGAGTTCCTCGAGCGTGCCAAGGAGGCCAAGTCGAACGACCAGGGTGAGGGCCCGGTCCGCTTCGACAACAAGACGGTGCTCGTCACTGGTGCCGGTGCCGGTCTCGGTCGCGCTTACGCCGTCATGTTCGGCAAGCTCGGTGCCAACGTGGTCGTCAACGACTTCCTCGAGAAGAACGCTGCCGCCGTTGTCGACGAGATCAAGAAGGCTGGCGGCAAGGCTGCACCTGCGGTTGGCTCGGTCGAGGACGGTGACAAGATTGTCAAGGCGGCTACCGACGCTTTCGGCTCGCTCCACGTCGTGATCAACAACGCCGGTATCCTGCGCGACAAGTCGTTCGCCGCCATGTCGGACCAGGAGTGGCACGCCGTCCTCAACACGCACTTGCGCGGTACCTACAGCATCTGCCACGCCGCCTGGCCCATCTTCCAGCAGCAAAAGTACGGCCGTATCGTCAACACCACCTCGGCCGTTGGTATCTACGGCAACTTTGGTCAGGCCAACTACTCGACCGCCAAGGCCGGTATCATCGGCTTCACCAACACGCTCGGTATCGAGGGCAAGAAGTACAACATCTTGGCCAACACCATCGCACCCAACGCCGGTACCGCCATGACGGCCACCATCTGGCCCCAGGAGATGGTGGACGCCTTCAAGCCGGACTTTGTGGCTCCCATGGTGGGCTACTTGGCCAGCGAAGCTAACGAGGACCTCACCTCGAGCCTCTTCGAGGTCTCCGGTGGATGGGTGGCGGCGGTGCGCTGGCAGCGTGCCGGTGGCCACGCCTTCAGCCACGGCAAGGCGCCCACACCGGAAAAGATTGTCAAGAAGTGGAACAAGATTGTGGACTTCGAGACCAACCCCTCGTGGCCTACCAGCCCGAGCGACTCGCTCGGTGACATCGTCTCCAACTTCGGCGCGTCTGAGGAGGACGACGATGACGACGACGAGGGCGGAGCTGGCGGCGACTACAGCGACCCTGACGACCCCGAGATTGTGCAGAAGGCCAAGAAGGAGCCCATCGACGACTCGGAGTTCTCGTACGGCGAGCGTGACGTGATCCTGTACAACCTGGGTGTAGGTGCCACCGAAAAGGAGCTCGACCTGGTGTTCGAGCAGGACGACGACTTCAAGGCGGTGCCTACGTTCGGAGTGATTCCTCAGTTCATGGCGAGCGGTGGTATCCCGCTGGACTGGTTGCCCAACTTCAGCCCGATGATGCTGCTGCACGGTGAGCAGTACCTGGCCATCAAGAAGACGATCCCCACGAGCGCCACGCTGGTGAACAAGCCCAAGCTGATGGAGGTGCTGGACAAGGGCAAAGCTGCTGCCGTCACCTCGGTTGTGCACACACACGACAAGGAGAGCGGCGACCTGGTGTTTGAGAGCCAGAGCACCGTCTTCATCCGAGGCTCGGGTGGCTTCGGCGGCAAGAAGAGCGGCAAGGACCGCGGTGCCGCATCGGCGGCCAACAAGCCCCCCTCGCGCAAGCCCGACAAGGTGGTCACTGAAAAGACGACGCCCGGCCAGGCTGCGCTGTACCGACTGTCGGGAGACTACAACCCGCTGCACATTGACCCCAGCTTTGCCCAGGTTGGTGGATTCGACCAGCCCATCCTGCACGGACTGTGCTCGTTCGGTATCTCTGGCAAGCACGTCTTCCGCGAGTTTGGTGCGTACAAGGACATCAAGGTGCGCTTCACTGGCCACGTGTTCCCCGGCGAGACGCTCGAGACGAGCATGTGGAAGGAGGGCAACAAGGTCATCTTTACCACGCGTGTGGTCGAGCGCGACACGCAGGCTCTGGGCGCTGCTGCCGTTACGCTCGCCGACGAGTAAAACCCATGTATCAAGTTTCGTATTCTAATGTCCCGTCGTGTTTGATCGTTCACCCAACTGCAATGTGCTGCGCGTTTGCGATGTGAGATCTGAGATGCGTGGGAGGCTGTTGCCGGGTACGCAAGTCACCTTCGCAGTGACTGATCCGGTCCTCGTGGAGGAGCACATTGCAGGACTGCCAAAACTGACGTCCGGAACTGCATTTGCCTGAAAAGGCGTGACAGGCTGGGATCGGGAACCGCTTGACTCGTGACGGCGGAATTGAATTGGAAATGCATTCTGCGGGCCTGTCCTGAAGGGAAAAAAAAGCCACACAAATTTCGCAGAACTGATGAAGCCAGCACAGTCACGCACAGACAGACTCACACGCTCCAACGCGATGTGCTAGCAACCAACACATTTGGAACAGTCCCGCGCGACTTTGGCTCAACTCCTTCCCAATCGACCCTTCACCGGAACCGTCCTCGATACATCACATCTTCGAGTCGCCAAAATCTCCTGGCATTTTTCAGTACGCAGACTATCGAAGCAGACTACTGAACTGCGATCGAACGACTTCGTTTGCAGGATCGTCGTCGACTCGAGACTAGGTCGTCGCAAATTGGTACAAGCGGAAGGTCCGAGCGCATCGTCCAACGTGGCACTCGTCTTTCGTCCCCACCATTGCAGCCTTCATCAAGCAACGCTTCGAGCCTGTATCGCATTGCAGCGTTCGTCTTTGACTTCGATTGCGTGCGTTTCCTCATGCGCTTTCTTTCTCGTCCTCGATCTGTCTTCACCACCACTGCCCGTACTGCTGCCACTTTCTCAAGCACCAGATTGGCCCCCGCTGTCGCTGTTGGACAATCCCCCACATCCAGATCGCCGCACACACTTCGTCGTCAGACTCTCGCTGCTCCCACGGTAGCTGCGGCACGATCCAAAAGCACCCACCATCCTACGCACCACCCATCGGCGCCCAAATCACCCGTCCTCCCCAAACCCTCGAGCATCGCTTCCACCCTCCCTGCCGAAGAAAAGCCCGTGTCGGCGACCCATCCCCAACCTCCGCAGCACAAAGGCGCACCTCGTCTCGTACGCTACGAACCGGAACCCCAGTCGCAGCATCCGATCTCGCTCTATCCTCCGTCCTTCTCGCACGCTTCGTATCCGGATCCTCTATCGTACCGTGCCCACCTCTCGAATCGACGTGCTCCAGCAAGCCTGTTCGGTCTGTTTCCCAGCACGAGCGCCACCGCAGCGAGCGTCAAGGCGAGTTCAGATCCCTTTGCTTACCGTCAAAGCGGTCCAAGTATCCAGACCAGCCCCGCCACTCCGTCCCTAGCTTCTTCGTCGCTCGACACCGCCAACTCGTCATCGACCACCATGGCAGCTTCGACGTCGTCCATCGTAGACGCAACCAAAGAAGGCCAAGCCGAGCTCCACCAACGCAAGCGAAACGCCTCCGCTTCCGTCGGCGCCGAACCCGGCTCCATCGCTACCAAGACTCACAGCGTCCTCGGACACCACCACCACCACGGTCACGGTCACCACCACGACCATGGCTCGGCCGAAGAGGCGGATCAACTCCTCGCCGCGCTCAAGGGCAAAGGAGACCGCGGTTCCAACATCACCCTCGCCGGTCTGGTATCCAACGTCGGGCTGTGTGGTGCCAAGGGCGTCGCCGGGGTCTACCTCAACTCGGCGGCGCTGCTGGCGGATGCGGCGCACAGCCTGTCCGACATGTTTGCGGATCTCGTGACGCTGTTTTGTTGGAAGATGTCGCAGAAGCCACCGTCGGCGTCGCACCCGCTCGGGTATGGCAAGTACGAGACGATGGGATCGCTGGGTGTGAGTTTGGTGCTGGTGGCGGGCGCGGTGGGGATCGGATTCCATTCGTACGGACTGCTGCTCGAGGCGTTGCAGCCGACGCTGCAGCACGCTCCGGCGGCGCTGCAGGCGTTCGGACAGTTCACAGGAAGTCTGGCTAGCAAAGGTGGGTTGCTGCATGACCATCACGATCACGCTTCTGCCGCAGCCGATGCGAGTGGCGGTGGCGGGGTGTTGGATCCCAACGCGATGTGGTTCGCACTGCTGTCCATCGCGGTCAAGGAATGGCTGTACCACGCTACCCTGAAAATCGCACGTCAGGAAAACTCGTCCGTGCTCGAAGCGAATGCGCTGCACCATCGATCGGACTCTCTCTCGTCCGCCGTGACCTTCCTGGCGATCGGCGGGTCGTACCTCGGCTTCCCCGTGCTCGACCCGCTCGGCGGGCTGCTCGTCGCCGGGTTGATCGGCAAGCAAGGCGCAGACCTCCTCATCGGCGCCCTCGGCGAACTCTCGGACCGCGGCGTCGAACCGGACACCCTGCGCACCCTCGACTCGGCCATCGTCGCCGTCCAATCCTCCCACCCGCTGCTCAAGGGATGGAAGGATCTCAGGGCCGTCAAGAGCGGCGTCAGCACCTTCGTAGATGTCACGCTCCAGCTCCCGAACGACGCTACGCTCGTGCAGGCGGGCGAGGTGGAGGCAGCCGTCAGGGAGGCCCTCGTACGCTCCGTGAAGGGCGTCAAGGAGGTCAGGGTTAGATTGGTCACTGTCGACGCACAATGAACTTTGCTCTTGTCACACACGACACAATCAACACAAATGCATGGCGAACACCAGACTGAAAAGGATGAACACGGGCCGATGCAGTGAGAACAAAAGATTGCATGCTGTGAGAGCTCACGATGTCGTTGTGCCAGCGGGCTGCGCCGGCTCCGCAGACCCCTGCCGCCGCGCACCCGATACCTCTCCCTGATCGCCCGCACCGTTCGCTGCCGCTGTCCCTGTCGCCCCCAATGCCGCTTGATTCGAGCCCGCCCCCGCCGCGCTTCCGGACAAGGTCTGAGCCGCCGCACCCATCGACGTCAACCCCGCCCCTGCCGACAACGTCGCCCCCGTCCCCGCCACACCCTTACCCTGCGCCACCTTTCCCCCCGTCGGCCCCTCTCTCGCATTCCCACCCGGCTGACTCACACCGAACGGAAAAGATCCCCCCGGTGTCGTCGGGGAAACCGCCAACCCACCACCCGGAGTCTGTCCATTCCGCTGTCTCGTAATCAACGTCTTCAACGCGCTGATCCACTTGATCTCCTCGTCCTCGCCTGGCGCACACAAGATGAACGTCCTCTTGGGCGTGATGATCTGGAAACAGTTCTCCTTGCGTTTCTTGCTGCTGCCCACCATACCGGCCGTCATGTTGGACGCGACTCCTGCTGCAGCCGCTACCATGCTACCCCTTCGTTCTGGCTTCTCGGGTGGTGCCGCAGACGCTCCCGTTCCAGGTGAAAAGGGCGTGTTACCGTCACGTTCGCCAAACCCGCTGTTGCTCTCAAAGCCAAACGGATTCGAATTGGGAGACCCGATGCCCGGTGACGTGGGTACGCCCGACGAAGGCTTCTTGGACTCGTACTCGATGGCATCCAGCATCGCTGCAATCGGAATCTGCCGATGCGCCTTGGAATCCATATGACTACGCGAGTACAGCAAACGTGACGACGTGAGCACAAACCACCGCTTGCGCCACACCTTGCGCCTACCGCTCTGCTTCATCAAGTAGCCCTGCGTGATGACTTTGTTCGGGTCGCGACTGAGATCGCCCCCAGCCGGCGGCAGTGGTGCGATGCTGAGCCCGGAAGGTTGCGCCTGTTGTTGCTGCGACGGCGCCTGCATGTGTTGTGACAATTGCTGCTGAGACGCCTGCGACGAACCTAGCGCCGGCAACGGCATGGCCTGATCCGCTACTTCCTCCTCGTCCCACTCGTCCTCCTCGTCTGAGCTGCTGAGCACCTGGTTCCCACCGCCACCGCTCGGTGGAAGGCTAGGACTGGCCGGCGGATCGGCAGCTCCGCTCGAGTAGGATGCCAACCTACGACTTGAACTGACACTGCGTTGACGCGGGAAAGTGCCGAACCCGCCCGAGGGACGACGTTGGTGTCCGCTCATGTCGCTCAGCTCGCTTCCCGATGCATGGCCGCCACCAGGCGACTGTCCAGCCGCCAGGAACGACTGCGTGGGATCCGTGCGCGTCGAAGGGCTGCCCGAGATGGAATGGCTTGCGGAGCTGGTGTAGCTGAGTCCGTAGCGGTCGGCACTCGTTTCGCTATCGCTCGTAGCCGTCAGGGGACTGAAGGCAGCAGAACCAGGAATGGGTCTGGGCTGTGCCGGAGCCGCGAAAGTGCCCTGACCGGGAATGCCGATCTTGATTGGCACGGCGTTGGATGACTGCATTCTCTCCTGCGAGAGCGAGCGTCGTTTGGCCTGCGATGGTGGAAGCGTAGAGGAAGGCGCGGGTGTTTCGGCATTGGCGAGCTCCAACGCAGCCATTTCTTGGGTCATGGTGCTGCTTTGCGCATACTGAGTTTTGACCTCGTTGAGCACCCGAATCCAAGACTCCATGTCAGCCCTGGAGGAAGCCCGCACGTAGAAGGTTCGTTTAGGCGTGACGATGCCAAATGTGTTGACGCTCTTCTTGAGCTCGACCGAAGCGACGGTCTTGATATCGCCGACGTCGATAAAGCGAAGGAGCTGATACTCCTTGTCATTTTTGTAATAGGCGAGTTTAGAGGAACGAAGGACCCACCACCTCTTCTTCCATGTCTTGCGTTTCTCGCCCTTCTTTTCCAGGTAGCCAGACTTGACTGTTGACTCGTTGATCATGTTGTGATGCGCTTCGCTGCCGTCGAGGTCTTCGGCGTCTTCGTCGTCCTCGTCAGCGTCCGCCTCGCCTTCAAGATCTTCATCCTGGATACGCGAGGCTCCGTGCATGGCGGACGATGGATGTGCAGCAAAGGTCTCGGAGTGAGCGGTGCGAGGGGAGATAGCTGCTGCCACAGGGTTGACGACGGCTTGAAACGCCGTTGCCGAAGAGCTTGAAGGCATGATGGTGGAAGAGATGCGGGGAAAGGCCTGCTTGTGGGTAAGCTCTGGATGGTGTGCTCGAAGCCGCAATTGGATTAGAGTCGCATAATGTGCTGACAGCCGGTAGAGCAGACGACGATAGGTGCTGGAGAATGCAGTGCTTATCGCAAAGATCGAAGCTAAGACGGGTTCGAGCGAGGGTGATGATGATGGTGATGGGCGAGGTGTGACACCGAACAGTGCACCCTCCACCCGAGCACAATTTACAATTGTACCGCTAATCTGGCTCAGCTGCAATTTGCTCTTCCGTACGAAAAATTACATTTGAACGCGGATCCGCGTCGGTCGCACTGCAGCAGCTGCAATTCTCAACTGCCATCATCGTCCATACATCCTGTCAATTTCAAGCTTACACCTTGAACAGCGGCCACCACCACGATACTCACACACAACATGTTCCGTCAAGCGCTAGCATCATCCACACGACCCGCCGCACGAGCTGCTGCTCTGCAGCGCGGAACCGTTGCTCAGACTCGATTCGCATCCGGAGGATCGTCCTACAACCAGCCCACCGGTCTGCTCTTTGGCGAGAAGGTAAGTCTTTCCACCACGGCGCTCGATGATCGGGCCCTTTTGCAGCGCCTATCACATGAAGCACTTGCTCACTTGGCGTTGCTTTCGTTCGGCCCGCAAAACTACAGGTTCCCAAGGGTCAGAAGCGACAGAAGGAAGACTGGGAGAACATGTACTACTTCGGTCTCTTCGGAGGTATGGTCTTCGCCGGCGTCGTTCTCATGTACAAGCCCGACACCAGCATTCAAACATGGGCCATGTCCGAGGCGAAAAAGCGTCTCGAGTCCTCCGGAGACGTATGGCAGTACAAGCCATCGCCAAACTCTGGTCACCCCAACGGCGCATAGGTCCGCATCACAGACGAATGATATGATCGCAGCACATCAGCAATCTCAGAACGAACTTTCCCGCTATTTTGGTGCGATCGACTGGCTTTGTGCGCTCACATGGGAAGGTGGAAGCAGCGCGAACAGAGCAACACAAATGTTGAAGAGACTCTTCTTGCGGTGATCGGGAGGTAGCGCATCAGACGTTGCCCAATCTCAAAGACGGCGGTTGGGCTGTGTTCGATGGAAGTACGTTCTGACGCACATCTGACAAAGGAAGATGGTAACAATCGACATTCTAATGGAAGTGACGCAGATATGACAAAGGAAGGTGGTATCAATCGACATTCTATGAAAAGTGACGTCTGACAAAGGAAGGTGATGGTGATCGACATTCCATAGAAAGCGACGCACATCTGACAAAAGAAAGGAAGTATAAATCGGCGTTCTATAAAGAGAGTGTGGCCTACGATGCGTTCTTGGCATCCGGTCCTTCCTGGATCTACAATTTTGCGATATAATCGACAGCCTTGCCCAGCGCTGCGCACTGATCGCCTCTCTGCGCAACCGGCTGCATCTTTTGCCTGACAGGTCCGAAGCTCAACCCTTGCAACCTCGACGGTGTCAGCTGTTGCCACCTCACCCCGCCTCCTCCACTCGTTGTCCTCGCCAACGACGAAGCGTACGCCTTACCCCTCGTTCTCAGGTACGATTCGGACGGAGCAGGGTTTCCCGTTCGAATGAATGCAGCGAACTGATCCATGATGCTTGCCATCCATGGCAGATCGTTGTTGTCACGGTAGGGTAGTCGGAAACCGGATCCTGTGGTGTGGAACAGGGTCATCAGGTCACCCGAGTGACACATGTAGTAGCTCCTAGGATCGAGGTTGCCTTCCTTGGGTTGACAGACACCTTGTGGGTCGTAGTTGGGAATCTGGTACGATCGCTGGTCGTAGAAATACGCGTAGACCGAGGGGAAGACGTTGTTGACAGCAGAGGCGTATGCCATAGCTTGGATACCGCAACGATACTTGATCTCGGTGTTGACCGCCACGGTGAGGTTCTGAACACCGTACTGAGCAACCGAGAAGGTGGTGGGGCTGTTGAGCACCATGTTGCTGTAGTTGGACGAGATGCCTGCTGTGTCCATCGCCTTGGCGAGGTCGGTCTCAGAAGCAGGAGGGACGATGCCGAGCGAGGCTAGCTCGTCGCGCATCGTACCCCAGATCACGGGGACTCGGTTGACGTGTCCCTGTGCCTGTCCCGGCGGTCTCATGTCGAGACGCGGCGAGTTTATGTAGGTACCGTCCTGCACCACGTAGTTGATCGGGTTTGCCAGAAAAGCGTTAACACTCTTCGTCCGAAGACACGCGAGCACGTCGATAGCTGCATCGCATCCAACAGCTTTCACGACATCAGCTCCTCCATACGAACGAGCTTGGTCCGTGGTCCTATAGAGAAACTTGTCATCGTGACCTTTTCCGCTCATGACGATCGCACGATGGAAGAGCCCAGCTGCGGCAGGAGAAGCGAGCATGTTCTCCACCTGTTGTGCACCCGCCGACTGACCTGCAATGGTGACCTTGTTGGGATCACCACCAAAGTCCTTGATGTATTTCTGCACCCATTGGAGCGCTGTCACCACATCTCCAACTCCGTAGTTTCCCTTGATCTGATCGTTGTACGCCAGATATCCGAGCGAACCCAGACGATAGTTGATGGTCAGCACCACGACATCGGACCGGCTCGAGAGTCCTCCACTATCGAATGTGAAGTCCAGACCGGTTCCAGACATGTAACCTCCTCCATGAATCCAGACCAGCACAGGCTTGAGATTTTTGCTGTCGGCTGCTTCAGCAGCGGACGGCAGGTAGGGAGTGAAGATGTTGGTGACCAAGCACTGTTCGGTGAACGGCGCGTTGGAGCCCAGCTGGGGGCACTGGTTAGCTCGACCGGTTTGCAACGCAAGGACGTTGCTGGTGAGGGCAACCTTGGGGTCGAAGACGGTCGAGTACTCGAACCGCTGTGTGGGGTTGGCGTAAGGAACGGACTGAAAGCGGAAAGAAAGCGCATCGCGGAAGCCGGTGTACTGGACACCATTGCTTTGGGTGCTTACGCGCCATGACGAGGAGGTGTCGGTCGCGTTGGCCGTGTTCCAAGGCGCGCTTTGGGTGCACAGTGCGGGGTACTTGCTGCTGCTGCTAGGACGCGAGACTTGAAATACGGTGGCGCCGTTGCTGTTCTTCGAGGTGGTCAGCGCGTTGCCACTTGATAGCCAATAGGTCTGAGCAGAAGAGTAGGATCCGTCGAGGACGAGGTAATTGAGCTGAGCTTGCAGACCGGCGTCGGTGCTGGCAGAAGAAGGCGCAAGCGATTCGCCAAGGTTTCGACAATGGGTATCAGCATCGCTCGACGCCCAAGGAGAGGAGAGAAGGAGGTAGCCGGCCTGACGAGCAGAGGAATCGGCCTTGTTCCAGTCGAGGTCGTTCTGATACAAGAGACGAACACCGCTGCTCGTAACGGGAGCTGCCTGAACGGCGTAAGCTGCAGCCACGATGCAAAGACTTGCTCCGAAAGTGACGGATCGCAACATTTTGAATGGCGTGTGGTCGACGTCGCTTGAGAGGCAAGGAGTACAAGGTTGGAATGAGGCTCACGAAGGCGGGGCGGCGATCATGCTGATCAAGGTCGTACAGTCGGGTTCCTCGGAATGAACTGGGGGCCCTCTGGAAATGAAGTGGCGAGCTGTATATGTATCTGATGGCAAGACGAGCTGGTTGATGCTACATAGCTGCCAAGCAAAGACTGGTTGCAATTGCCGCCCACACGCACGGAGGAACGGCAGGGCGTAGCAATTGATGGCGGCGGTCATTGCGGCAACCTTCTCAGGGGGCCGGCACGACTCGAGTGAGTGAGTGAGTGAGTGCACAGCGTGGACGAGGACAAGCGGTCAAACGCGCAGCTGGGCATGAATAGCCGAAGCGGAGCGCGTCTGTCTAAGCCTGCATGCCGTGTTGGATGGACCCTTTGACACTGCCGGTTGGCATTTGGCATGTAGCAACATTAGCCTAGCGTCCCGACGGCAGAAGCCAAGTTTTGCTACACAAGACCACAAAGTCAGACTGGCAGCCTGAAGCTTTGACCATAATGATTGCTTGCATCTCGCTTACGACCGTCGGTCTACCCCGTCCATGCGACTAAGACTTTGCTTTTGCTTCTCCGCTGGTTCGACGTTCGTTCCTGATTGACTGCCTAGGCAGCCGCCAACAAAGCGACAGAAGCTCAGAGTATGAATCGCCGACGTTCGCTCGAAGTGAAACCATGGTGCGATGCCGTCCGTGAAACATAGTGCACCGGGAACGAGGGCTGCGGAAGATGTTCACGTTCACTCGAAATGGAACATCGACCATCACGTTCCACGGTGGAAAGCCGGTGGGGAATGACAGAAAGGCGTGAGATCTGTCGACAGCAATTGCAAATTCCGCCTAGTGCTTCGACGGGATTGTTTGCTGCGGCCAAATCTGCGGGCCGTTTTCGGGCTCCGCTGTTTCTCTCATGCAAAATTCGAGATCTATGTCCAGGAACCGCGTTGCCCCGCCCCGCCCCGCTCGAACGTCTTCGTCAGAAGGCCCTGTAGACCAGCGCGTCGGAGCTTCTGCTGAAGAAGACGACGTCATCGCTTGGTCGAGACCCAACAAGCTACGCAGGAGCATGCAAAATCTAAAACAGGGTGACGGGCGTGAACGTGCAACGACAGGGCTCAACGGTCTTCGCTGCAAAAGTTCGGTTTCGGTCTTGGCGCCCTATCTGCTACTTCAGATGGTTCGGAAGGCTCAAAGGCTAGACTGTGTCATGCACCGGTGCACCTATCGACGGATTTCATCGTTGGAAATGTTTGATCGTCGCATGTAAGCGAGCGACCATTTAGGCCTGGAATGCATCAATTATGCCGAACCTCGAAGCAGACGATCGTGCATTGACACATTCCTCTCAGTCAGGTGGACTGCTGGCTTTGTGCTCCCGAACAAGGCACCGAGGGTGCCGAACAAGCAACCGTAAGAGGAACTCCTGCTCAGCCACGCACAGTTCGCTCGAAGTCGGCAAGTATCTGAGAACGATGCTCAGACGTCGTCGCGGCATGCTTTCGGCGTGTGGAATGGTTGCTGCCGATCGATCTTCGTATAAGCCAAGTAACATAGCTGAGCTCCTGCTAGGTTAGTGCCGAGAGAAGATTGGGGAATGGCGAAGAAGGCAGGTCGAAGTGGACCAGGTCATACAAGCTGAGAGGCTTGGAGCCCTTAATTCCGGACAGGTGGAGGCCAGATCTAACAAACAAAAAGGCTGAGCGTCTAGGCGCAGCAGCGGATAGATCTTCAGGGTCCAGAGTTGGCTGCGAACAATTACGTGGCCTTACATTTGACACTGCTTTTGGCTCTGGCTCAGCTCGACCCAAACTGTGGCTGAGGCTTGGCGAGCTCGGTCATTTTAAAGCTCGCACGAAGCCGAACGCGCAACCCAACGGACGACATCCTCGATTGTCGCAACCTCGTCGTCTTGCTCCATCCCTCCCGCGTCTACCACCACCTCGACATCCGACTCCTATTCCTTCCAGCGTCATGCCAGAACGATCAACAGGTCCGATGATGTTCATCGGCGAGCGATGCGCATTCGATGAATGCCATCGAGAAGACTTCTTGCCTTTCAAGTGCAGCGACTGCCGACAACACTACTGCTCGAATCATTTCAGACCACAGGCGCATCGTTGCGCTCACTACGATGTCGCCGACGTCGACTATCGCGTACCGCTGTGTCCGATCTGCGACAACCCTCCTGAGGGGTGGAAGCGCGACCAGGACCCCAACATTGCCATGGACCGCCACCTCTCCGGTCAATGTCCCATGCTAGACAGCAACGGCTACCTCAAGCCGAACGCAGCACTGCCAAAGTCGACACAGATGAAGAGAGTCAAGAAGACCAACGAGTGCTCGTTCGTCAAGTGCTCCAAGATCATGGTGGTGCCCATCAAGTGTCCACAATGCTCGGCATCCTTCTGTCCATCCCATCGTGCGCCGAATCAACACAGCTGCAAACACGCTTCCACATCTTCGTCTCCAGCATCTTCGTCAACACGGCTGGCGAACAGCACTTCGTCGGCGAGTGGCATCAAGAATGCCTTTTCGAACCTCAAGATCAGCAGCCACTCGTCATCATCCGCTCCCATCAAGCCAAGCCCCCCATCAAACCAAACACCATCCCGACCAATAGACGCCTCAAGCTCGAACACGACGTCGGCACCGTTTGGCAAGATGTTCGATAAGTCTGAAAAGTGGGTGCCAAAGCCGATCTTTGGCAAGGCTTGATTCGTTTGCACGGTATGCCTTGCTCAAAACTTCATCCGCAGCCATCCTTTCGTCAAAGAATTAGCGCCGAACTGACTCTTTCATGCCCCCTTTTGCTTGCACTGTAGACGCGCAAAAGCCGAACGACTATCTGCCATCCGTGCCATGCAGGCTCGCCAACGCAAAGGCATTCTGTCCAAAGCAGACGAGCTCAAGCTGGCCGAAGAGATGGCTATGTTGTCCAAGACGGAGCGGATCAAGGCCTCAGATTCGGATTGCATCGTCATGTGAGATGTTGTTAGGAAGACGGTGTTGGATTGTAGGCTGCCCATTATACCCTTGTCACTACAGTGATAGTTTGAATTTGCATAGACGGGATATATTTCAACAATCGGGGCTGTGATGCGAGGAGTGGTGTGGATGAGAAGGTGATCATTGGTCGTAGACGAGTTGACGGAAGGTGATACTCTGTCACAGGTTAGGGTCGGCGATAGAGGGAAAGTGAGTGGTCAGCTTGGAAGATTCGATTTGAGTCAGGTAGCCACTTGGAATGCGGTGCTTACGATCCTTGGACCTTTGACTTTGAGCTCCTTGGGAATCTCGTGGGTATAGTACTTCTGCGTCTGACCCTGCATCACGAGCAGACTACCTCCGGCCAATGTCCAACGCTTCTTTACCTCCTCCGCTTTCACCTCCTGCTTGCCAGCCTTGTTCCTGGGTGATTTGCGTTGCATGATCCAACTCCTATCAGCTCCTAACGAGACTGTAACGATGACCTTGTTTTCTATGTTATCCGAGTGTTTACCGATGTATACGCTTCCGTCGTCGTAGCGATTGAGCATGCAGTGGTTGAACTTGACATTTTCGCCCAAACAGTCGTCGCTGGAGAGGAGCGAGGCGATGTGGTTGAGTAGAGGTGGGAAAGGATAGTGAAGTTCGACTGGGTGACCGCTGTATTTGAGGTGGAGGCCGGGAGCGGTTGCGTAGGCAGCGATCTCTCTGCTTTGCGTGATCTCTCGACCGTACACTTTGAGTTTGGGACGATACCATTCGGGCAGCTTGTCGAGTTGAGAACGCCATTCTTCGGCGAGCGAGCGGTCAATAAAGTCTGGCTTGTAGTAGATCTCGGCATCAGGAAGGTCGGACACTTTGTAGGCGGCGCAGAAAACGGATCGCGTCACTTGGTGGAAGGGTCCTCGGTGATGATATTGTGGCGCGGCGGACGGTGTTGAGGTGGAAGCCTCTGGATTTGGGCGAGAGCGTTTCCCCAAATGTTCGTCCTCATCTGTGATCGTAGAATGCGAGCGTGTGCGCTTGGCGATGGTACCGTCCGTCTTGGTGGCGGTCAGCTTGGCACGCTGAGCACCAAACTTGACGTTGAAGAGCGTGCTCTGAAAGGTGCGTTTCGTCGGAGAACTCGAGCCGCTCGATGTGGGTTCTGCTTGCGCCGAGACCGGCGGAGTCGGCGCAAACGACGTCGAAGATCTAGCCATATATGTAATCGCGAATCGTTTCAGCCCGATAGATGTCCCGTGACGTTGAGGATGTAGAGGAAAAGGTTGAGTCTGGTTCATACGCTATTTGCCACTGCTTCGGCTATCCACAATCTCCACACTTGGAATCTGTCAGCCAGGGTCCAACGCATAACAGAAACGTTGCCCGATCCCGATGCTCCCAGCGAAAAAGAAAATCGGCGACCAGACCGAGGGACGCGTCTCATCTCGAGCCCGGTTGACTTTCCGTGAGCTGCAGGTGCACTTTAGATCTCCTTATCAGCTGCAGCGGATGACCTTGACGTTGAATCATCTGCCTTCTACTTCCCACACAGTCTGCCCTCCGAAGGCTTCACGAGGCGTGCAAAGACGCATTTAGCTGCATCTTATGCATCCCACTCGGAAAGCTCTTCGATCAGGCAAGTCGATCAGCCATGCAAAGTGTGCTGCTGAAAGTGTTCCAGCTGGTCAAGCTGGCAAACAAGTGAGAGACGGACCGGCGAAATTGTCTCATAGAAATCTGAACAACCCGCCTGCAACATGGAAAATTGCCGCGTTTTGGTTGGCTGCCGTGCCTTTTCCAAGGGTCTTTTCTGCTTTTGACCTTTTTTTCTTTGCAACTCGCCGGCGGTGGAACGCGTGTCGCAACGGCTCCAGCTCGGTCGAACGAGCCCGTTCCTTGCAAAGGAGGAGACTGTTGGGGTGGGCAAGTCACGGTCATGTGGCAAATACTACACAGCTTCATCGCAAAACAAAAGTGAGGCACGCTCGGTCAACAGCAAGACCTCTCAGCTTGGGCGAGATTGACGAATCAAGGTGTGAGCTCGATCGAAGCGTAACATATACCTTGCACAAGGTGAGCAGCTGAGTCTGAGTGGATAGGCCGCGGACAGCGCGGTGGGTGTTCGAAGTGGGCAAATCGATGTGGTCTCAAACCAAAGAGAAGCAAGCGCGCCGGCGAGTTTTTTTTTCTTTCTCTTCTTCAGGATTTTCTTCCAAAAAAGCTTAAACAATTCGGAGACTGCAGTGTGGCTCCTACTTTGCTTTCTTCTAAAATTTAGTCTTTTTTTGCTTTGTATTTTTTGGCAGGCACGGACCGTTGGAGATCTTGCTATCTTTGAGCTGGGATTATTATCGCTTCTTCATCAGCGCAGCGGCTGCAGAAACCAGCCTCTGCACGGCTCTCTTTTCTCTGCTCTGTCTCGGTCGGCGGGTGCGGTGGCAGCCACGGTAGCTTGTCTCGAAATCACCGCGCTGTTGCTGTCTGAGCGTTTTTTTCTTCTTGTTGCTTGCTGCCTCGTCAGGTCTGAGCGCACACTCGAATCGATCTTCGCTTCGCCTTGTCAACCAACACCGCGCACCGCCTTCCTTCTCGCCTTCCTCCACCATCACCCTTCCCATCGATCAAGGTCACACGTTGCACATCCCTGACTACACCATGATCTACGCTCCTATCGCCAAGACCCAGCTCGAGTGGTACGCCTCGCTCAACCCGCTCGAGCACGGCGTCGACAACAAGTTCTTCCGTAAGACCTCGATCATCGCCACCATCGGCCCCAAGACCAACAATGTGCAGATGCTCGGCGCCCTTCGCCAGGCAGGCATGAACATTGTCCGTCTCAATGCTTCCCACGGTTCGCACGAGTACTTCAAGTCGGTCGTCGACAACGCCCGTGCTGTCGTTTCCCAGACCCCTGGTCGTCCCCTCGCCATCGCTCTCGACACCAAGGGTCCCGAGATGCGAACCGGTGTCATGGTCAACGGCGAGGACGTCAAGATTCCCATGGGTCACGAGTTCTACGTCACCACCGACGATGCCTACGCCGAAAAGTGCAGCCTCGAGCACCTCTACATTGACTACAAGAACCTCGCCAACAAGGTCGAGGTTGGCCGAACTATCTACATCGATGACGGTATTCTCTCGCTCCAGGTGCTCGCCATCGAGAGCGACAAGCTCGTCAAGGTCCGCGCCGTCAACAACGGTGTGCTCTCCTCCAAGAAGGGTGTCAACCTTCCCATGACCGAGGTCGACCTGCCCGCCATCTCGGACAAGGACCGCAAGGACATCGAGTTCGCCGTCGAGCAGGACCTCGACATGATCTTTGCCTCCTTCATCCGACGCGGCAGCGACGTCCGCACCATCCGCGAGATCCTCGGAGACAAGGGTGCGCACATCAAGATCATCTCCAAGGTCGAGAACCACCAGGGTGTGCAGAACTTTGACGAGATCCTCAAGGAGTCGGACGGTATCATGGTGGCACGTGGTGATCTGGGTATCGAGATCCCTGCTCCTCAGGTGTTCATGGCGCAGAAGATGATGATCTCCAAGTGCAACATTGCGGGTAAGCCGGTCATCTGCGCTACGCAGATGCTCGAGTCGATGATCGTCAACAACCGACCTACGCGTGCCGAGGTTTCCGACGTTGCCAACGCCGTTCTCGACGGTGCCGATTGCGTCATGCTTTCCGGAGAGACTGCCAAGGGTGCCTACCCGATCGAGGCGGTCAAGATGATGGCCGAGACCGCATACCTCGCCGAGCAGTCCGTCTCGTACGTCCCGCTCTTCAACGAGATGCGAACGCTCACCTCGATCCCCACCGACACCAACGAGACCATCGCCATGGCCGCCGTCGCCGCCTCGCTCGAACAGCACGCCGGTGCCATCCTCCTCATGTCCACCAGCGGAAACACCGCACGTCTCGTCTCCAAATACCGTCCCAGCTGCCCTATCCTCACCATCACGCGCAACACTCACACCGCACGCGATGTCCACCTGTACCGAGGCTGCTACCCCTTCCTCTACCCGCACACCCGTCCCGAGGACAACAGCAAGTGGCAGGAGGACGTCGACAACCGCATCAAGTACGGTCTCGCCGAAGCACTCGCACTCGGCATCATCCAGAAGGGCGACGTCGTCATCACGCTCCAGGGCTGGAGGGCGCAGAGCGGTAGCACCAACACCATCCGCATCCTCAGCGTTCCAGAGAGCGCCAGGGATTTCAAACTCGAGGGTACCCACACTCAGTAGAGCTCTCTCTCTCTCTCAGCGCACTTGTAAGGACCCCCCGCCGTGTTGAGGGGGTTTTCTTTGTTTTTGGTAGTTCTTCCATGTTTGGGTTCTTTTCATTCTTTGCAGCAAAATGATCTTGGTTCACTTTTGAATAGTCGATAAGAGAGCTGTGTGGGATGGTGTGCGGAAGTGAGAGTCAGCCGTTGTGTGTGGTAGATGAGACGTGTGAAGGAAAGAGCCGAACAGAAGAGAAGCGGGAGGACTGACACGGCAGGTCCCCTTTGCATAGCTTTTGTTCGACAGTGCGGATTCAGGGGCAGGACCGGAACGGCAAAGGCAACATCAGCACGGGGAATGAGGGGCTCCTAACCGTACAGGGGACGGAATCAAAGGGTCGGCTAGATAACAAAGTCGCCGTTCTTTCCGATCTAGAAGCATGTCGTCCCCCCATCACATGGGTCGGCAGAGAGGCCGGTCAATTTCCCCTCATCGGAGGCGAAAGATGAGAAGAACATTTAGCGCCATCGAAGAGCGGCCGGGCGGAAGAAAGCCCAGAACAGGCGAGAGAAGGCCGGGTGTTCAGGCGGTGTTGAAAAACGTGAAAGGATCAAACCGGAACCTCTCCCCTCCCAGGCGGACCAGACCGGCAATCGAAACGATTGCTCGCAAATGTTAAGCCTCTCTCAACCAAACATGTATCCAGGCTACTTGGACGACCGGTGAGAATAAACCGGATTACCCACCAAAGAGCAGCGAAGCCGCGGAACCTGTTTCGTATGTGGCTGCAAGCAGTCGTCCTTTTGTTGGGGATGGAAGCCACATGCACGGCTGCACAGCTGCATGACGCGGGAGAAAAAAACAAACTTGCCTTCATTTTTATCCTCCTCTTGGCGAGAGCGCGATACGCGCCGGATTTGTGTCAAATTGTGCGGCCAAGCCATCGTTTGGAATGGTTTCGACGAGAGAAGTGTTTGGGTCGGTGCGAGAGACGAGGAGGAGGATCGTGGTTGCGGTGAGATTGTTTGCAAAAGCCGCGGTTGCGAGATGTGCGGTTCGTGTGAGCAAAGCGAGTTTGCTGCGGATATCGAGTTGGACGCCGCAGGGTTTTACGTAGAGAGGACGTCATGCTCCTCGCTCCCGTCGCCAGTCGCCACTGTGAGGGGCAGCACTTGCTGTCGACCGCGAACTCGAACTCGGCACAGTCGACAGCAACGTTATCGGTCGAGGAGTCAGCAATGACGTTGACGACCGCGAGCATGAGTTATCGAGCAAGCTGTCTTGCAGAGGCTACAAGAAGGTTAATCGAAGGCCCTGTCAACGAGTATTGGGTGTGCAAAGCGAGTCCAGGGACCCGGTTTCGGTGTCCGCCCTGTCTGCAGGGTCGAAACGCAGCTCTCGGTGCTTTTCATGCTATTCCTTACCTCCGGCCTCTACTCCTCTCCCTGAGTCTCACGCTACTGGCCGATCAGACAAGTCTTCTGTACGGTAGCTTTCGTCGCCTCCGATGGTTGCCTCTGCTTCCCGCCGTAGATCCTGCTGATGCATATGTCAAAGAGTGGAGCAAAAGGGATCGAAATGAGCCGACTAGGCAACCAATATGGGCTGACGGAGGTGGACCGTTCACACGTCGCAAAACCATTGTGTTGAGGTTGAACAAAATGGAATTCGAGCTCTCGAACAAAACGGGTGCGAGTGCGAACGGCTCATCCGAACACCGTCAAGGCATGAGTTTGGCTGTGCATGGGTGTGGTCGATGCAGCCACTGACGGTGCGGGGAGGAGGAAAGTGGATGAAAAGAGAGCTGCTTGGTTTACCCCAAAGACCGGTCGGAGTGAAGCCGATGGAGCGGTCGTGCGAGCTGCCACCCACAAAAGTTCGGAAAAAGTTTCTCGCCGTACACTGCCAAGCACTTTTTATTCTTTTCCTCTCATGCTGCAGCTGCTCGAGTAGGTGTCCCCTCCTCGTGGTATATAGACCTCTCTCGACTTATGCACCGTCTTCGCCCGTGAACGTCACCCGCTTCTTCATCCTCTACCCCTCCACCAGAACGGTCGCCTTTCACAATGCTGTATCCACTCGACAACCCGCGTCTGTCCTTCCTGCAGCGTCTCGCTGAGCAACCGTACCCAGCCAAACCCGAAGGCCTGCCCGTCGCCGACTGGGCGTTCGAACTTTCGCTCACACCCTACGTACCGCTGCTCACCGGCGTAGTCTACCTGATCGCCACGCACGCCACGAACCACCGATTCGGTCCGGGCAAACCTCAACCCGCCGACCTGGTCAAACAGTCCTACGGACTCTCGCAGACGGTTCTCGGCCACAACATCCTGCTAGCCGCCTACTCTGGGTGGACATTCTTCCACGCTGCCACACGAATCTTTTCGTACCTCTTCCGCGGAGCTGTCGCGGGTGGGGTGGGTGGTCTTACGAATGCGTTCTGCACTGTGCCGGTTGCAGACTCCTCCTTCGCAGGTCTGGGTATCTACGTTTGGCTGTTCTACATCTCCAAGTACTACGAGATCATTGACTCGGTCATCCTGATCCTCAAGGGCAAACCTGTATCGAATTTGCAGTCGTACCATCACGCGGGTGCGATCCTCTGCATGTGGGCCGCTTACAGGTACAGCGCACCCGCTGTGTTCATCTTCTTGCTCTTCAACTCACTTGTCCACACCCTGATGTACACGTACTACTCGATGACCGCCATGAAGCTTCCCTTCACCGGCGGACTGAAGAGGAGCATGACTACGATCCAGATCACCCAGCTGGTCGTCGGGTGCGGACTGGCTAGCTCGTACGCGTTCCTGACGTACGATCCCACGAGCTACGCCGCAGGTGCAGTTCCCAGTCCCGGAAGACACATTCTCAACCCCGTCAAAGCAGCCTACTCTTCCTTCGACTCCACCAACGCTACGAGCAACACGTGGATCCCGACAAACTCGAGGGAGGCGGTCCAGCTGCTGAAACAGGCGCTGCTCAAAAGCGTAGGCAAGGACAACACCACCAGCTGCATCGCCACTTCCGGTCAGCTGTTCGCCGTGGCGTTGAACGTGGCGTACCTCATCCCGTTGATCTACCTGTTCGTCAGCTTTTACATCAGGAGCTATCAGAAGAAGGCTGCGAAGAAGGGAGGTAAAGCTCAGTAGAGCGACGGAGGTAGGAAGGGGAAAGTTGCTGTAGAATATAATGGTCATGCTATTCCGAAGATCAGAATGGTCTGTTTGGGCAAAAGGCTGTGTTTGTGATCAAGGTTCTGTCTGTCGACTGTTCTCACGTGGGCACTTGTGACTTCATCGCAGGGGTTGACCCAGGATTCGCTCTCTGGATGTGAGTGAACAACTCTTCAAACACGCATTCTGAACAAACGGAGGAGATGCTGTGACGAATATCAACATCAGAAAAAACACTGACAACGGTACCAAAATGCAAAAGTGCTACAAGAGCTGGTATAACTACAAACATGACAAAAAAGACAACCGTTTCTGCTTTAAAGAATGCCCAACTGCTGCAATATCTTGCCCAACTTGGCCGCGATCCTCTCTGCGATCCAATTGGTGATGGCCTCCAGCCCCCAGAAGAAGAACCCTCTCGAGAGCGCATCGACCTTCTTGACGGTCAACACTGCCGTCCTACCGTCCTGACCGATGTTGTGATTGATACCGTGTCTTCCGGCCTCCAAGAGACCGTCTACCCATTCTACGTCTGCTTTGTAGTAGACGTTGTTCCACTTGCCACCTCTTTCCGCAGCGGCGACGAGCAGGTCTCTGCCGACGTTGTAACCGTCGCGATCGATGGTATGGTGGTACTTGAGGTTCTTCTCCTTGCTGACGGCTAAGAACCAGGCGCCGGTGTTTGCCATGGTGCCGTTCTGCTTCCAGACGCGGAAGTGGTTTCCACCGTACAGGCTCTCCCAGCAGGCACCGACCCATCTACCGGGAGCACCGGGGAACCCCGTCTCGCGGTATTCGAACATCTCCGGTATCCATCCCTTGCCATCGCCCAGATCAGCACGCTGCAGGTTTCCCATGTGCAAGTTGAGACATTCGAACGAGAATCCGATGGTTCGAATGTAATCCTTCAACCCGAGATCGGAGAGGACGTGCTTGTCGGACTTGCCAGAGATGATGACGTTGATGGGTTCGCGAAGACCGTTACCGACGAGATCGAGCATGGAGCCTCCATAGGTGCGCGGATCGATCCATCCGGGAAGGTCCGGGTCGCCGGTTCCATCGCCGTTGTCGAGATCGAGCGCAGAGTAGACCTGGTCTTCGGAGAAAGAGGCGTTGTAGGTGAGGTAGTCAGAGACGGTGATGGCGGGGTCGTTGAGGTCGAGCGACTCGCGTGTGGGCGGTGAGGGGGAGGCTGTGGTGGGTGAGTAGGGGTCGATGGGCAGCCATGGTATCGCGGAGGCTGTTGTGAGTGATGCTGCTGCGGCTGCTGTCAGGGATAGGAGCGTTGGTAGCAATCGCATGGTTGTTTGTGAGTGTCGCCACAGGGGCAGAGCCAACGAAGATGCAGTCAATGAAGAGAAGGACCAGTCTGCGTAGAGAAAGAAAGCGAAGCGGAAGGTGCGCAATAGGTGGTCGAGTCGATGATGATGGTGGTGGTGATGGTGATGATGATGATGTCGATCGGAACGACGTAGCCGACTTTGGGTGCAATTCGATAGGAGCCACTCGCACTCACCGACAGACACTACTTCGGCGAAATTGCTAAATTCCGGCGAAAGCGAGCGTCACTCGTTGCCGTTCTTGCCCAATTTCGGCCCTGCATGCATCGAAACCCCGCAACGTTGTTGAAAATAGCACTGCGGACACAAGATTAAAGCTCACCTTGGCCTCAAATCTCTCGTGCGATTCACAGGTCGCGTCCGTATCTCCTCCACCTGTGCACAGTGTGTGTTGCTGTCGCAAATCCACAAGCCCTTGCGCTTCTCAATCGCCCTCACCAGACTCCCTCCCTCTTCCATCCCATCAAACTCATCTCACCATGTCGACGTCGACACCAGAAGAACTCCTCCGCAACGCCGAAAAGAAGGCATCCGCTTCCGGCGGTTGGTTCTCCTCCGCCACCTCCAAACAGGAGGAAGCCGTGGAACTCTTCAAAGCTGCCGCCAACAAGTTCCGCATCGCCAATCGATTCGAAGAGGCCGGAAACGCCTACATGCGTGCCGCCGAGACTGAGATCAAGACCGGAGAGAAGGACTACGCCGCCAACACGTTCTTCGAAGCCAACAAGTGTTTCCGCATGAGTCGACCCGAGCTCGCTGTCGTAGCTCTCACCCGTGCGAGGGAGATTCTCATCGAGCGGGGCAGGTTCAGACAGGCAGCGGATAGGGAGAAGGCGGTAGCGGAGCTGTACAAGAACGACGCGAACGATCCGGAGAAGGCGTTGGAGGCGTACGAACAGGCGGCGAGTTGGTATCTGCAGGAAGGAGCGAATGCTACCGCCAGCGGGTGTTACAGGGAAGCAGCCACGTTGGCTACCGATCTAGGCAGATTCCCTCAAGCCATCGAGAGGTGGGAACAGGTGGCGAGCATGTCCTTGGAAAGCAACCTGACAAGATACAGCGTCAAAGACTACTACCTGAACGCTGGAATGTGTTACCTCGCTATCCCAGTAAGTGTTTCCCTCCCCACACATCCTACTTTTCTCCCCCCTAATACGCGCAATCGTTCTTACTAACACTTCACAATCCCAATCATCCTCCTACTCAACGCAAAACAGGACTACGTAGCAGCAGTGCGCGCAATGCAGTTCTACGCGGAACAGGACGCAAGCTTCCCGACCACCATGGAAGGTCGTTTCCTCCACTCGCTCGTCCAGGCCTGCGAAGAGGGCGACCTGCAAACCTTCGACGCCCGCGTACAGGAGTACGACCGCACCAAAAAAATCCAAGGCTGGCAGGCTTCGCTACTCAGAGCCGTCCGTAAGGGCATTCAGGACGAACCTGACCTGTCCTAGAACCCATCACTCTTGCCCACCCTTTTGTACCCTTGACGCTCTGTTGCAATATCATTTCATATGGGATCGAAGAAAAGATGTGTGGATTGCAAAAAAACACTAATACTCAAACTCACAAGCCAACGCCAAGAAAGCAGCATCGTCATCCACATCGCCAAAACTGTCGTCCGACGAAGCAGGTCCCGCCTTACTGCTCGACCTCTTGACCGGACTGCTACTCCTCACCTCTCTCGTCGTCATTCGCGTCGTTGTTGTTGCTCGCGCCGCGATCGCCGGCGGCCGGAACGGTGCTGATGGACCAACAGCCCCTCCTGCTGCAGCAGGGCAATGCTGAGAGGCCGAGATGGACTGCGAGCAGCTGCGTGGTAGACCTGGTTGTCGAGCTTGTGATAGTTTGCCGAGTGCGAGTGCACGCGCACGTCCCGGTGTGGTGGTGTTGGTGGTGGTGGTGGTGGTCGAGGGGCCTGGCTTGCGAGACAGTGTGTGGGTGGTTGAGGATGCAGGCTTGGCATGGGGTGATACGGATTTAGACAGCATCGAAGGGCCGCGCACGCCGAGCTTCTTGGTGTTGTGGGTGGTCTGCTGCATCGCCTCGATGCGCGCCGAACGTTTGACAGGAGACGGTTGTGCGACGGTGACTGTCTTTGTTGCATGGATCGGCGCATCGATTGCGGGTGCCCGGACCGTCGACGAAGCTGTAGACTTGGTTGCTTCGGCTGGCACCGCCTGTGCGGTGGGGCTTGCCTTGTTGTGTTGCTCCACGTTTGCCTCACTGGGTTGCAAGACCGTGCTGGTCTGGATCGGCGCCTTGGACGGTGGGCCTTGCTGCAGGCTTTGGCTGTCGGCCCGCGGCTCCGATGGCAGGTTGATCGGACGAGGCTGCAACGCACGAGTCTCCATTTCGCTCCCTCTTGCGTTACCGGCCGCTCTGAACACATCGTGATCCGACTTGACCGGGCGGAAGCCGCGACGCGGAGTCAAAGGAGCAGTCGAACCGTTGTGCTGGTGGTCTGGTGATCGCGAGTGCTTGTCCTCTTCGCGAAGCTGCTGCGAGTGCTGTACCGCTCGCGACGCGTGAGGTGCTGAAGCCGTCCTGTTGATACCTTCTCTTGCTGTCAGTCTGCCACCACTGCTCGCTCCACCACTGCTGCGCCCATCGATTGTGACCGTGGGACGCTGGTCAGCATCCCCGGATTCACTCGTCGAGGGGCGTGAGGCACTTGACATGCCCTGTATCGCGGCTTGCAGGTCCTCAAACAGCTTCAAGCAGTCGGTAGCTCGACCCGAGTCATCCGTGAAGCCAAGTCCTGCGATCAAGGACTCCTTTTTGCGTCTGCGTGGTGGGCGTCGTTCGAGTCGTCGATGCGATGAAGTATGCTGTGGTGCATCCTTGTCGAGCGGTAGTGACATGTGACTGTGTGCTGAGCTATGTTGCGAAGACGAGGATGGCTGTCGCATTCTGCCAGTGTTTCCGGCGTCCATCGTCCTTCTCCTTGCCGACTCCGGCGATGACTCGCCCACGTCGCCAAGAAGGAGTCTTCTTGGCCCGTCGGCGCTTGCTCCATCCTCTTCGTCATCGTCGGATAGCTCCAAATTGATGTACTCACGCAACTTGACCCGGTTCGCCGTAGGATCAGAGACGTGTCTTGCGCTGCCGCGGGATGCATCCATGAGCTTCTTCCTCTTTGCCGAGTCGCGCGCGATGAGCGGCGACTGAGCCTCGTAGGCTCCTGGCAGCTTCTTGAGCTCTCCTACAAAGGCCTGTGTACATAGCGGCAAGGTGGGTGACTCTTGACTCTTGCTCGGCGTCCAGTTGGCAAGCTGTCGCAGCACACCTGGGGACGGCGATGCATGCCAGAACACCTTGGACGTCGAAGGCTGTGAAGACGACTGTTGGGATGAGGATGGACCGGCGGAAGTGCTGAGATTGAGAGAGTCGAAGAGCTCCGACATGATGGGCGAGTTAGACCAGGCCAAGCAGCCAGTGTGAGAGGTGTTGGAGGCGGGTAAATGATCCTTATGTTGTCATGGCTGAGTATGGCAGGAATGAGAATTGGTTCCGACAAGGTATCCTGCGTGGATCCAGAAGCTGGGGAAATGTCTGGGCAAGCGCTAGGTGGTGGAGGATGGTGGGAGTTGGAAAGAAGGTCGAGCTGTCGTTACGATGGCGGTAGAAGGTAAGCACAGAGAGAGACGGAGAGACGGACCGGCATGGGAAAGGGCACGGTCGAGAAGTCACAACTTACGACCCTGCATCCCTCGCGCCAATTCAAATTTTGATGCTCTCGCGCGGCCGCAGACTGGGAAATTGATTTCGCTCAACTCTTAGCACTCGCACGGCTAGCTGATCAGAGAGAGCATGCTGCCTGCACGAGTTGACATTGCGACAGCCCGGTGGACAACGACGATCATTCATACACTCTTCGAAGACCACAAATGAAAGGCTGCAGAAGGCCTCCCGACCACGACGCGTGGCGTGAATCAAGCGCCCTTCAGAGACCAACACTTGGCCTTTTTCGGGAAATGTTACGTTTGAGCGCGTCCAGTCGCGGAGTGGCAAGAACAGAGTCACGCGCAACGACTACCAAAAAAAGGACCTCCACCTCGCGCACATTTCTCAACTCGTCGGTGCTCGGCATACAGGAAGCACTGTTGCACCGCATCGCAGAGCATGGAATAGTGGCCACTGCGATGGGATATCTTCGAATGAAAGCTGCTCGTCGCATAGATGCGATCAAATCGGACTGCACATGGCTGTCTATTAAACAGCTCCCTCTCTCAGCTCCTAGCCAGGAATACCTGCTTGCAGCACAGCTGATGGGGTGCGCCATCCTCGTCGTACCTGTCACCGACAGGCGTGTAGCCCAACCTGCAGCAATGAGAGCAAGGCAGTAATAGGTGAGGTCAGTGACGTTCCGTGGAGCGAGAAACCATCGTGGAAGCGTAGACTTACTTCTGGTAAAAATCGATCACGTAGATCTGACTGCTGAGCTTGATCACGATACTCTCCAGTCTCTCCTCATCTCCTTTCGTCTGCCTCGTCCCATGTTGATCCCCCTGCAGCGTCGGTCTTGGCCCAAACGCACCCTGCTTTGACGTCTCGTCGCTCTGCAAAACGCCGATCAACCACTCTTCCGCCTTCCTCACCAACAGGTTTCCCAATCCCTTGCCCCTAGCCGCCTTCAGCAGCGCCAACCGTCCCAGCTTGGCCCCACCTTTCTCCGTCATCTGTTTTGCTGTCTCCTTCTCCTCCGCTTCCGTCTGTGCTGGATCCCTTGCACTCGGTGCAGAGGGAGAGTAGTGTGACCAAGCAGCGCTGATGAAATCGCTGGCGATGGCGGATTCGCTTCGACTCCCGCCGAGCGGGAACGATGAGTTCGGATCGGGTTCGGCTCCTGCTTCGTCTGGCTTTGGGATGGGTAGTGGGTAGGGCAGGAGGCGGAGTGTACCGAGAGCGGTGCTGGGGTCGGAGTTGTGCGTGAGGATGAAGTGAGCGGCGAGCGGATCATATTGGTCGATCTCGTCGGCGAGCGCGAATCCTTGCTCTTTCACAAACACTTCGATGCGGACGGAGCACACTCCGCGGAGTTGCGCGCCGGACGTGCAGAGTGTCACCGAGTATTCGTCTGCGCTCGACATCTTGAGCAGTGTGGAAAGTACCTGCTGAACGACAGGTACGATGGTGTGCGAAAGCGAGACAGTGTCGGATTAGCCGGTGCTTTAGTCTTTATCGCTGGGCTGAACTGCATTGCCGGTCGTTGAACTTCTTTTTGGCAAGAACAACCTCGAGTGTTAGCTTCTTTTCCCAGACGCGCCAAGCAAGAGACGAGACCAACACTTTTTTCTGGAAGATCATCATCGTCGTTCAACACTGTCACACTATCATCTCGTCATTCGGGGACACGTCACAATGTCGGTGGTGAACGTCTTCATTCACGCACCTTCCACACTGGTCTCCGCCGAGCGACGCATACCGTCCACCATCCCGCTATGTGACCTCAAATACCGACTCGAATCCATCGTCGGTGTTCCGCCCTCGCACCAGATCCTCGAAATCCATTCCTCCCGAACCGACCATGAACAGCAATCGACCTTGCCCGGGCCCGGACCCTTTGCATCATCCGTACGCTCCACCCTGATCCTTTCTGTCATTTCGGACTCACCGGTAGAATCGAAAACGCTGGAAGAGCTAGGGGTGGTCGATGGAATGGCACTCAAGATCCTCGATACTCGACCAAAAGAACTCATCCAAACCTTCACAGACGAATCGCTCGTCGAAAAGTACGTCATGGACGACGACACGTACGCTGCACGACGCGATACCGTCCTCGCCTTCAAACAACGAAACAAGCTAGGTCGATTCGACCCTTCCAAAGACGCAAACTCCAGCATCGCTTCCCACGACTCGACCGAGATACCAGAAACCCTCATCGTCGGTGCGAGGTGCTCAGTCGACCTCTCCGGTTCCGGTACAAATCAAAAAAGGGGAACGGTGAGGTTCGTCGGTCCAACGCAATTTGCAGCGGGCATCTGGATCGGTGTAGAGTACGACGAACCAGTGGGAAAGAACGACGGCTCCGTCGCCGGCGAAAGATACTTCACCTGCAAACCGAGTTTCGGCGGCTTTGTGAGACAGGACAAGGTTCAAGTTGGCGATTTCCCAGAGGACGATCTCGACCTCGATCTTGACGATGATGAAGAAATGTGATGGGCAGCAGCATTCAAATCACAGCACAGTACGGGCATGCACGCAGACAGATCACTCCACATGCAACGTCTGAGACCTAGCGGGCAAAATCTGTGTTTGCAGCAACGGAATATAGCCGAAGTCCCATCGTGGGAATCTTCCACGGACTAACGACAAGCACTTACAGAGGCACATGATTGAGTCTCGGAGCATCCGAAGCACGTCACACAGGGACGCATTCGGGTGTGCCGCAAGACATGGCTGGCGGCTGGAATCACAAGGAGATGGAGCCTGCGAAAGGCTATGCAAAGAGGAAAGAAGAGGAGAATGCGGAACACAGATGTGGGATGATAAGAAAGAGGAAAGCGTGCGCTGGTTGGTCGACTGCCAGTCTAGCGGCGATAACACATGGATCGGACCGAGCTAGGCAGGCATTGCCGACAAGCCTTCTGAGGCAGACATACCCGAGCTGACGTATTTTGGAGATAGGCTCCTTGGAGGTCTTCGGCGCATCCATGCGATAGCGCGCGAATCTCAGCACCAAGATGATCCTTCTGTTCTGTCTGTTTGTCTCGAGAGACCGCGACACAGGTCAAGAATCCCATATGTTCGCCAAACCAGAGGACGAGGGAAAGAAGAAGAAATGTGATGATGAGCCAGACGAGTGTGATGCGTGAGAGAACGGAGCGAGCCCACGGAGAACATCTGTGAGGCCAAATGAGGTGGTAGAGCTTGAAAATGAAAGCCTTAGAGGCTGCTTGTGCACTGTCTTGAGGATGAGAGAGAGGATGCTTCTGAGTTATGCCTGCATTCGCAAAAGGGGTGCGAAAAGGGATCGAGGAGAAGATGATGGTCATTGTCCATGGCAAGGGATCAATTGTGGCCTATAGCATGCCACATTGCGCGATCGAGAGAGCTCAACCTAGCTTGGCTTGGACAAAGGCGTCAGGAATGCTAAGGCCGGGAAAAAGGGCAGAGAGATCGAGGTGAGAAACTTCCGTCAGCGATGTGGCTCAAAAGTATCGGAATATGCCGAGTTCCGTGACTGTACTTACTATTGCGCACTGATCGGCTTGCCGCCAAAGAATCGTCCGTTGAGGCCGTCGAGGGCTTTCCTGGACGCGTCAAGATTAGCAAAGGTGACATAAATTTCGCCGGCAGAATCCCTTTCGACGTGGATGCTCGTCACGGGTCCGTACTTGGCCTGGCACTCGTCTTTGACGTCTTCGGCCAGGTCCTTGTCCCAATCGGCTTCGGTCTCCTCCGCTGGATCAAACATGTTTTTGAGAAGCAGTGAAGTCGACGTCGACTCTGGAATGCCGGCAGGACGCTCCTGCGCACCTTGCGTTGTTTCCGAGGCCGAGGGTGATGGCTCGTTGTTGCGGGCGAGCTTCTCCATCAAGGCTGCGCGTCTTTCCGGATTGAGACCAGCGCCTCCGCCGTCGTCGAAGGCGGAGGTGAGCTGCGGCAGGTGGCCACCGCCTTGCGAGTCCTGACCGGATCCGCTTGTGTAGGAAGATCCGCCGCCGGATCCTTTTGCGTTCACGTTGCCGACTCGTATAGCCCTTCCAGCCAAGTCGAAGCCGTTCATCTGCTCGAGCGCCTTCTTTGCGTCTTCGGGTTCCTTGAATTGGATAAAGCAGAAGCCTTTGCTCTTGCCAGTGCCCGGTTCACGGTGCAGATCGACGTATTCGATCTCGCCAAAAGGCTCAAAGACGGCTTTGACGTTTTCATCCGTGAGACTGAAGTGCAAGCTGCCGACGTACAGTCTTGCCTCGGTGTTGGGCATATTGGGACCGGGACGTTGGGCTCGGGGTGGATGAGGCGCGACATCGAGGTGGATGGGAGCTCCAGCGGTATGGTACTGCATGGGCAGAGGGGCGTTCGCCAAGACGCGAGGATCGAGCTGCGTAGGTGTGACAGCTGGATGCGGCGCCATGGTGTGTCGACTGGACGCATCGCTGGCACCTCGAGAGGCACCGCCGGTGCCGCGTGCGGCGTCTGTACGCTGAACGACGATAGGAATACCAAAGAGGACGGTGCCCGTGAGCTCAATGGCCTTGGGAACCAGCTCGCGAGCAGCAAATTCAACGTAGCCAACGCCCTTGCTGCGGTGCGTGACGCGGTCCATGACGATGCGCACATCCTGCACGGCACCTTCGCCCAAGTGTTCCTCGAAGAACTCGCCGAGGTCGCGCTGGCCCAACCTAGCCGAGAGCCGGCTGCAGAAGGCGGAGCGCTCCTCGTAGTCGTCGATCTCCGGGGTAGGGCTGCGACGAGATCGTACTGAGACCGTCGGACTATCGTAGCGACCTCGGCGTCTAGGAGGTGCACGCCGAGCATCATCGTCATATCGGCTTGCTCGTCGCTGGTGGCTGCGGTCTGCTGGGCGCTCGTAGCGTCGGTCATCGTAGTAGGAATCGTAGCGATCGCGGTTCGTGCGGCTGGAAGACCGGTCGGGGCTTGGCCGACGCTCGTCCGCCGTCGCAGAATCTTCTCGTCTGTCGCTTCGCCTACGACGGCGCTCGCGGGCCCGCTCTTCGGCGTCGTCGTCTATGCGGTCCCGATCTCCGCGACTCGTTTCCTCGCCTCTGCGTCTCTTTCTACGCTCCTCGGCTTCCTCGTCTGCTCGCGAAGCACTCTTCCTCGAATGATGACTCCTTCTGCTGTGAAGACTATCCCGGCTGCGGCTACGACTGCGACTCGGACTATGAGCATCGGATCGAGCTGGAGAAGAAGCACGCGAAGAGCGACTCGAGACAGATGAAGAGCGCCTTCGACCTCGAGAAGCATCGCCATTCTGGCCACCAGCGCGAGAAGCTTGCGCTCGCTTTCGAAGCTGTTCTGCTAGCTCCTTTTCCCTTGAACGCGGACCTTCGTCGTCGTAGCTAGACCTCGCGCTCTTTCCAACGTCCAGGTCAGAGCTTCTTGACGGTCGACGCCCACCGCCACGTCGAGTACGAGCCTCTTCCAGGTCGGCGTACATCCCTGAGATCTGATTCGGGCGGAGTGAGGGGCTAATATCAGGTCGAGAGGTCAATCGATAGATGCGCTCGTGATGTTGAGATGGCGTGCGGTAAGGAAGAAAGAGGGATGCAAAGGTGTGGCTGCGCAGCAATGAGGCGTGGCCGTCGGTAGTTCCGTTGTCTCTTTTTCGAATTGCATTGCCAAAAATCAAGGTCACGTGATAATTTTCTTGGCGGTTGCAGAGCGCGTGGTTCATGCAGTGCTGCTTGACCCTGCAGCTCTTCTGCAGTGGGAATTGAGCGGGCGAGACAAGTCAAGTCAAGATTGACCAACACCTGACAATGCACTTTGCACTTTTCCTGTATCAGCAACATCATCTCAAGCACCTTTGCTCCGGTGATACAGTTGCGCGTTCGACCGCATGGACTTCACCGCCGCGTACCGGCATGCGTCGTGGCGCTGCATCGCCTTCTCTCCTGGCTCGACCTTCTTGGCCTCTGTCACCGCAGACGATGCATGCTCTGTCGTGGTGAGGGCAAGCTCGACACTGCAAGTCATCCGAACATGGACGCTGGAAGCATCGATAAGCACGCTTGAATGGTCTCCGGACGGCGCTTTCCTCCTGGCAGCTCATCCTGGACAGAAGGAGGACGGCGTCGTATTTGTCGTGTCGCTCGATCCGGCCAAGGAAGCCAACGACGGCTCGGACTCGGGTTCAGGGTGGGTAGCCAGGATCTCGTCTGGGTCTGATGGCCTTTCACACGCTACATGGGCGCCCCCTTATGGACCAAAGACGCTCATCTTGTTCAGCCAGAACCGCATCCGCGCCTCGCTGTACAACCTGGTCGACCAACACATTTCGGCTATCGAAGGTCCCAAACAAGACAAGATCGTCTGGACGGCCAAACAACCCAACTACTTTGCCAGCATCCTCAAAGGTGCCGAACGTGACTCGCTCTACGTCTTCTCTTCTCAGAAGTTGACGCATAAGGAGAGTCAGCGCTTCGCCGACAAGCCAAAGTCAGACCAAGCGTGGAAGGTGGAGCAGGCTTTTCACATTGCCATGAACGACGTACATGATGTTCTGTGGGCGCCAGATGGGAGCTGCTTGGCTGTATGGGAAGGGCCGTTGGAGTACAAGCTGCAAATATACACACCTCTTGGTGCTCTTCGGGCGACCTTCTTGATAGAACCGGAGAGCGAGGACGGCACGCCTGTCACACGTACAGGGACGGCAGCGGCAGAGGCTCGACAGCCGTCGAAACGCCGTCAGGAAACATCAGAGCTTGCAAGCGTAGTGGCAGGAGGCGGAAGCGGCATTCGTCAGGTGGAGTGGCATCCCTCCTCCCTATTTCTTGCGGTGGGAGGCGGAGACGAAAGGGTGCGCATCCTCGAAGGTGTCGAGTGGGAAGAGGTGGCCTGCTTGGATCTTTCCAGTGCTTCGATCCGAGCAAGCAAGGAGGCACCATCTATGCCGCTGTACGGGCCTCTGATCGCGTGGAGAGAGCCACTGAGTTGGCTCGAGGAGACGAGGGCGCGAGGTATCGTCGGTTTGGAACAGGCGAGCTTGCCCTTCTCTCTCGCCTCCTCCAAGGTGGAATTGAACAAGGTCAAGACTAAGCAGGGTATTGCCTGGATGGCATGGAGCCTGCAAGGCAATCTCCTAGCCGCTGTCAACGAGCGCTTACCACATGCCGTGTGGATCTTTGCGTTCGCGGAGCCAGGACAAGACCGGATGTCTGGCAATACGCCTCGTCTGCTGGCGGTTTTGCAGCTCAATGGTGCTGCTCGGAGGGTGTGCTGGAGACCGGGGCACGTGGGCAAGCTAGGTGTGGTCTGTGACAATCGCGCCATCTACACGTGGGAATTGATCACAGCATCCACGTCTCAGTACAGGCAGAGAGCAGAGGCAATCCCGATACCGAACGACGAGCTCAAGGCGACGCAATTGCAATGGTCGCCAGATGGGCAAAAGATCCTGCTGGCTTCGGAATCGCTTTTCTGCTGCGCTTTCGAGGCGGGCGAGGGCTGATTTTGGGAACGTCTTGCACTCACGATTGTAATCTAATTGCATTCTACTGTTGGCCCCTCCTTCGTGCGTGTCGAGTCAGCTTTTTATAGGAAACCTCTGCCTGTGCCGCGGGCCCAAATCTGCACTCGGCCGGTGTTGGATCTGACGGAAGCGCCGCCGAGCGCAGCGCTCTGTCCATCGGGAGCGATGCGATACAGCACAGCCTTTGCGCGGCTGGGACAGGGCGTCTCGATAGCAAACGCTTGAAGTGGAGGAACATCTCCTTGTACACGGTCTCGACCGGTATTGGACGCCTTCGATGCGGAGATCGACCGCGCTAAAGATGGCCGCACGAGTTGATGAACTGTGATCTCGCCATCGCAGTCTCTGGCCCGCCCACTGGCAAGCTCCTTGACTTCTATCCACACATCTGCCCTTTGCAGCAAAGAGCTGAATAGCGATTCGTCGGAACGATCCGATGCCCCATCCTTGCTGCTGGAAGTTGCGTCAGAGTGCATGAGGGTGATGACGCTCGCGTGGTTGTTCGTTGCCAGTAAGGTGAGAGCAGCGAGCCAGTTGGTCAGAAGACGAGGTGCATCGATGGGGTGGCCGGACATATCGTGGGAATCCAGCGCCCAAGCCAAAGCTGTCAGATCATCCACCACAATGAGAGCTCTCGAAGCCCAATCTGGCTCTGACGACTGCTGGTGAGCTATCAAGGATGGATCTTGAAGTTGCTCGGCAACGTTACTGTATAACCGATGCAGCACTTGCTCGGCTGTAGATTCGACATCGCTGACGTGCATCGAGGCGACAGCATCAGTGACGTTGTCGTCCTCGAACGGCGCCAGAGCTTGCGCACCTGCATCGATGTAGCTGAAAGCCCCATCGCGCGTCTCTTGGTCCAAGTGCACAGACGACTTGCGTACCACATTGTTGAGGTGAGCACTGCCGTCCGAAGAACATCCCAGCCAAATGACCTTGGTGTGAGCTCTGCTCTTCCCCTTCGTGTCGGCATGCGGTGAGGTACCTGCGGAGCGATGTAATCTGTTAACAGCATGGGATGCTCGGAGGAAATGGATCAGAACGAAAAGAGCGGGTGAATCGATGGTGTCCGTGACGAGAATGTGAGAAGAGCGTGGTGGGATGGGTGTGCGCTTTGCTGCGGAAGATGGGCCCGCACTGCCATTGACGGGGAAGGAGAGGATGGAGTCAAGGTTTGGCATGGTCTCTCTGGCTCTTGCAAGGCGAACAGCCGTGACCACCTAAGGGAGGGTGAAGAGCGAATAACAAGGAGCAGAGCTGTCCTTGTGAGCAGCAGCAACTACCTATAGAAAAAAAAGGTGGTGGAGGACATTGGCCGATTTCCGAACTATGCAGCTATTGGAATCGGGTGGAGATGTCGACGGCCGATGCGATTTTCCGATAAAAAAAACAAGAAGTATAAATATGAAATATTATTAATAATATAAAAAGTGGCTTCGCACGTGGACCCCTGTGTTGCCGGAACAACAAAAGAAAAGGCGAGTGAACGTGCTCTTCAATGCCGATGCCATTATTCACCGCAGCTATAACTATTTGTCCTGGAACTCCCCCGAGGCATTCCTGCGAAAGCTTCTCTGCCTTGTGCACCGATATGATCAAGTCTCGCCACTTGCCTGTGTGCACTGCTAGAAGAGTGCATTTGAACAGCTGAATCTTATGTGCAATCTGACTCTTTGGTCGGCAAGCGGGGTGCAGCGATGTCTGCAGAAAGCCACAGCTGTCCAACAAGGAAATTCGCCTTTTGGCGTAGAAGGCTGCGACGTGGACAAGACGGCATGTCAACGTGCGCTCACTAGTCTCGAGCCTCGCATCCCTGCCACACAACTTTGACCGCGCAACCAACACGGACCCTCGCCGACGGCTCTGGCTCGGCATGGACGAGTCTTGATGTCGAACCGCCCCCTTGTCACGTTGCCTCACTGGACCCCGGCTGTTCCGAGAGTGCGCCCCTTTTGCTGGAACCCCCGTGTTGTGCGGCAATGCAGGGTGCGAGTACCACTTTCCTGCAAATCTGGGCTGTCACCTTTACCTCTTCTCTCTTGCTCGGATTTGCCGATCCTTTTGACGACTGGTCACAAGTGACAATCTTTCGCTGCGTGTGACGCTAGCTCGTCTGACTGTCGGTCCCCCAACAATGAACGCATGACTGCACAGAACGAGCATCGACTTTTCGTGTTTCCTCCCGACGCCAACAGACCCAGACGACAGCCGCCACCCACGCGCCTGACAGACCCTTCATCACGCACCGATCCAAGTCGTCGACCGTCACTCTCATCGACCACCACCACCAGCTGTGAACTCCCCTACGAGTCAAGGCACGCCAACGCGTTTGCACTCTCGCCCCCATGTCACAGCCACAAGTCACACCGACGACCATGGTCGAGGACATCGTCCGCACCTACCCACGCGACCTCAAGCGACCCAAACTACGAGTGGCCATCGTCACCGAAAACTTCCTCCCCAAAGTCGACGGTGTCACACGCACTCTCGCCCGCCTTCTCGAACACCTCAACAATGAAGGTCACGAAGCCATGGTGCTGGGCCCCGAGACCGGCATGCGTCAGTACGCCGGCCATCCTGTCGTTGGCACCTTCGGTGTGCCTCTAATCATCTACCCCGGACTCAAGCTCAACTTCATGCGACCGCGGTTCGTCCGCCGCCTGCAACAATTCAAGCCGGACGTCATCCACTTTGTCGATCCCATCTGGTTGGGAGCACAGATGTTGCCCGCCGTGCAAAAGTGGCTGCCCGAGGTACCCTGCGTCTCGTCTTATCACACCAACCTGCCTACCTACGCGACGCTCTTCGGCATGCCGTGGCTAGAAAAGACCATGTGGAACCTAACGCGAAACCTGCACGATCGATGCGAGATCATCTTTTGCCCCTCGGAAAGCACGCGTCGTATGTTGAGGGAGAAAGGGTTCAGCAACGTCGAGATTTGGTCTCGTGGTGTTGATACCGAGCTGTTCAACCCTCAGGCGAGGGACGAGAACTTGAGGGAGAGCTGGGGTTGCACTCCTAAGCCTGCCAACCTGCGCTTGCCACTTTCGCCTTCAGTGGCTGCTGCTGATGCGGCCGCCAAGTTTGGCTCGGACCACGCTGCTTTGTCGCACCTGGCCGGAAAGCTCGGTGTAGCTATCGTACACCCGAACGGAAAGAGGGGAAGTGCTGGTTCTGAGGATGAGAGTTTCATCAGGACGCCTCCCACGGCTGCCACTTCTCCCGAAGTCTCCTTCTCCCCACCTCCAGCCTACGACAGTCTCAGCGGACTTCCCGACCTGCCCTCATCTGCCTTCCTACTTCCACCTCCTGCCCTCCCTGCCGCCATCGCGAACTCCATCCCTGCCAACCTGCGCGTCGAGCCCGAGTCCGTCGACTCCAAAACCGTCGTCCTCTACGTCGGTCGCATCTCGTGGGAGAAGAATCTACGTCTGCTCATCGAAGCATTCAAGCTCCTTCCCACCTCTGTCCGATCCAAAGCCAAGCTCGTCTTCGTGGGCGACGGACCTGCACGAGGCGACCTCACCCGTCTCTGCAACAAGCTCGAACTGGACGCTTCCTTCATGGGCCACCAGAAAGGGTCTCGTCTGGCGGCCATGTATGCCTCTGCTAGCATCTTTGCTTTCCCCAGCTTCACCGAGACGTTTGGACAGGTGGTCTTGGAGGCGCTCGCTAGTGGACTGCCCGTCGTAGGGTTGCACGCGGAGGGAACATCCGATCTGGTCAGTCATGGTCGAACTGGGCTGTTGTTGGACGTGAACGCGGTGGCAAAGGGTAGCACGGTAGGCGCGGCTGATTCCCGACCTGCTACACCTGGTGCTCGCGGCCTCAACAGAAACGACCGCAGTGCTTCCGCCATCGCCATCAACGAGTTCGCCAACGCTGCCTCCAACGCGGCCTTCAGCCTCCGCCCGCCCACTTCCCCCACCAAATCTACCACCTCTTCCACCAACCCTGACACGGTCGGCCTCGCCTCGCGCATCCCTGCCACTCTCGACTTTAAGGCATCCATGACACCCAACACACCATGGTTCCACCAATGCGCCAAATCCTACTCGATGCTCCTCGAACGACTCATTCTCGATCGTCAGACACGAGCACTCATGGGCCAGAGAGCTGTGCTCCACGCCTCGCGCAAAACCTGGTGGGATGCTATGGACGCTCCCGTCCGCGGTTACGAACACGTCATCACCCAGTCCGGTCTGCAGAACCTGTCTGATGATGAGTTGGAGGCTTGGAGGAACAGGCAGAGGAAGAACGCCCCTTTGACAGGTCCAAGGATCAAGCTGGTGGTGGCGCTGTACGTGATGTTGTTCGCTTGGTTGCTTTGGTTGCGTTTCTTCAGCAAATAGAGGAGGATGCGAAGAGCGAATGATCTTTATACCCGGTTCGGTAATGCCTTATGTCTTGCTCTCTCCTATACTAAGCCCACATGCTCTCAATCATTCTCACAATGAAATCACGACCACACATTCCCACACTTTTCCACAAGCTTCTCGTCTGTGCATCAATCACATCTATTCTTCCATCCCCATACTTACATCAACAAAGCAACAAAGTTACTCGGGAACGTATTGGCACCCTGCTTCCTCCTAGCTTCGTCCAACAACTCTCCCTGCCACCATCCATCTGCCTCGGTATGCGTGACCGCGATGATGTCGCCCGTCGTGAAGCTGAATTCGTCCGGATTTGTCGCCTGGTAGTCATAAAGAGCTTTGACGTAGAAGAGGATTGGTTGACCGGCATCGCTGTACTGACCCGTAGGCGCGTGACCCTGTGGTTGACCTGGCGAGACCGCTGGTGCTGCAGCCGCGGGTGCAGGCGCAGGAGCAACGTTCGGTGCGGGACTCGTAGCTCTGTTGCCCCATTGCTGAGGCGGCTGCTGGTAGTGCGATGGTGCTACACTCGCAGTACTCTGTTGATGCGCATGTCCTACACCGTTAGGAGCGACGTGTGGCTGCGCCTGTGGCTGCTGCTGCTGCTGTTGCTGCAAGTATTCCTGCATGTATGCTGATGCCGGCGTATCCTGTCCCGCGGGGTAGCGTCCAGCCTGCTGCTGGGGTGCGCCGGCATAGTATCCGCTCGATCCAACTTGCTGTGCTGCAGGAGGCGCGGCCTGTTGCGCCGCGGCCGCTGGATAGGCGTTCTGCATGGGAGCTGGGGATCCTGCGTATTGCGACCCCTGAGCCATGTGAGCGGGAACGCTCTGACTGGCAGCGGGAGCTTGGTGTCCCTGAGCGTAGCCGGATGGCGCGTATCCTCCGTAGGCTTGCTGCTGAGGGGTAGCTGCAGGTGCCATCTGCGGAACGGACTGGCCCGCGGTCGAGTACATGGACGCCTGCGCTGCATGGCCCTGGTACTGCTGGCGAGCGTCTGCAGCAGGTGGTGCGCCCTGGTAATTGTACGGGCTTTGCAATTGAGGCGCGGTACTGAATTGACTCGATACCGACGGATGCGCTTGGTGGCGAGACGGCTGCTGCTGCTGATAGTTGGCGTGAACGACCGAAGGAGGTCGCGCTGGCTGCTGCTGCTGGGGAGGAACACTGCCGGCTCTTCTCATGTAGTCCACAGCCATCTGATCGTGCGTCACGGAGCCAGTGGCATCCAAAGCGATACCCAGAGGTGTCGTGCTGCGCACGGGCGGTACATTCGACTGTCGCCTCGAGAGCGTGCCGGTCTTGGGCTGGTCAGACGACGGAGCCGGCACTCTCGGTGATTGAGCGGCTTGTTGTTGTGGAAGCTGCTGCTGTTGCTGGGTAGGTCTAGACCATGGCTGAGGACTTGGGCTTCGACCTCGTGCTCCAACGCCAGCAAAGCCCTGTTCCTGGTGGTGTTGCTTGTTGGGACTTCTGGGGGCTTCGGCAGCCTGCACGCCAGCGCGAGACGCGACCGAATTCTGTCGAGACAGCGACTTGCGCTCGCCAGGGAAAGACTGTCCATACTGGCCAACCACATCCTCGACCGGCATAGGTGAAGTGGCACGGGCCGGAGCCTGCATGAAAGCAGCGCCGGGCGACTTTGCACGGGGAGGCAGGTTGCTCGCCATGGAAGGCGAGGGAGAGTGGGCACGGTGCTGTGGAGGCATGTTCTGTACGATCTGACCGGGTTGAGCAAACGGAGCGGGTGACTGCGGTGCTTCGGCTGCCAGGTCTTCCCTGCGTGTCGGGCCGGGCGACTTGCCACCAGGACGCATACGCAAGCTGGCGAGGGCTTTGGCGATCGGATCGTCATCATCGGCACTGCTGGCAGCGGGTGCGGCTACCGTAGCATTGGAAGCTCCGCTGCCGCTACCGAGGGGCGCGACCGGGGCAGGGCGAGAAGAGGTCGACTGAAGTTTTGGCGAGTTGGAACGAGAGAGGGAAGAAGTGCGGGCGAGAAAGTTTTTAGTCGACATTCTGCGTTGAGGCGGCGAAGAGAATGGCTGAGGGGTCTGAGGACTCACTGGGTTGGGCGACATGGCGGGAGCAGTATGAGTTGGCGGCGGCGGGTGAGGGGCCGCAACTGGATAGGCGTCGGCCTCTTCCTGTCTGTAAGATGAATCTGCAGGCTGCGCATACGGCTGTGGAGGCACAGGTTTGTCTTGGTAGGCGCCGTTCTGCATAGCGGCTGCAGGCTGGTTGGTTTGAGTTGGTTGCGGAGAGACTGCTTGTGGACCATCGTGAGACTGCAGAGGCGATGGCTGCTGCTGCTGCTGTGGTGAGGCGGCTTGCTGGGTCGGTTGCTGCGGAATTGGGAGTTGCGTAGGGCGTGTGGTGTTGCGCTGGAACCTGGCCGTATGGTAGTTCGGACGGGCTGGAGGAGCCTGTCCTTTGGCGTAGTTGATGTACTCGGGAGGAGCAGGGATGAGCGAGCCGGTACCGCAATACTGGATGAAGAACTGCACGTCGCGCGGGGTATCGACGTTTTCGAGGCTGACGCGGATGCGCTCGCACGACTCGTCGTCGGCGACGCAGACGGCCGAAACGGCATTGGCGAAGTTCCAGAGGTTGCTCTTTGAGAAATCGATGCGCTCCTCCTCCTGATCCTGGCACTGGTCGAGATAGGCCTTCCACTCTGCATTCCACTTGACGGTGGTGTCCTTGAGCGCACGCACAAAGTTCTGATAGTCTCTGTCGTTCTGGCTGACGGTAGCTTGCGCTCTATCGAGCTTGTAGGCGACCTTGTCGAGATCCTTACCCTGAACGAGGCTGCTCTGAGCGGTGTATCCGTTGATCTTGATGCAGTCCTGTTCGTACTTTTCGCGTGATTTGTTGACGTAGTTCTCCTGAGTTTGCTTGTGCTTGTGAAGCTTCTCGATGTTGGCCTGTGCTGCCTTGCGAGCGTTCCAGCTCTTGTTGGCAAAGTCGGTGACGGCGCCTTCGAGATCCTTTTTGATCATGTTGGCGAGATCTGCGTGGGTACGCGAAGTGGTCTCGAGCTCGACCTTGACGACATCGAAAGCAGCCTTGAGCGCGCCTGTCTCGCTGTAGCCGAGCGCCTGACGGGAAAGCTTGGCGAGTCGTTTTGCGTACTCTGCCTCAATGTCGGCGCGTTCCTTGTAGAGCGACTTGAGTTCGTCGAGCGTGCGCTGAGAAGCCTTCATGCGGGCCGAGATGGCTTCGAAGCCGGCATCGTTCTGACCCCAAAAGGCATTGCAGAAGGTGGTTGACTCTGTGAGTTCGCGACGAATGTACTCGTCTTCTGCGGCGATACGTCTGCCTGCCTCTCCACCATCGAGGCCCATGCTGCCACTTGCACGTTCTGCTCGGGAACGTGAGCTGTGGCCGGAGCCTGCGGAGGATGATCGACGATCTGAAGGCATCGTGGAAAGCAGCGACATCTACTTTGATGCGTGTGGGCGATCAAAGATCCAAGCTGAGTCGGCGGAACACGTGAAGCACGAGACGCGGCCGGCAGGCAGCCGTGGGTCGGATGATCGGCTGCTCTTGCGATTAGAGCAGGGGTCCGTGCGGTGAAGCGGGCGTCACTAGCGCAGGTCGTGTCGCACCCGTGCCGAACGAGGCGGGCGAAAATAGGCTCGTTCAAGTGATGGCCGAAGCTACAAGCGGCGGTCGGCGTATCCGACGATGCGAAGGTGTGCTCCGAGTCGGATTTTCGATAACGCCTGGTGGACGGCTCGGTGTTGAAACGAATGAAGGTGGAAGTTTGACGTGTCGTGCCGTTATGGACCGATCGAGAAAATATGAAGATTCGAGGGCCACCGAGAGAGTGGCGGACAGAAGCGACGGAATGTATGGAAGGTAACGAAGGTGACGATGTGTTGATGATCTCGACGACGGCGAAAAAAAGGGAGGTTGCACGAGCTGTTCCGGTGTTGGTCTGGGCTTGGCGCACCTGGTCTTTGCGCAACGACGAGAGCAGGCGGAGAAGGCACTTCAACATAGCCTCGCCTCGCCTCTGTCCACTGGAAAAAATAAGGCACCGAAATTCAAAAACAGAATCAGCAAGCGCTCACTTTCCTGTTCGAGACGCGTTCCGCAGCCTCTCGTCTCAGGGGCGTCCTCGGCCCCTCTCGGCGATGCGGTTGTCATGAATTTCTTGCACATCGAGTGTAAGATCGTTCTTTGCCTTTTGAGCAACGCAAAAACAACAGCATTCTGCCGGCCTCGGCAACGTGCGCGTGGAAGATGCAGATGGCAGATTCGCTTCTGAAGACGCAGCAGAACAGGAGCAGCTGAGGTGCAAGTGCCGCCGGTTCAGCCAGGCTGTGCAATGTCTTCGGGCCTCTTCTAGAGCACTCGGACTGAGGTGGTCTCGCACCTCACTCGGTCGGATCTGGTCTTTCCACCCTGTTGTGCTGCCGTCTGAGCAGCCGAGCATTCAAACAAGGAACAACAGTCTGCCAACAAGACTATCACATGGGCATCTTCGTTCGAGCACATTCGTCGTCAGTTGGCGACTCTCTAATGCAACGGATGCCAAACCATACGAGGACTAAGACAATGCGGGACGCAAAGGACCGATTCCTAAACACTTTGTTATCATTTCAGATTTTGTTTGCGTTCTTTTCTGTTGAATTTCCGAGGTATGGTTTTTAGGTTTTGAAAAATGCGGAGGGTTCGCTGAGTCGACTTCATGCGAGCTGATGATCATCAACCTTGTTGTCCTTCATATTGGCATCGATCAATGATCCCTATCTGGATCCATTCTGACCTCGCAGCGCACAAATGGACGTCCTTCGAGCACCATTCCTCACGAGCGCTTGTCCATAACCATTAAGCATGGTGCTCTTCGCAAGTCGCCCTCCCTTGACCGCATACCACCTTCGATGCGATCTCCGATCTTGTCACTTCGAGCCTCGAAGCTGCCCTCATCCGACCAAGAGAATGCCATTGACTCAGCATAACTCCTCGCATGATCCATAGACGCTTCTGCCGAGGATTCGTGACCTCCCTTGGCTGTTCAACTTCCACTCCTTCATAGGCCTTAGACTACAGCAAGCCCAACATGCCAGGCTCACCTCCACCACCGTTGAGCCTTGACGGCGCGGTCCCCAGCCCACCATCGCATGCAGCAGCTGGCTTCGACTCCGATGCGCAAGCTGCCGCTCCATCGCCATCCGATGCGATGCCATCTCCTCTCGACACGCACCAACAACCATCACACGAACCAACACCGTTCGGCTCAACCGCGCCAACTAGACCTCCTGCCGTTCGCTTGCCCATCGATGTCCCGCCTCCGCCTAGGAGACCAGCGAATCGTCAAGATGCTCTCATGGATGATGCTCTGCGCTCCCTTCCGCCCGCTGCTCAGCGCAACAGCCAGCGTCAGAGATCTCCCGCTACCGTGCTCTCCATGTTCAACACTTCCATCTTCACCTCCGGCCCTTCATCGGCTCGAGCTGGTCCTTCTTCTTTCGCCTATCCACCGACTGCCTCTGCTTCTTCCTCGGCACCGTTGCACCGTACAGTCTCCGCTGCCAGCCGTGCGAGCGCTGCATCCACAGCCAGCGGCTCTCAGAACTCTGCACACCACCCCAGATCCAATGCCCTCAAGGCTGCTTTCACAAAGGTAGCCAGCTTCGCCACTCCCTCCAGTCCACCACTAACCCCCACCTCGCCCAAGACAAAAGCACGGAACCCTTCGTTTTTCCCTGCCTCGTCCGTACAAAGGACCAAAGATGCTCGGCGAGCTGCTCGACGACAAGCGAGGAGAGCCGAAAGACTCGCCCGCCGTGAGCGAGATGCGGAAACAGATCTTGCAGACGATGAACTCGAACGCCCCACCGCTCAGCTTGGCGACGAGATCGTTGAGCTTCCAGCAGAACCGCCGCTCGACGTCCCTGAAGCCAATGCGCCCACAGCTTCCGCCCTCGCAATGGCCTCCAAGGTCGGTCGCAAGCCCAAACGCAAACTTCAATTTGCTCCTGATCAAAGACGCATTCGCAAGGTCGATCTGCCCGCCAACTTCGAGGCAGAGGACACATACCGCAACCTTGACCAGTTTGTCGCTGCTTCCCGTCAGCAGCGCAGGACGCAACGCGGTCGAGGCGGGCCACGCTCGCGTCGCTCAAGGTCCCGCCGTGGATCCCGTAGCAGTCGTGGCGGAAGTCGCAGCTCGGCGCTCGGTAGCGCAGCATCCGACAGCTCGAGCAGCTCCTCATCGTCCTCTTCCTCTTCCTCCTCTTCAAGCGGCTCCTCCAGCTCATCTTCCAGCTCTGGTCGCGGTATTACCATCGCACGCCTTCGAGCCTTCTTTGGTGACGGCTCCAGCTCATCTTCCAGCTCCGACTCCGACGATTCGTCTTCCAGCTCGTCATCTTCATCTTCATCTTCCACGAGCTCGTCGCGCAGCCGGTCGACCACCACGGATGGATCACGATCGCGACGCTCCTCAGCTCACCGTCTCTCGCTGCCAGGCAAGCGCGCCAAATCTCGTCGCAGCACTCGAACACGCTCTCGTGCCGACCAATCTGAAGCCAGCGATGTTCCTGGCTCGCCTATCTCTAGCCGCAAGGGACCCATGACGCCCTACTTTGCTCCCTTGGCCGACTTCCCGCTGGGCAAAAGGGCCGCCGAGAAGCGTCGAAACAAAAAGGACAGGCAGGCTGCCAAGCGCGCAAAGAAGCGCGAAGCACAGCTCATCCGACAGGGTCGTTTGCCTCCCAAACCGAGCCGAAGTGCTCGTGCCAAGGCGCTGCGTGCCAAAGAGCTGGCTGGAGGCGTCACAGAGTACCAACTTTTCACGCCCATGAGGCTGCCCATGGACATGGCATGCACAGCTCTCCCGACATTGGAAGTCACTCCAGCGCCGCAACCTGGCACATCCGTCGTGCTAAAACGAACCATGAGAACGCGCGGCTGGGAGCAGGTCCGCAACCAGCTCTATGTCATGCGCAACTACCTCCGACAGGTCGACGGTCAAGGCGGCGATGTCGGTCTTGACCCTCAAGCAGCCTATCCGACCTCGCATCGACACCACAGACATCATACCAAGCGGGCAGCGGACAGAGCTGTTCATGCTCATCGTTACAAGAAGCAACACGCACACGATATCAAGAAGACTCCCATTCCCGATGCAGTGCCCGAAGCAGAAGATGAAGAGCTCGATTTCTTTGACGGCGACTTGGCTTTGCCACCACCTGCCTTGGAATTGCCCGACGGAGAGATGGAGCCGTCGACATTTGCAGTCGATATCGGCGATGCTGCACTGACTCCAGCAAGCCAGCACGAGTCCTCGCCCGAAGATCAGCAGTCGTCCTACTTCAACTACGATCAGCGACTCCCTGCCGATCAGGAAGAGGAGACGCGCACCGGACGACATCTTTCCGACTTGCCACTCAGTCCCAGCTACGCCACGGCCTTCGGCAGGGATTTTGGTCGCTCAGCACAAATGTTCTCCTCCTTCCGTCAAGCAAAGGACAAAGCTGCTGCGAAAGAGGCTGCTGTAGTTTCGTCCCTCAATCCACCATCGACCGGCACGGAGGGCAGCCAGGCTGGTTCGGGGAAATCACCGTCGGACGGCAATCCGGCCAAGTCGGCTGCGGATCACTCGGACGAAGGTGCGTGGTGGCTGCATGTCGATTGTCCTACATATAGAGACATGCACGAGATTTCGAAGCTCTTCCCGATGCATCCGCTCACGGTCGAGGACGTTTTGCAGCAGGATCCTCGCGAAAAGGTTGACGTGTTTGATCGACTCGGGTACTACTTTGTCGTTGTTCGAGCGATCGACGAGCGATATTTTCGATACACGTCCACCACGTCGAAGGGTTCGCCAGGCTCGCCCAACTTTTCAAGCTCTGGCTCATCCGGTGCAACAGTGCATGGCGATGCGGACGCCAAAAGCAGCGCGGAAAACGGTCGGAGTTCCGATGGAGCCAAGGTCGAGATGCACGAGATGCGCGATCTCAGCGACAAGTCTAGCCCGAGCAACGAAGGCCTGCATCCGATGCGCCGGCAGGACGACGGTCACAACACACGCTTGGCGGCACCAGCTCGACTCGGCAAAGGTCGTGTCGAGATCGTCGAGGGCATCGGCGGTAAGGAAGGTCTCGAAGGTGTCAGTGTCGGAGGCAACAACCTCTACCTGCTCGTGTTTTCGCATGGCGTCATCTCCTTCGCGTTTGAAGACGTCAGCAAGCACATTGATCGTGTCGCCGCTCGATTGTTGGAGATCACGCGTCCTGTCGAGCTGACAGCCGACTGGATCGCACACGATCTCTACGACTCGGTCGTGGACGCCTTCTTCCCGCTCATCTCTTTCGTGCAATCGGAAGTGGTCGAGGTGGAATCGCTGGCAAGCGAGCCGGTGAGTAGCGCCGTCAGTCGCAAAAAGACCAACTTTGCGCCAAAGCAACGACGTCAACGAGCCTTGCTGGGATCCAATCCGCAAGGGCGACTGATCAGCGTCGAACCGGTCTCGGTCGCGTCATCACCGACGTCGGAGGTGGAGAAGAGGACGCCGATGCTCGAAGTGCGTCGACTGAAGACAGTGCGTGCTCTGCGCATCCTACCCGTGCTGCGGCTTGGAGATTCGATTCTAGATCGGCTACCACGACTGCTGGTCAAGCAGAAGCAAAGAGTCACCATCTCGCGTCTGCCCGAATGGGAGTTCAAAGACGCGCTCGAGACCGAGATGCGTCGCACTGCAGCCGAGATCGACGAAGCGAGCAACTCGGTCTTCGACACGCAAGCGGCCGCTGATCAGAGCATCATGTTGCATCGAATTGCTGATACGCGCAAGATCGTCACGGGTCTTTCGCGACTCTTGGGACCGAAGAACGATGCGGTCAAGGGATTGCGAAAACGACTTTCGGACATGCAACAGCTGCAACGACGCGAAGAAAAAGCATCACGACTCATCGGAGCCAGAGCTCGAAACATGCTGGCACGCACCGAAGTGTCCATGTACATGTCCGACGTTCACGACCACATCATCTCGATGCTCAACCAACTCAATTCCGGCGAAGGACGATTGTCGGAGATCCACCACACCTACCTGGCTCAGATCACGATCGAGAACAGGAAGTTCCGACAGGGTGCAGATTCGGCCATCTTGACGTTGGGAAGCGTGGGTTCCGCGGTTCTGATAATCGTGTTCATCACGAGCGTCTTTTCCTTGAACGTCAAGAGACCGGGCAACGAGCTGATGAGCACCAATCACGGTTGGTTTATAGGTATCGTGTGCACGGCGATCTGCGTTCCGTTTGTACTGTGGATGTATGTTAGGATGTTGTATAGACAGAGCAAGAGGAGGGTTGCGGATAAGAGGGCGGCTAGGTAGAGGATCGGAGAAGGAGAAGGGAGTTTCGAATCCGGATTGGTCACGGAGTGTTCTCGTCGAATTCGCAACAATGTCACACTTGAACAGAATAGCAGGCTGCATATGTGATTGTCCGAACCTCGTCTCTGCATTGAGCTCACCAGCAGAGACGAGATCAAGTGCTTGCACAATCGGAACCCCCTGGCTCACTGTCGTTGATACTAAGGAGATGGAATTGAGATTGCATCGATCGTTGCACCTTCTTAGAGGATACTACCAGAGGGTGAGGCCAATTCAAAGGTGCAGCGTTCGTCTGCGGTGCAAGATTTACCACGAGGCCTTGGCACTGTGTCGGGACAAATAATCGAGAATGCATAATGGATTTTTGTCAGCGTTCTATCAATCTTAGGGTTTGCATGGACCGGGCGATAGAGACTCACATCTGGAACTTGGCGGCAATGAAGGGGAGCGAGAAGCCAAAGACGAGGAAGGTGGTGAGGCTGATAGCGACAGGGACCTTGCGAGTGGGACCCGAGGGGAAGGGGACTGTGTGCGGAGGTAGTGAAGGAAGATGTTGCGTGAGGGGTCAGCATTCGACCCTTGTCTACAATGATTCTCCGATGAGAAGAGGCTAGATGACTTACGAGACTGTGCATGACATGAGTGTGAGCATCGGTCGGATACGGACGAAGCGGCGAGGACGTCGTGTAAAGCGAGAATGAAAGGTCAGCAAACTGTTCACACCTAAACACGAGATACCTGATAGCAGTGACAGTGTGATGCTCGATCTGTGCTTGATCGCGGCGATGATTCTGGCCAATGGCGACCTGCGCTTCTACTGAATCTATAGATACTGCTCCGGGCTATGCTGATCAGGGGACCAAGGGTTGAAGACTCACGGTCTCGTGGGTGTTTTCGACGTGCAAGTTTCGTCGGAGCAAAGGAGCCTGCTGCTGACGGAGAGCAGTGCGGGCGGAGCGAACGGTCTGGCGAGCGATGATCGACATTGTGAAGTATCGTAAGACGAGGTTATCGGAGTACGGTGGTGTGTGAAGTTGAGGAAGATGATGTGATACAAACGCAGCGCTTTGATGATGGCGACGGAAGGCTTCCGCGCCGTGCAGGCTGAAATCGGGTGCGAATTTGCGAGTTTGTTTAGTAAAGCATGACTAATACAGGTCTCATCACGTGTGGCTGCGTGTGGAGAACGGCGACTCTGAAATTTCAGCTCAAAAAATTCGAGCTTGTGGAAGGAAGCGAACCCTGCATTTGCCGTTTTCCTCTTCTCTATCTTTGCAGCCATAGCCTGTCCTCATCGCTCACGGGTCCACCTTCACCCTTCCTTCCCACCGTTCTCAAAAGCCTGCACGCAAGTGGAACACCAAGACATCATGGCGGGCAACGCAGAGGCATCGTCCTCGACGGGCGACGCCGGCACCACACACACGTCGGGCTCGTTCAAGCATATCGGCAACAAGATGAAGCGTACAGAGCTGTATCGCAAATACAAAGCCGAAAAGCGCAAAGCAAAGTTTGCGAGAAGATCAGCACAGGCCAAGGAGGAGCGTGGTGAAGATGGCGCCGCCAAGAAGGCGGCTCGACTCGCTGCTAACAAGACGAGGACCATCGAGAACACGCGAGATTTCAACCCGACCATCATCAACGGACCCAATACACACGAAGGTCCGAGCTACATCAGCAAGAGAGCCGAAGGTGGCGATGGGGATGCGAGCGACGAGGAAGGGCAAGAGGAAGAGCAGCAAGGAGCGATGGAGGAACAGGAAGCAGCTGAAGAAGTCGACGACGATGAAGATCCCAGTGCTCCACCGGCGATCCTCATCACAACATCCATGCCCTCCTCGTCGACATCGCCCCACCTCGAATCCCTCAACGCGCGTTCGCATCCCTCGGAACGAACGCGAGAATTTGTCGACGAGCTGCTCTCCGTCTTCCCCGGCGCCGAATACCGTCCGCGAGCCAAAGCCCAAGGTGTCGGTCTCGGCAAGATCTGCGGCTGGGCAAGGGAGCGTCGTTTCGGCGCCGTACTCGTCGTCGGCGAGTCACGCAAGGAGCCCTTCGCACTCACCGTCATCTCCCTCCCTCACGGCCCTACCGCCTTCTTCCGCCTGACATCCATCAGCACAGGCGACGAGATCTACGGCAAAGCACGCCCCACTCCCCACACGCCCGAACTCATCCTCAACAACTTCACCACCGTCTTGGGTCATCGAGTCGGCAAGGTGCTCCAGTGTCTCTTCCCCAAAATTCCGCAGCTGGAAGGACGACAGGTGGTGACGTGTCACAACCAGCGCGACTACATCTTCTTCAGGAGGCACAGGTACATGTTCAAGAGCGATACCAAGACGGCGTTGCAGGAGATCGGTCCGAGGTTCACCTTGAAGCTGCATAGTCTGAAGGAGAGTCTGCCCAAGGGCGCGGGGACTTGGGATGGAAAATACACGGAAGAGTATGCAGAATTGGAGCCGGAGGAGCTGGAGGCGTTGCAGAGACAAGAGGCAGGGGAGGACGAAGAGGGCGCAGCTGCAGCTATGGCGATGGAGGAGCAAGGAGCAGCTCAGGCTGGCATCAAGGCGACAAAATTGAGCAGTGAGGAAGGCCAAGCCGACGCTTCGAAGTTGAAGAAGAACAAGAGACAGCGCGGAGAAGAGGAGACGGTCGGATTGGACTTCCAGTGGAAGCCAAAGATGAGTGTCTCTCGACGCAACTTTTACCTCTGAGCGGGATTGCGATGCTCGCTCTCTCACCCTCTCTCTATCAGCCATTTCCCTCAAGCATTGTTCTACCGCCCCATCTTGCAAATCATGTACTTTAGTCACTCCGTCTCGATACAGAATGAAGAATCACGGCCTTCTAGCGCTGGTCTTTCACGTTGGCAGCGTAGCGATTGAATAAGCCACGACTGAAAAGGAACACGAACCAGGCGCGGTCGTGTCTGAGAAGAAATCAAGCAATGTGTTGGACCCTGAATTTCGTCCCGCACTAGAGCTATCCGACACGCTCACCACCTTCTCATCATCTCTTCCTTCCGATCCACGACTCGACGCCAACGACGGGGTTCCAAACAAGCGCCACCGCGCCCGCTTCTGGGCAGCCATGAACGCCCAACTTCTCAACCCCTTCACCCTCGACATCCCCGACTCGGTCTCCACCACCCTCTCCACCGCCGAATGCAGCACGCTCCTCTTCAACCACGGCTCCTCCCTCCTCTCCGGCCAATACCTCGCCGTCGGTCGCAACGACGGATACATCACCATCTGGGATCTGGAGACCAAATCTGTCCTCCGTGTTCTCGCCGGTCACGTTCGACCTGTGACGGGGTTAGCGTGGAGCAGGTACAATCGATATCTTGCGAGTTGCAGTGGTGATTGGAACGTGATCGTGTGGGATTTGGCGAGCAAGAGTTTTGCAGGTCCGGTGCTGAGGAGCGGCGGGAAGGGAAAGGAAAGTGCGGATGGTGAGGCTGGCTTAGACCCGAGGTTGCCATGTGCGGGCGAGAGGAAGTTGACGATTCGGTTCGATTGCGCCGTGGCATCGGTTCAGTTTGCTCCCGGTGCGAGTGGGCGGTTGGTAGTGGTGACTGCGACGCAAGAGGCGTATCTGGTCGATATCAGAGACAAGGTGCAAGTGGGAAAGAAGAGAAGGGGCAAAGTTCAGGTGAAGGATACCGAATGTTCACCTACACGGATCCCCTTGGTGAGGAACAGCGATGCTGTCCAAGGGTTCAAACCCGAACCGCACTCAACCCAACCCGAGATCGACGATACAACCGCAACTCCAACACAAGCGGGGATTACAGCGGCTCGCTTCACCCCCGATTCGCGCTTCATCGTCGCAGGAACCTCTAAAGGCAGTCTCGTCATCTACTCCGCCCTCGCCGGCGAATTCCTGGACGAGCAAAAGGTACTCTCCACCACCTCCGGCGTCAAAGAGCTCTGCTTCGACGCAGCTGGCAGATACCTCGTCGTCAACTGCAACGATCGCGCCCTGCGCATCCTCTCCGTCCACACCTCTGCTTCATCATCTGCTACAAAACAGCCTCTCCCAACCCTTTCGTTAACACTCCTCCACAAGATCCAAGACATGATCCAACGAACCGCCTGGAACAACATCGGCTTCTCCCCTTCCTCCGACTACATCTTCGCGGGTGCAGCGCACAAAGCCTCGCACAACGTCTACATCTGGGACCGCACCTCCTCCACGCTCTCCAAGATCCTCGAGGGTCCCAAAGACTGGTCGATCGGAGTGGACTGGCATCCGAGCAGACCGATGTTGGCTTCGGCCAGCAACACGGGTGCGATCTACGTGTGGTTTACTCCGACGGAAGAGATCTGGTCGGCGTACGCTCCAGGGTTCGAAGAGTTGGAGGAGAACATGGAGTACGAGGAGAGGGAGGACGAGTTTGATTTCTTGGATGGGAGGGGAGAGAGCGAGAGAAAGAGGTTGGTGGAGGAGGAGGCTGCGTATGTTCGCATCAGCGATCGCTCAGAAGCAAGAGGAAAGAGAGGCGGGGAGAAAGAAGGGGCGATGTGGAAGGAGGTTGCTCAGATGTTGGAGGTGGATTCGGGAGAGGAGAAGGGAAAAGAGTGGATGGCGGTAAAGACTCTACTCGGTACAAGACTGGAGGAGCTTTCTTTGGACTCGGGTTGGAGATCGATAGCAAGTGCGGGGGTAGCACCGATGGAGGGGAGCGAGGAGGAACGATGGCTCGAATTCACGCTGACAGACGACGACGATAGCGATGCGTTCGTCATCCCACCTCGTCTCGAGATCGACTACTCAGACTTTCACGACGATCACATTTGATCACACATCCTTGCAGCATCACTTCTATCCTCACTGTCTTGCTCGCAATCGCACACTGCCTGTACACATCAAATCTTGGGAGACAGATTCATTGCTTTTCCCCGATCCTTCCACGAGCCAAAAGATACAACTCCGCCATCCGTAACCCTCTTTCAAAATCCAAACACCTTTGCACTCTTTTCATTCGTCAACGCCTCCATCGCCTCCTTCCTATACGTGTCCTCGATCACGGTCGTGTTGCCCCCTTTCAGCTGAAGCAACTTGCTGCCCTCTCGATACACCGGCCAGTCCCATCCGCTCAACACCGTAGGATTGTGATAGTTGACGAAGCTGATGTACGCTCTCGGCATCTTATCCTGCAGCACCGGATCCTTGACCCTGCCATCCGGCCTCACGAAGAAGTACTTGAGCTCGCTACCATGGTACGCACCCAGCGGCGAACCCGTCCCGTTGGCGTACTTGTCGTTCTGCTGGAACTCGAAGGACCACACCTTGTCCCTGTTTTTCTTCCACCCCAACGTCGCCGCTTTCAGATAGGTCCTTCGATGCGCCTGGAAGGTGAAGTCGCCAAAGAAGGCGGCCGATCGCTTGTACTGGTTGCTCGCCAGCGGCGGGTACCTTCGAGAGGTCAGGTTGGTCGTGGTACCAGCGCAGGTGGACGTCTCGGCGTTGTAGTACGGCGAACCTTGCTCGGGGATATCGGGGTACAGTTTGAAGACTTTTTGCAGGGCTTGTTCGGTGTAGGAGGTGTTGTAGATGACGGCGGCGGTTCGGACCCACTGCTCGAACTGGGCGCTGTTGTTGAGCTGCTTCTGCGCAAAGAGCGGTCCCTCGTCGAGGTTGTTGCCTTGGATCACGGGGATGTCGGCGAGCTTTCCTTGCGGGAGATTGACACTGGGATAGTCCGTGATGAACTCGTAGTCAACCAGCGGCAACCATGCTAGCGCACCCGGGATCGGGAAAGTTCCACCAGCCTGAGCAGTCAAAGCATTCGCGACACTCTGCACTGCGGTCGCATTGGCGCTCCGAAGACACTTGAGCAACGATCCGCTCTTGCATCCGACACCCGCCGCCAGATTCTTGAAGCTCTGCTCCACCGTAGGATGCTTCGGCGTCAGCAATGGACCGGGCGCGATTCCACCCGAATCCATGATCGCAGCATGCCAGAGTCCTTCATTGTCACCGTCGTTGGCAAAGTTCTGCAATGCGACACTCATGGCTCCCGCGCTCTCCCCGAACAAGGTGATCTTATCCTTGTCACCTCCGAACTTTGCAACGTTGTGTCGAATCCATTTGAGCGCCAGCCTCTGATCGTGCAGACCTGCATTGCTCGTAGCACCATCGCTGTCAGCCACTTCGGAACCACCGATGAATCCAAACGGACCGACACGGTAGCTGATGGCGACGAACACGATCGGCTTTCCGATCTCGACACTCTTCTGCACCAGCTCGCTGGCATTGTACGACGGAGTGCCACCTTGCAGGAACGCGCCGCCGTAGATCCAGACCATCACGGGAAGCTTGTCCTTGGCCGAGGTGCCTTTGGGACGAACGACGTTGAGGTTGAGACAGTTCTCGCTCATGTTGTAGAGGGGCGAGGGAGCAGGAGGCTGCATGCAGATATCGCCGAATCGAGTCGCATCGATGAGAGTTTGGGAGGAGGAAGAGTCGAGTGGCTGGGGCTTGGCGAATCGGAGCGAGCCGACGGGTGGCTTTGCGTAGGGGATGCCGAAGAACTGTTCGAGACCGTAGCTCGTGTCGATAGTGCCGCGAACGGTGCCTTGGTGGAGTTTGACCGTAGGGGAAGCGGTGGCTGATCGAACGGCAAGCGGGTCTTGCGGAAGTGCTGACGCTATGCCGAAGGTCGTGACAGCCCAAACGAGCAGCGGTAGGTTGAGAAAACGCATCGTGAGAGGCGTCTACAAGTCGAGAGGCACTAAGGTGGAGATGGGATGCGAGGTCGTTAGTCTCGGATGCTGTTCAAAGAGCCGCTTATATGTCTTCTCGGACCGCAGTGAGGTTGATGCGAAGAGGGCGAGGACTCTAGCACTTCAGCGGGGCCTACGACACGGTACGGCAAACGTGCATGTCCAGAGGCGGGTCCCATGGTCTCGCTTAGCAGCTTCGAAACGTCCATGCGTCTGCTGTCCATGACTCTAGTGAAACCATTTCGTTCTAGCCAAAGGGCGATCCAGTGCCTTTTTCCTGGTCGGCAGAGCTGCACTAGCTTCTTGCTGTGATGCGGGCGGAGACCAGGAGGCAGAACCTCCATGGCGTCCGTGCGTTCATACGTCGCAGCATGACCACTGGTCCACCCCGCACCAATGAAGGTTTGACAGATGTGGGGAAAGGTCAAAATGCGGGGTTGGAACATTCGCCATTCATTCTGGCACCGGGTCTGTCAAAAGTGGGGCGACGAAGCAGCTCTGCATGAATAAAGAATAACGAAGGGGACTCCGCCATATGCTTTCAAGAAGGCATGACTGCTGCGGCCGAGATCGACGCAACAAAGCTGGAGCAAATCGGCCGGTACGCAAAGGAAAAGACGGATCGGCGAATTCTTCCACAGTCCGAGAAGCACGGTGTTGGGCACCGGTGGTGCGGTCCATATGGGCAGGTTCGTTAGCCGAGCTGTCTGTGCGAGAAAAACCGCGGAATGGAGATCCGTAGGCTCGACCAAAACAGTTCTTCGACGCCGGCAAGAGTTGGAACGACGGATCTTTCCTTGTCATGGCGGAAGTTCAGCTCTGCTGACGGGGCCGCTTGTCTGGTTCGCAACAAGCTGGAAAGGCTAAAGCTTTAGCCGTATCAGCCGCAGACTTGGTGTGAGCACTATGACACGATAGGAAGGATCCCGCCGGCGTCCGAATCGACGGGTAAGATGGACCAAAAGGTACAGTACAGTACGTCGAGCATGCTTGGCCGTGTATCGATGGGGTCGATGCCTCCTCGGCACGCCTTGTGGTCATCAGCGAGTGCAAAGGCGAGGACAAGGGCCGCCACAGCCGGAGCAAATCGTGAAATAAACGGAGGCTCTCACGACACCTCGTGCGTCTTCAAATCACAAGACGCTCTGCGGGAGATAGAAAAGAGGCTTGACCCAGCACAGCTGTGTGACATGCCAAGAATGCACGTGCCTAGCTGTCGCCAGCACGAAGCTGACCAAGATCGATGCTCGCTGATCTCGTCGATCGGTGAGCGTATCGGCTGAGCTTGATCCGATGCTAGGTTCCCGTCTCGAATTGCATGCAGATATGATTCTCATGACCCGTTCACATGGAAGCGCCTCTGCAAGCCGCTATGGTGGCTGCTTTTGCACTTCCCGGTTCCCGACGCCTCGCTGAGAAAAGAACGTCGGGAAGCCACCTCGACATACGCAGACGAAACAGCTCGCAGCGATCAGCGGAGGCTACTGCACGCACTCTGTCGCAAAGTCAGTTGTGCCGAGCCGTAGAACGATTGCATGTTAAGATGTACATTAACGGACACAATCGCGTGAACTCCGCGGACAGCGATGGAGCTCAGATCCGGATTTGGTTGTAGACTGAAAGACATGCTTGTTCCTGGCTTTCTTGACTTTGCGACGACTTGGCGCCCGGATCCTTTGTCCCGTGTCGAGCGAGCCTATCCTTGATTTTCGCCTCGGGTAAGTGCGAGTGCAGATACGCATTTCGCAGAAATGGATCGGCCCTGAGTTGGCTGCGTGGCTTGCGGTGGCGAGTCCGGAAGCGTCTCGGGCTAAATTCCAGAGACTCGGTCGCCTCGCCGTTTCCAGCTTCGGTCGTCCGTCTCGGAATGGCTCTTGCAACATTTTCCTCGCCTTGTCTTTGGACATGCAGCTGAGATTGGGCATGGTGCATATCACGGTCAGATCGTCTTCTACGCCACAGCCAAAACGCGCCAAGCGCCGCAGCTGCAATTCGGCTTGCCTCTGCGCTGAAATCGTATGCAGCAACGGATGGAAGAAAAATCAAGAATGAGCACCAATCGGATGGGCCGATTCACACGACCCTCGATTCGACAACGTGAAAAGCACTGAGAACAAGCGCGCACGAGCAGTGTGCGTGGAGGATCTGCTACCTCTGCTTCTCAAAGGTCCTCAAACGGCTACACCGCAGCGCACGGTCTTCTACTGGTACGCCACAACGCACCAAAACGACATTTCTGCGCGTGATGCCGGTTAGAGATACACCTGCGTAGCACTTCGAAATTGAAGATGAAGAACGATTCGAGGCAGAATGTTGGCCAGATGAGAGGCAGATTTACGTGCTGTACCTGTTGAGGTGCAGTCGCATCGCGTTGAGGATGTAATCCACAATGCAGTGCATAATTTACGAGATGACAAGGCTTTCATGCGTTGTTGGACCCGATTGAGAAGGTCAATCTCTCTTTTGCTCTCGCATCTCACTCGTCACTTCTTGGCCTCTTGTCTATTCATCGCTACATCCAGGACCTTCCGCTTCTTTCATCATTCATCAAACCTTGCTTGAACATCGACAGGCGGTGCCCAAGGTCAGCGACCCGCTGGTTCGACATCGCCATTAGCTTCATCTCCATTACCCGGCCGTCGTGATTCGTTCTGCCCACATTTCTGTTTCCGCGAGCTTCATCCAAGGGCTCACTCGCACTCTGCGTCTCGACTTCCGATTACGGCTGGACGTTTTCAACTCGCTCGCTGCAGAGATTGAGTGGTGGGGCTGCTGTTCACCTCCCACGTCCAGTACCCGTCGCTTCATAGTTTGGTGCGCGCTGCATCCGACCTGGCTTCCTGCTTCAAAAGGCGGCATGCTCTAGATCGCAAATCCTACCGCCATCGGTACACGCAGTTGTTCTCCGAGTGCGTGCTGAACATGCTTTCCGTATAGGCGATCCGATCATCATCCTTGACGTCAGCTACTTAGCACTCATCAAAATGTCGGACGCCAGCAAGACAAACATCAACACTCGCATGCCCAAGGGTGCAAAACGCCCCAAGACATCACGAGCCTGTCTTGCCTGCCGTAAGCTCAAGGCACGCTGCGAGCCTGCCGGCGGTGCCAAAGTCGTCCCCGTAGATGACCCGCAGTCCTCCAACGCGACCTTCAACATCTGTCATCGCTGCAAAACTCTGTGCATTGATTGTCTCTACGAAACCCCGTCTGGTCAAGTCGTTAAAGGCGAAGATCTGCATCCGGAGACATCCACTCCGTCGCCTGCAGCTGAGCATAATCGACCTCTGCGCTCCGCCAAACGCTCTCGGCCAGACGATGTCAATGTAGCTTCTTCCGAAGCGTTCAGCAACGACCGCGCCGTCTTTCTCTCTCCGGCGATCTCGCCCAGCGCCCTCACACGCTCCATCTACCGCGATATCGACATTTGCTCGTTGAATACGCCTTCATCTACCAACTTGGAGCGTCCCGTCTTGCCCGCCAATGCTCTCTCACGCCTTATCGGAACAGCTCCGACACTCAAGGCCGAGGCACAGGAGTTCATCATTGGGTTGTCCGGAGCCTTTAGCCACGGCGCCGCGGCGTTCCAAGATTGGAAGCAGGCTCCCCCCGACCTCTGCGCAGGCAAAGCCGCCTCACGTCTCATGTCGGGTCAGACTGTTTCTGCAGCATATCCGCAGGATGAGGTCGAATATATCTCTCGCACGCTGCAGCCTCACGAGCACTCGTTGCGTATCCTCTTTCAGGGCCTGTACGGTCCCTTTTCGCCCTTTCTCTCGGTTCCCTTCGAAGACTCGCTCAACCTTCAGACATGTCAGTGCGAGGCGCAGTGCTTCCTGCTCCTGTCCATCTACTTGGTCGCCTTGCCCCATCTCGAGTCGACGCTGCCGATAGATCCTGCACGAAAGCCGCTTCGAAAGGCTGTCGACGCTTTCCTCCGACGGGCAATCCACAGTCCGTTGATCGACCACCTTAACATCTTTGCCTTGCACGTCTGCGCAAGCTTCCTGCTCCTGCCCGTCGACGGGCTCGTAGACAACCATCGACCGCTTTCGACCCCTGAACAGGAGAATGACGGCCTGCTCGAGTTCGCACCAGATCTCAACCCCAGAGCAGCCATCATCAAAGCGCTCATTGTGGCGCAGCGCCTCGGTTATGCCGGTCTAGCCGCCAAGTTGCCTTCCATACGCCAAGCGTTGGACTTGGACTCGCCTCCGGGCGGTCAAGCGGGCGACTCGGCTCGCGACGAGTATGCACATGCGGTGTTGTGCACCTTCACTTGGCTCACTCTTCTGCAGTTCCGTGCCTCCATCGACGTGGCGGAAGATCGCATCGAGTGGGATTCTTTGGCTCAATTCGAGCACGAGATCCCCCGCGTTCGCATTGAAGATTTGACAGCTTCATTGCTGCCTCCTCCGCCCTTCCTTTCTCCTCGCGAACAGAGCAGATGCTGTTGGATGGCCCAGCGTGCAGAGCTCTATGGGATCGCCCGCCACCTGCGCCACACCAAGCGCTCCGCAGCATCCTTCTCCAAACGTGAGGCTGAAGACCAGGCAACGGGATACAAGAAGGCGCTCGACGAGTGGCGCTACAAGTTCAACGAGCAGATGCGTAGCATGAGTGTGCAGTTCCGCAGGGATCCACGCGGTCTCGGTCTGCATCGCTACTACTCCATCTTTTCCAATGCCGAGGCGCAGTCGCTGCAAGTCTGCATCGGCTCGGTCTACCACAAAGAGTTTGCCGCCGACATGCGACAGCGCCTACAGGAACCGTTCTACCTCGACGGCCTGCCCTGGAAGTCGGCTGCCACCATCCTGCTTGGTCACGAGTCGGACCGCATGACCAAAGCCATTCTCATCAATTTCGCCTTCACCGATGCCATGCTCAAAGCTTTAGGGCTCATTTCCAGCTTGACCCCCGTCATGCCTCAGCTCTACGACTTTGTATCGTATGAAGAGACCGAAGGTAGCGAGATTCCCTCGCTCTGCATCGTTGCGCCACCAAATGTCCAAGCCGGACTGTTTGCCGTACCTGTGCTTGCAGCGGCTGATCTACGCCTGTCGGTGATAGAGACGTGGGGCGCCAGCGCGTCTTATTTCAACCAACATCTCATGCCGCTGCTCACCAATTGCGTCAAGTCGCTTCGCGCCTGCCACGTCAACGTCGACCTTCCCGGCGTGCTGAAGTTGCCATTCACCACGGCAAATCCCATTGCCGACTATCTGCAAGGACCTTTTGAGATCCTCATGCGGAAGGTCGCTGCGGCCGAGGAGCGGCTGCAGATCTCGCATGTCGAGAGCATTCTGACCAACGCTTTCCTCCTCTCGAGTAAGAAGAAGGAGATCGAGACGCTATCGGAGGAGCTTGCACCTGACGTTCCGGAGATGGTGCAGGCCATCGCCGACAGTCAGAAGGTCGAAGACGAGATATCGGCCAGCATGAAGGGCTCACTGCACGTGCAGGCAATCGAAGAGATCGAGGACACCGAGTTTGCGGTCAAGATGTTTGGAAATGATATGCGCGAGGGTGATCTGAAGGCCGTCCGCAAGCCAGGACAAAGCCGAACACCTAGTGTTGCATCCACGCCCGATGCCGAGCCTGCAAGAAAGGGAACGGTGCCCCCCAGGTCTGGAAGCATTGAGGCAGAACAGACGGGAAGTCCGTCGAACTTAGCGCCTGCAACCAGACACCGAACAAGCACGCATCGGAGCGTTCGATCGATGGTGGACACTTCGCAGACCTCGAGTCCAGGCTCGTCTGCGCATTCAGCCCCACCTTTGCATCCACAATCTGCGTCGTCGAAAGACGCTGGTCGAACGCTGCCCGGCTACGATGCGCAAGGTCACGAACAGGACTTCGCACTTTCTGCTTACGCACAGTCGTCCGCACCGATATCGGGTCAGCTGCCCCCTCCGACGTCCACCGAGTACCAGACTGTGGCACATCCAGTCATGCCGTCCGAACTGGCCTACTCAACGTCCAATGCTGTTCGCGGTGTGCCCCCGCAGGCGCCCCTCCATGATTTGGCCCCGAATCAGCTTGACCAAAGTGGATCTGCCAATGCCGACTACCTTACGCACGGTGCGGTGACAGCCGCCTATGACCCTTATGCTACCGCCGAGCATCGCTATCCGGGCGAAAGTATTGTCGGCGCTTTTCCCGATGGACCCGAAAGCACTCCTCGCGTAGCGTCATCTGCGGATGCCTTTGTGCCGCAGATGCACTCTGCTAGCAGCCTCTACGACCCGGTTGGACGTTCAGCCTCCGGTGCGAGAGCTGTAGGACCAGATTTCGGTGGAGGCTATCCACATGGCACTGGTCCGCCAGTGGACGCTGCAAATGTGTCCGATCCTGACCCATGGTCGCAGTCTCTTGGCCCGGGAGTGCATCGTCATCATCATCATCATCATCATCATCATCAGCAGCAGCAGCAGCAGCAGCATCAACTCCATGAACAGCCGCCACAGCACGGATACGCTGATTCATATCCCGTCACCAACGGCTTCCACGGTCAGCAGGGCAAATATCATGAATATGCGGACTCGTCAGGACTAGAGCAGACGGACGTAGCTCCTGCGCAAGATGAACCGTTCTATGCTCCGGCACAACCGCTGCAGTCGCGGAACGCGGTTCACGGTGAGAGCCAGTACCAAATGGCCTTCTTGGGTGTTCCTGAAGGTGGCCATCACACAGCTCAGCATCAGCAAGTCCACCCTGCAGACCATCACGCGATCAACGGCCAACAAGCTCCAAATGACCAGGCGCCGCACCAACCGCACCAAGCTGACGGTCAGCAGCCATCGTCTGCCATCTGGCAGGCGTGGGACTGGACACCTGCCCAACAGCAGCAGCATCCACAGCAGCACCTTCCGCAGCATCAACAGCAGCAGCATTACCCACAGCAACAGAGCCATCAGTATCATCGCGGTGGTTAGAGCGGAACATCACGTGTAGACGTCCACTTGTAAGCAACACCCGCATTCGCAAACTCAGTTTAACAAGACAAGAGCAACTCGTTCGAGATGACTTCCTGTTACCGACCTGTCACACTTGCAATCTGGTTGTGTGATGCATGAAATGGCGCGATTGTGTAGAAGGCCGTGCTTGCAATTTTCCCCAAGTTGTACAACTACAGCATGATGCGACACTGCGTCTATTCGTCTTCGCTCTCGGCTTCATCCTCGTCAATTCTGAAAAACGCCCTTATGGTGGCATGAACAGCTGCGCTTACACCCCACCTTCCCACCTCGACCTCGTGCGCCTCGTCGTCATCGTCATCGTCGTCGTTGTCTTTATCCGGTAAGCCGATGATGGGGTTTTGAGCGATGCTGGTTTTGAGAAGGTGAGCGAATTCGTCGTGGAAGGATTGGAGGAAGGCTGTGGATGTAGGTGTGGAGGAAGAGGGTGGGATGGAAGGGGTTGCGGTGATGTCTGGGTAGGCGTGACCGAAGCGATTCCATCGGATGTCGAAGTGGAAGGTGAGCGAGGCGGAGGATTTGTTTTTCAGCGTAAAAGTGGATGCAGCGGTGGGGTGGATGAGGGATTTCGAGGTGGAGGGATCGAGGATCTGTTTGCGGGTGTTGTGGGTGGAGGAGGAGGTGTGTGGGTGGAAAGGGGTGAAGTCGGTAGAGTGGGTGTGTTCCCAGGCTCGAACGTGATCGCGTGCCAGATCGGTGTACGACTCCATCAACGATGTGAACAGGTTGCGTCGCAGCGAGAGCAGAGGCACCATCGTTCGAAACATCAACAGAATCGCGGGAAGATCGTTCCTCGAGATGAGTTTTGTGTAGAGGTTGTGGGGTGTATCGAGCGTTGTTCTCAACCAATCCGGAATGTCCACCTGAAGATCTTGGATTTGAGGCGAGGAAGTAGCATCCTCCTCGACGACGTGAAGCTGGATCTTGAGCGCGAAGAGTCTCGCAAAGTTCCCATCGATCTTGATACTCCGCCTCCTCCCCACCTGGCCACTCACATCGGTCTGTTCAAGCGATTCGATATGCAACATCGAAAACTTGACAAGCCCTTCCACCAAGGAAGTCAATCTCGACTGTCGATCCCTCAAGAACGCATTGACGCTGGTCGCATGTCTCTTCTCACCCAACTGCTCCTCCAGACTCTCCCCCATCCTCCGATCGATCTGACTGGCACTACCGGTACCTTCCACTCCGACCGACTTGCTGGGTATCAACTCTGCATTCAGCACCAACCACGAACTCTCCACCTGCGCGTCTCCCGCGATCAGCTTTCCCAAGGCAACGCTACTCGCTGTCAGCAGCGACGTCAGCGCATCGTCGTCCATCTGCTTCAACTTCTCCGCTAGAGCTTGTTTGAGGGATGTTGCGGTGAGCGATGGATCCATGTATCGAAGCGAAAGCGATGTCGAGGAAGAAGAGGATGATGCGGGGGGAGGAGGGCGACGACGACGTGATCGTTCGGCGGCGATCTGACGGCGTAGATCGTGGACTTCGAGGTCGAGCTCTTCGACGCGGTCGATCAGGGTGGAGCGGTCGGTGGCGGATGAGGTTGAGCGTGCGGAGCCGGGTGTATCGATGGGCTGGACACGCCGCCGTGATGGCGTGGTTGTTGGCGTCGATGCCATTGTGTGTGTTTAGAGCTGTGATTCGAGAGCGTATCGTGCTGCGGGTAGGTGGAGGTGCCGTGAAAACGCGACGACAATCTGGCAGAGCGAAAGGGTTGGCAATCGATGCGCAAACCTGGCGAGGAAGCGTTGATCAGGACCCAGGGGGCGTTCGGTGTGGTCCGAAAGCTAGGCTGAGGCGATGAGCGTTCGTCCAACAGAGCAGGGGGCGAGACGGTCCGTGTGAAATCCGTGATGTCAGAAGACGAGTATGGGTATAAAAATTGTATCACAGCTGTACGATATCGAAGCGCTGGAATGAGAAGGCGAGATTGATGGAGTTGTTGTTGATGGTGTGCAACATCTTGAAAGTGTTGTGACTGGAAAAATATGGTGTTGCTCAGCTGCAGGGTCGTGCGGGCGCGTCGCGTCCATTGCGCATATTTTAGCAGAATGTGCGATCGATGCCCCTCACATTTTCGCCAAAAAAGATTGTTGGCTCCGCACATTACGCTCACGTTCTCTCTAGGCAGAAGATGCCAGTTGCGCTGAAGTGTGCTTCTGGAAAGACGAGCAACACCCTCGAGTACTAGGTACGGAACAAGCCCTGAATTCGGGCACAGACTGCATGCAGAAAGGGCGACAGTCGATCGGCTGTATGGCAGCAATGGGTGATTGTCAAAGTACATGATAACGACCGTGCCAATCTAGAACCGCGATCGCTTGCTGGATTCGCCTGCATCCATATGGCGCTTGCGCTTTGGTACGGCTGCGTTCCCCTCTCTCGCAAACCCGATGCCGGCAGGCATGTCCTTCTTCTCCTTCTGAGCATTCTTCTTCCTCCTCCTCTCCAACGCCTTCTTGAGCTGTTTCTTCTCCTGCCCGCTCGCTCTCTTTCCGTCCTCATTGCCACCACCAGACAAGCGATCGTACTTGTCCTTGAGCAGCATCTGCTTGACCTCGCTCTTCTTGGGATAGAATGGCAACAGACCCTTCTCCACCCTCTCCTTGTTCTGCGACTTGATCTTGCCCTTGACGGCCGACTCTCTGGCCCTCCTCTCTCGCTCTCCTGCTAGACCCTCTGCTCTGCGCAGTGTAGCCTCCACCTTTGCACGCTCTTCGCGGATGGACAACGCCTGTTCGGATTTGGCTTTGGGTCCGGCTTGTGCCGCTTCCTGCTTTTTGAGCTTTGCCAGCGTCTTTTTGAGCGTGCCGAGTTCGTCTTTGAACATCTCGGGCAGGAATGAGTAGGATTTGGAGAAGAGGTCCTTGTTGACGCTGCCGGACAAGGATTCGAATCGTGGATCGCGTACGTGGTTCGAGGCTGTCTCGATGACGTTGCGACGACGAGAGACGGGTCGCTTGCTGGAAACTTCGGTGGGGGCGTTCTTGTTGGAACGTTTCACGAGCTCTTTGCGTTCGGCCGCCTCCTTGCGTCGTTGTTCGCGTTGTTTGCGTGCTTCCGCCCAGGCATCGTCGGCCGCACCGTTGCCGGAAGGACCGCCCGCTGATGCCGATCCTCCGTTGAGCTGTCGTAAGCGCTCACGAACTTCACGACGCTTTTGTTCGAGCGCTTCGTCGGCATCTGCGGATCTGAAGCTACCATTGCGTTGAGGTTGTTTGCCCGCTTTGGCAGCTGCGAGACGCTGACGGTCTTGTGCGAATTCGTCTTCCTCCAGGTCCGAAATGTCGGGATCCGAATGGTCGTGCGCATCGTCGTCGCTCGTTGATCTTTGCAGCTGTTGTTTTGCTTTCATGAGAGCAGAAAAGGAAATCTTGTCCATCTGCTGTCGAATGTGATCCTGCTCGTCGTCAGATGCTGCTTCGTCGCTGCTGTACGCCGCTTGCGCTGCGTCAGCTTCTTCGTCGTCGTCATCGTCGTCCTGAGTGTCGATGTCAGAGTCTTTCTCGAGATCCGAGTCATCCATGAACTGTGCGTACTTAGGTCGCTCCTCCTCCTCGTCTTCCTCGCTGTCGACTTGATCCTCCAGGTCGGCACCAAGCTCGCTTCCCGATCCGAGTTGCAAAGATCCGGCATCCGAACCGTCTGAATCCTGCTCAAAGACTGCCGCTGTCTTTGACGTCCTCCGTGACGGCGCCTTGTTGCCCAATGCCCTAGCCATCTTGATGAGTCGTGAGCAATGTAATGATGTGACGATGAGGGAGGGAGGGAGCTCAGGATTCGAAGGTGTGGAGTTGCATATCCTTGTCAAACCGTTTGTCGAGAAACGTTTGTATCCAGCCAGCAAATTTTGAATACAATTTTTGAGAGAGTTCAGGGTTCAGCATTTGTTTTCGATTGAAAAATAATAGTTCGGCCCACCGCCACTTTTTTGTTTTGGAAAGATTTCTTCCTACGAGTCTCATTCATGATCGTGTGGAGCTCATGCTTACCTTCCACCAACCAACAAGAGCCTTTCCAGCTGTGCCAACAACATACTCTCAGTATTCAGCTTGCATTCATACCCCGAGCATCAGCTGGGAAAGGTGCCGAAGGCGCACTGCAATCCACCGAAGAACAGCTGCACAGCCTCGTGAACCTCCGACCGCCTCGAACAAGAGCTACCTGCTCGCAACACCATCATCATGGAAGCTGGACCTTCCAAACCATCTCGCTCCTCCAGCGGCTCCGAAGCTGGCAAATCGAACGGCGACAAGAAGCCGTACCACAGTCAGGAAGCGCTCGACAAGCAAGCCAACTCAATATCAGCCGCCACCTCGCTTCCACGCTCCCTCGACCGTACCACCCCCGCCGCCGTCCGAGATGCCAAACTTCCCAAGTCAGTCACTAGCGTCAAGGATAAGAAGCTCAAAAGCAAGCTCACACACCAACACCTTTCGCAGAAGCGTGCTGCCGAATCGGCGCGTCTCGCCAACGAATACCTCAACACCGCTGCACCGGGTGAAGGCGCAGGCATGATAGAGACTGAAGGAGAGCTCGAGAGGACTTTCAAGGTGACACAAGCGCAGATCAAGGACAATGTGGGCATTGACACCGCTACCAAGGGCTTCGAGCTCAAGCTGGATGGTGGCAAGCAGGGGGTCGGACTGGGACCATATAGGTGTGATTATACGAGGAACGGGAGGCATCTGGTGATTGGAGGGAGGAAAGGTCACTTGGCAGCGTTTGATTGGCAGACAGGAAAGCTCAGCTGTGAGATCCAGGTGAGGGAGACGGTACGAGACGTCAAGTGGCTGCACAACCACAGCTTCTTTGCAGCGGCGCAGAAGAAGTACGTCTACATCTACGACGATGCAGGTATCGAAATCCACAAGCTCAAGAACCACACCGACGTCAACCGGCTCGAATTCTTGCCTTATCACTTCCTGCTCGCATCCGTCGGCGCGACCGGATACCTCAAGTATCAGGACACTTCCACCGGTACACTCATAAGTCAACACCGCACCGGGCTAGGCAACTGCAACACCATGACTCAGAACCCTCTCACGGCTGTCCTGCACCTCGGTCACACCAACGGTACCGTCACCATGTGGACGCCGAATCTGTCGACGCCCGCGGTCAAGATGCTCGCGCACCGTGGACCGGTGACGGGCATCTCGATCGACTCCCGCAACGGTGGTCGCGACATGGCCACCTGCGGTATGGACGGAACCATCAAAGTGTGGGATACGCGCATGCTCGGCAAAGGTCCACGTCGGGAGTGGCAAGCGCGCCGACCGGCATCCGACCTGCAATACTCGCAACGTGGACTGCTCGGTGTAGCCTGGGGCCCACACGTCTCGGTCTACGACACCCACGCCGCCCTCGGAAACGCCCCACCCGGGCCGTACATCACGCAAGGCTTCCCTCGCTCCGAGCCGCTCCAAGTCAAGTTCTGCCCCTTCGAAGACGTTCTCGGCGTAGCGCATTCAGGCGGTTTCACCAGCCTTCTCGTTCCGGGAGCGGGTGAACCCAACTTCGACTCGTCCGAACTCGACCCCTTCGAAACGCGCACCGCGCGTCGCGAACGCGAAGTCCACCAGCTGCTCGACAAGATCTCGCCCGAGCTCATCTCCATCGATCAATCCATCCTCGGCTCGATCCACATCGCCGAGACCAACGTCTCCGCTGCCGAACAGGACCGCATCCTCTCCGAGATCGCAAAGCGCAACCCGAACGCCGTGGCGAGGAGCGCCGATGGAAGAGCCTACTCGCAGCTCTCGCGAATCGAACGTATGCAGCTCGACAATCCGGATGCGTCCCCGCTCGGTGGCGCGAGTGACGACGATGAGTCTGGAATGACCGGATCGCTCGCAGCTAAGATCGCAGCACACGACGGACCAGTGAAGGAGAAGAAGGAGAAAAACCGCATGAGGGGCAAGAACAAGGCTCTCAGCAGGTATCTGAGGAAGAAGAGGGAGAACGTCATCGATCCGAACAGGATCGCCGTCAAGGCGAGGATGGAGAAGGTGAGGAAGGAAGAGCAGCTGGCAAGGAAGAGGAAGGCTGCGGCGGGGATCGATCAGGACGACGAGAGCTTTTCGGCGTTGGACATGTTCAATAAGAGGTCGTGAAGGGTCGTTTCTTTTTGCAATGCAGAGTGCTGTTCTGAACGTCTTTTTTGTTGTGTTCTGGTGTGAGTTCGCGGGAATGCATGGGGTCGTTCGTTCATCCAGTCGGATGTTGGCGCATAGAACACAGCCCGTCACAGGAAAAATGTGATCCATCATTCTGAATTGCAGTGTGTCAACTTGTGCCTTTCCTCCAAGAACCTCACTCGAGCACAAACTCCCCATCCTCTCCCTTGCGAATGAACACCGACTTGTGCTCGTCCAAGCTCCTCCTACCAGCCTCCAAGATCGCCGTCGTCAACACGGTATCCTTGATCGTCGGCAACACCTCATCGTAATCCACCACCTTTCTCTCGCCCCTATTAATCCTGGTGACCGCCGTGACGAAGTTCTCCAAACTGAGATAACCGTAACCGTGCTGACCTGCAAAGAAACCTTCCGCATCGGGAGTGTAGCGCATGTAGAAGGGGTTGTAGTCGGTGCAGCTTCCACCGGTGCCCTGCTGAGCTGGATCTTCGAGGGTGAATTGGTAGCCGCGACGGGCTTGGTTGATGCGGGTTTCGCCGTGGGAGCCGACATAGTGGAAGTGCTGTTCGCTGTGAACGCCGGCGCCTTGCGGGGCTGTCCAGGAGGCGGTGAAGATGGCGGTTGCGTTCTTACCGGAGGACGTCTGCCCATTGGAGTCGAGGATTTCGAAATCTACGAGAAGCGTAATCGTATCTTCCGTACCTTTGACGCAACCTTTGCTCTCCGCGATACCTCGAGAGCCGGATGCAGTGACCTTGACGGGTACAGCTCGACCCTGAACCATCCAAAGACACACATCGATGTGATGCGAATTCAGGTAGTACGAGATATCGCTATCCCTACCCGCCCACGCTTTGAACGTCTCCAACTGGTTCTTCGGTTGACTCATGTACGAGTAGAAGTAGTTCATGTCACCCAACGAGTCGCGCGTACGCTGACGGGCATCCGCATAGGCAGGGTCGAATCGTTTATGATGTTCGACCATGCACAAGACGCCGTTCTCCCTCGCTGCTTTTACGAGCTCTTGATGGTGTTGGAGAGACTGAGTCGCGGGTTTTGTGACGAGAACATGGATCTTTCGGGTGATGGCATACAGCGCGATATCAAAGTGCGTAGAATCGGGCGTAAAGATCGTAATCGCATCCCCTGGGGAGAGCGAATCGATGGCAGTCTTGTACGCATCCGCATCGCGAACCCCCGCAGCAGGGTACGAAGTGAACTCGGTCGACATATCGCGATACTTGGCTTCGATGTTCGTCTTGAAGTGGTTTCGAACCCCGGCAAACTTGTCGCCATTGGTTCCGACCATCTTGATCTCCGGTGAGATGAGGTTGCGACGACGAAGATCGAACATGACCAGACCGACGACGCCGATCTTCTTGTCCGAGGGGGACGAGGTGTTGCCGACGTAGCCGGTGGTGTATTCGCCCGTGCCTACGGCGAGGATCGTTGGTAGACCCGACATTTTTGCGATTCTGCGGTTGCGAGATTGGGGTATTGAGTAAAGAGGATGACGGTAGGTGGTGGTGTCAAAGGTTGCGTGCTTGGTTCTGGGTTTCTATACTATATATGAACTTGACCAACCAACACGAAGGGTTGCGAGACCGCACATGGCAGTTAAGAGACATGGACTTTCGCGGTACATTCGGAAAAAGCGAGTCCCAGCAGCAGCGTTCGGTGAGAAGAACGGCGCGGGAGAGCGGATGTGGTCCGGTCCGGTCGTGCAGATTTTCGTGCATTTCTTCTCCCTCCCAACACCCCCACGTTGATCCCACCCTTGTTGGCTGACCGCAAAAATCACCGGTGGCAGATCTCACTCACTTTCGGTCAACCTACTCAAGGCGATCCACTCGACCAATTCTTCTTCCGACCTCGGCTTTCTTCCCGTCTTTGCTGTGCTTACTCCGTGGTTCACAATTGTGATAAGATACACGTGATGCACGCCAAGCTCGGAAGGTCAAATTACTGGTACCGTGTGGCTTTCTCGTCTCGCACACCTCCTCTACGATCTAACCAAGTGATATTTCTGAGTTTCATTGTTGATTGGCACAAACGTGGGACTGGAAGAACCAGAATCTGTCCCAGCTTTGCACGTCGATCACGTTTGACGAGCCAGACAGCGCATCCCATGGCATCACGAAGGCACCGAATAAGCCTGGCCTCTCCTTCCAGCGTTGCTGCTTGCGGCTGCCTTTTCACTCCCATTCTGCGACTTGCCCGTCTTCAACGGGTTGATGATACCCGTTCGCCCCTTGGCGCCGGACTTGAACCCGGGTCCATCGTAGAAGATGGTCTCGTCAGGTCGGTTGAGCGTTGGCCAAGCGACGTAGTCCAGCCCTCTCGAGATCATGTACTGGGCACTGCCGACAGCGACCACCAACCACAGGGTGAAAAAGTAGACGTGCGACCAGGCGCCCGACTGTTTGACAGCATCTCCAACGCTCGGCCCGCCCACCGAAGCGACGGTCTGCGCTGCTGTGTGACGAGGAAGCAGCAGGCTGGCAAAGATCATGGTGAGTGCGAATAGGAAGACCCACGGCATGGCCCGCACCAGCAATGCGCGCTGGTCAGGGGTCGGAAGGCCCTTGGATGGCTCCCAGGCACCTGTGAAGAGGTCATACGCATCCTGTCGAGCGCCGTCGAAGTAGTTGTTCTTAATGTAGCGCGTGACCGAGTTGACACCGTCTTGCAACGCGCCCTCCTTGGATCGCTTGCCCGTTCGGGTAAAATCGGTCTTGAGCGCGCCAGTGCCACTATACGCTTTGGAGATGACGTCGGCGTGGTCGGCCCACACGTTACGGTAGACGTGCATGAACTCGGACTTCGTCTCGACTTGTTCGCCGCCCGACAGGATTCCGATGGATCGCAGCTGCTCGTTGAGGATCCAACGCGCCAAGGTGCCTTGCACCACATTGGTGCGGTCGAGACAGTCCATGCAGTTGGTACGCACGACGGATCGCTGCTGGCTCACCACCGTGCCCCCCTCGACGGCAAAGTAGTCGTTGCTCTTCAGACCCTTGGTCTGCAGCCGCTCGACAAGGTCCATGACGCGCTCAAACTTCATGCCTTTGCACTCGTGGTGGAAGTCGTAGTACGTGTAGTGCACCTGGGGGTTGTGCAGCTTCTCGACGGCGCGCTCGTAGGCCTCCTTGACGGGCTTCTCGTAGCCCTTTTGGTTGACCAGGTTGACGAGGTAGTTGTCTCCGTATCTGGCCACCTGGTCCTCAAAGTGACGACGCGTCGCTTCCGTTGTCTCGGGCTTGTCCATGATCTGCAAATCGGGCTTGTAGCGCAGGTTGTTGACCTCTGCCCAGAAGACGGGTACACTGCCTCGGGTCTGAATGTAGCTCTTGCGGATGCTGCCGTTCGCCTTGGTCATGGTCGATCCGCCCTTGGGGTTGGTGATGACGAATTGCTCGGTCTCGTTGAAGTTGGAGACGTTGCCGTCCAGGTCAATGCCTCGGGAAAAGTAGCGCGTGCCTACGCGGTGACGCGAACGACGAGCAATGAGGCCCAGAACGAAAGCATGGTCGTTGATGTTGACCTCCTTGACCTCGAGGAAACCAAATACGCACGGAAGGATAAAGCGCGACAGATCCTGGCTGCCAGACTGGGCGGTCTCGATAAACTTTTGCATCAAGAAGCGGTTCCAAAAGAAGCGTTCGTCGGTACGCTGCCAGAGAGGGGCCGACTGATCTGCGAGACCGGCTTGACGCTGCATGCTGCTGGTGAGATCGTAGCCGTAGCTGAAGTAAAAGGGAGCACTGTAGAGATGCGCCTTGAGCAGACCAAGGAGCGTTTTTTCGACCGGATGTTTGAGCAGCGAGGGGTTGGCGTCCTTGTCCACGGGAAGCGTGCGGAACTCGGTGGCCATGTAGACGTCTGCACCACCGATCTCGGCTACCTTTTTCTTACTGGTGATGACGACGAGGAATTCGGATTTGTGCAATTTGATGATACCGACGATGCCGTGGACGGACATGGTCTTGTCGCCACCGGGTGCGGCTCCTGGCTTGGCAAGGCGGACGGAGCTGTCATTTCGATCAATCACGAGCACCTCGGCACCTGACTTGGCGGTGGGCTCGAATACGTAGGCTTCGGGCGAGGTGCGCAGTTGGAAGCCGTCCCAGAGCTGGGGAAGACCGGCGGTCGACGACATGGTGGTGGCTCGAATTTGCGAAGAGGAACGAGGTCAGGAAAGTCTATGAAGGAGGGTTGAAACGTTCTGCTCACACGCGCGCCAGAATTAGGGTATAGTGGCGAGCAGAGATGAGGGGACGATGGTCCTGGCTGAAGAACGTTGGTGGAGCCGATGGCGTGGTGAACGGTGGAAGAGACGAAGAAGAAAGTACGTAGACGAGAATCTTCGGTTGAGATCGTCGTCCTCTGCAAAGTGCGGGGGGATGTGCAAGCACACAGGCTGTGGAGCAGAGCACGCACAGCATTCATACGAGTTTGGAAATGACGTTTGCCGCCCTTTTTGTTTGCAAACTGAGCACGGTGCAGCGGCAACATGGCGTTGCTGATTTGCTGTGTGAAACCCGAAATTCGCCATCTCACAAAATCACCGATTCGGAGACCAAGTCGGCGTAGAATCCGATTCGACGTTGGACGGCGGCATGCTCCTCAACGAACACACGTTGAGCTGTTAATCACGGGAACCAACTCAATGTGCACCAAATGTGACACAGACGCATTCCTTCCTTGTTTGTATCGACGCTCGACACTTTCACCACTCGGTCGTGTTACGCTCTCAAAAGCGTCGTTTCGATGCTATGAAATGTTTGGGATATCGCAGCCTGGCTACATGTACAAGTGGAGATCGACCAGTGATATGAACAGTCGATGTTATTTTGGGTGAGTCGAACAAGGCGGTGCGGCGACCATGCTCGGTGAACGAAGGTCCGCGTATGTCTAAGTGAGGAGGGTGAGACGCGACGAGACCTCGGCCTGGGCTCGTACGACGTTGGCAAGGTAGGAGACCATGAGAACATCCTGGAGGTGTGCGTTGAACAAAGTCTCGAGCTTGCTGTCGTCCATGCCTGCGGGTACGACGCTGATGGTGTCGTTGAGGAATCGACCGACCGCCTTGTCGCCTTCCTTTTCGCCCGAGATGACGGCGCGAACATAGGTGAGCACGCGGTCGAGTTGCGACTGGACCTGTTTGAGGCTGACGGCGAGCGCATCGAGATCGCTCAAGGGCGACGAGACGTTTTGCGAGGCAAGCAGCGAGAGCGACGAGTGCTCTGGTGTCGAGTGAAGCAGGTTGGTGGGAAGCGGGAGGAAGACGCAGTTCTCGGCCTTGGGGGCGGCGCCCAACGGTGACGAGATGTACGACTTGATGCCGAGTCCTGATGCTTTCGAGCCGTCGATCGAGGTGTCCATGGTCAAGTGGACGGCCTGGTGAGGTAGGGTCTCGCGCGAGTAAAAGTCCTGAATGAGCGCGCTGTATGTGTTGAGTTCTGGCGAGGTGGCGTACCAGCCGACAATGACCTCATCCGGTCGCACCTTTTGGCAGAGCTCGTACATGCTTCGGTGGTACTCCATGTCGACCTGCACCTGACCCTCCTCCTCATCTTCCAAGTGGGGAACAGCGAAACAGTTCTTGATCTCGATCTCGGACTCGGTGCGTGTACCGAGCAGAGTGCCGATGACGCGGTGCTGGCCATCATTACGACGAAGGTAGTGGTCGAGGATCGAGAAGAGAGCAACAGGGTGGACGTGGACACCGGTGACGGAGCGAGAGTGCATCACACCCGAACCAGTCGAGGCTGGGAAGTCGAGGTGAAGAGCAGAGGACGATGATTCGGCGAGCGACATGGTGAGCTATGTGGATTGCGTCGTGTCAACGTTGATGCAATGGAGCGCAGTCAGTCGTGCCGATGATGGGTTGAATAAAAAGATGTGTGTGCGACTGTGTCAAGAAGTAGCTGAAGCCGTCCAAAGATCGATTCGATTTGGTTCGAGAATGCCAGACGATGATGATGAGTATCGAGAGCCAATACGATCGGATACGTTCAGGTGACAAAGGAGAAGGGTGATGAAGGTGTTCGTCGTTGTCGTTGTGGTTGATGAGCGGGACAGAGACACTGTAGCAAAGCAGAAAGCGGCTGCACTGTGCAGCTTTCTCGTTGAACCTGCTCGAGGAGCACAGCAGCTCAAAAGGAAAAAAATCCTCCCAATTCTTCTTGAGCGATTTCAAGTTGAACATTTGAATTGACCGCGTCGTGTGAAGTGAATTGAATTGAGCTTGGCTGAACCCTTGCAATTTGTATTTCGCTTTCACTTTGAGAAGCTTTGGTGCCCTTTGTGTAGAGAGAGACAAGATGCGCTCAGCTTTCTTCTTCGCGTCGAGTTAAATCCCCAAAATGTTAGAAAGATCAGACAAAGCACAGAGGCTTGGCTGGCTGATCTGATCGAGTTTGTGTGTTGGTCAAGCGCAGCTGTTCGGCTTGTCAGCTTCATCTCCATCTCCTCCGCCATTCCCATCTAGCCTGTGACCTTCTTCCCTTCCCACACGCACCTATCCCCCATCGACACCCCTTATTTGCGCATCAGCGAGGCGAATACCAGCATCAACTCGACGCGAGGCGTTCACACCCATGGCTCTGCTTGGATACTAGTGCATCACTTGGTTCCAAGAGTGCAGCGCCCGAGTCGCTAGCGTCCCGCCGCTACAACCCATTGGCGCGGGCCACCATACGCCAGCTGTTCCTGAGCTCATATCGTCCATCTGACCCGACACGGCCCCTGCTACGACCTCCCAACGGCTTTCACCATGGCTGACGAGGAGAAGGTCCCCGCCCCTTACTTTCAGGATGACGAGGAGGGTGTCACTTCCGACGAGGGCGAAGGCGTCGACCTCATGAAGTCTAACGGCAACCTTGTTGGCTCGGGAGGCGAAGATAGCAGCGACGAAGACGAAGACGACGATCCAGAAGAGGCTCGACGCGTCGCCGAAGGTTTCATCGCAGAGGACGACGAGGAGGAAGAGGAAGACGACGAGGCTCGCAGAGAACGCAGAAGACGCAGAAAGAAAAAGAGAAAGCAGAACGAGGAGGACTTTGAAGTCGACGAGGACGACCTCGAGCTGCTCGCCGAAAACACTGGACAGTCCCGCCGCAAGGAGGCCGGCCGTCTCAAACGTTTCCGACGAGGCTCCGCTTCTCCACCCGCAGACGATGAAGCAGCTGCCAGGCAAAGGACCCTCGACCAGATCTTTGAAGATGATGACGATGACGACGACGATGACATCCGCTCGGGACGCCGCGGCGTCAACTACGACGACGATGACGACGAAGATCTTCCCTCTGTCGGTCAAGCACTTCGCGCCGGCGTAGCCCGCAAACAACGAGAGGTCGTCGGAGGCTACGAGGACGACGGTCTCGATGACTTTATCGAAGAAGACGAGGACGACGAAGAGATGCAGGGCCTTGACGAGGATGAGCGCGAGGCGAGACGTCAAGAAAGGCGCGAGGAGAAGCGTAGAGCGCGCATGTCCGGATCCGCCGCCGATCCCGCTAAGGCTGGCATCGACCGCGAGGCCTGGGACGAGATCCACGAGATCTTTGGCAATGGCGAGGACTACTTTTGGGCGCTCGAGGACGAGGATGAAGATGCCTTCGATGAGCAAAAGAAGAACAAGATGGAGTACAAGGACATCTTTGAGCCCGCCCAGATTGCAGAGCGCATGCTCACCGAAGAAGACGAGCGCATCAAGCGCATCGACATCCCCGAGCGCCTTCAGCTGGCTTGCCCGGGCGAAGAGGGTCTCAAGCTGCTCGAACGAAAGCTCACCGATGCAGAGCTCTTTGAAGCAGCAAAGTGGGCCTCGACTCGCATTTCGACCAGAACCGCCGCCGAGTTCCTCGACGAAGCCGGCCTGTTCCACCGTCAACGATCTGAGTTCATCAATGCCGTCCAGCTCATGCTCTCCTACATGCTCAACGATCTCCTCGAGGTGCCATTCCTCTTCCAGCACCGATTCGACGAGCTCGAGCACCATTACTACGACGAGGTCGAGCAACAGTCTCGCACCATCGACCTCCTCACCCGTCGCGAACTCTACACTCTCAGCGGACTCGGTCTCAAGTTCAAGACGCTGCTTGTTCGCAAGGATCAGCTGCGTGCCACTTTCAACAAGATCCACGTCGACGTAAAGCTCGAACCCGGTCAAGAAGCACTTGACAACGGCGCAGATTCCACGCCAGCAGATCAAAATAGGCAGGCTCGTGCCGAGGCCTCGCAGCGTCAGAGGATCGTGTTCGAAGACATGCTCGCAAAGGCTGCCAGTCTCGAAGAGATCTCCGACATTACCGAATATCTCACCCTCCGCTACGGCCAGCAGATGCGCGACGCGCAAGCGCTTTCTAGCAACGGCACAGAGCAAGCAGCAGAGGATATGGAAGGTCTCACTCTGAACGGTGAGCCCCTCGTCAGCGCCACGCCTGGCTTCAAGAAGCCAAGTCTTGTGGGCCAGTACGAGCGCACAAAGAACACCGTCCTCGCCGAGCTCTCCAAGAAGTTCGGCATCACCGCCGACGAGCTCGCCTCCAATATCACGAGCACCACTCGGCAATACTCTCCTCGCGACCCGGACGTGTCCCCCTTCAAGTTTGCCGAGCAGTTCACAGGCTCGGCATGGGGAGCACACTCGCCCGAGATTGCGCTTGCCAAGGCCAAGATGATGCTCAGCCAGGAGATCGGCAAAGACCCTATCCTCAAGCGCGAGATGCGTCAGCTCTTCAAGGACGCTGCAGAGATCAACATCGAGCCCACCGAGCGCGGCATGACCGTCATTGACGAGCAGCATCCCTACGCCAACTTCAAGTTCATCGCCAACAAGCCTGCTCGCCTCGTGCCTCAAGCACCCGCTCAATACTTGCAGATGCTTCAAGCAGAGGACGAACTGCTGATCAAGCTCGACATCAACCTCAAAGACGTTGTGCTGAACCGCTTCGAGACGCGCCTCTTCAACAACTACGCCAGCGAAGGCGTCGGCGATGTCAGCAAGGCGTGGAACGACCAGAGGCGCGAAGTGATCCGCGAGGCGCTCAAATCCCACCTCGTCCCCAACGGACGTATCTGGCTCAAGGAGTACCTGCGCGAAGAATCACGCGAAGTGCTGCTGCGACATGTCGACGTCCTCATGACCAAGCGTGTCCAGCAAGGTCCCTTCATGTCTCGCAGCATGATGGCGCGCAACCGCGACCCCAAGATCGAGGAAGAGGACCGCATTCCTCGCGTGCTCGCCGTTTCGCACGGCGGAGGTGACCCTCGCAAGGACGTCGTCCAGGCAGTGTATCTCGACGAACGAGGTCGATTCCGCGAACACGCCACCTTTGACGACCTCCGTCCGCTCTCACCGCGCCAACTGCAGGAGCGCGAGCTCGAGCTCGAGCGCACACGAGGCAAGGCCGAGTTCACAGATCATCGTGCAGACTTTGTCAAGTTGCTCAAGCAACGCAGACCGGACATCGTGGTTGTCAGTGGATGGAGTGTGCGCACGGCCGAACTCAAGAGGCATGTTCAAGAGCTCGCCGAGATGGCTCACCAGGAGATCTGCGACGAGGACCGTCTCGGTTCTGATCTCGAGCGCGACCAAGCGGCCATCGACATTGTTACTTGCCACGACGACGTCGCTCGAATCTACCAGCACAGCAGCCGGGCCGCGGAAGAATTCCCCGAACTCAGCGAACTCGGACGCTACTGTCTTGCGCTGGCGCGATACGCCCAGTCGCCGGTCAACGAGTTCGCTGCGCTTGGCAGCGATCTGACCGCCGTGATCCTCGATCCCAACCAGCGTCTGCTGCCCCAGGACCGCCTGCGACTCCACTTTGAGCGCTGCATCGGTGCCATCGTCAACGAGAATGGCGTTGAGATCAACCAGGCCATGACCAGCACATATCTGCAGACGATGCTGCCCTTCGTCGCCGGTCTCGGTCCCAGAAAGGCGCAGGCCTTGGTGAATGCGATCAGCACAAAGCTTGAGGGCACGCTCATCAACCGCACGCTGCTCATCACGCGAAGCATCTTGACCTTCCAGGTCTTCCAGAACTGCGCATCCTTCCTCCGCATCGAGCAAGACATGCTGCTCGAGGCCGATGAGGACGACGTGCCAGACGTGCTCGACAGCACGCGCATCCATCCCGAGGACTACGACTTCCCGCGAAAAATGGCGGCCGATGCGCTCAACAAGCACGAAGAGGATCTCGAGGGCGAGCATGCAAGTCTGCCATGCAAGGAGCTCATGGAGGATCCCGATCCGGCCGACAAGCTTAGCGTGCTCGACTTGGACAACTACGCCACGATGCTGTTTGAGCGCAAGGGTGAACGCAAGCGTGCTACGCTGCATTCTTGCAAGACAGAGTTGATCAAGCCGTACGACGATCTGCGCGAGAAGCAGATGGAGCCGTCGCCGCAAGAGATCTTGACCATGTTCACGGGCGAGACGGCCAAGACGCTTGCAGAAGGTTTCGTCGTCTCGGTCGAGGTGCTGCGCGTCCAAGAGGGCAACCGTATGCAGGAGGGTCACATCAAGTGTCGCCTAGACTCTGGGATGGAAGGCACCATCGATGCCGAGAACGCGGTCGAAAACTACACGCCTGGCTCGGTGCGTCTCCGTGATCTGGTACGGCCTCAGCAGACGCTGGACGCCCTCGTTCGCAAGATCGACTTCAAGATGTGCACGGCTCAACTCAGCATTAACCCGTGGGATCTGCAGCATCGCGCCTCGCACCAGGGCAAGACACCAATCGATACCAAATTCTATGACAGAGCGAAGGCGGACCGGTGGAATGAGCAGGCGGAAGCTAGGGCCAAGATGCGAGTCCAGGCGCGTCGACAAAACCGCGTCATCGACCATCCGAACTACCACAACTTCAACTACAAGGCAGCCGTAACGTTCCTTCGCAGCCAGCCTCGAGGCTCCGTCGTTGTTCGTCCGAGCAGCAAGGGCGACGACCATCTCGCGGTGACGTGGAAAGTGGACGACGATGTATATCAGAACATCGACGTGATGGAGCTCGACAAGGAGAGCGAATACTCGCTCGGCCGGGTTCTGCGGATCGAAGGCATGGGCTCCTACTCGGATCTGGACGAGCTGATCGTCAACCACGTCAAGCCGATGGTGCACATGGTCGAGATGATGATGAACCACGAAAAGTACAAGGGCGCCGACGAGGAAGATCTCCAACGCTACTTGACTAACTGGTCGCTGGCGAATCCGTCGCGATCTGTGTACGCCTTTGGTCTGAACAAGGATCGACCCGGCTACTTCAATCTGTCCTTCAAGGCCAATCGTGATGCGGCGATCCAGACGTGGCCAGTCAAGGTGTTGCCCAATGCATTCAAGCTCGGACCTGCCGACCAGCTTGCCGATGTGGCGGCGCTTTGTAACGCCTTCAAGACGCAGTATACTACGCAAGCGAGTATGGCGCGAGGAGCAAAGACGCCTTACGGAGGGGGACGAACGCCTGCGCCGGGTCTGGGCGGTGCAACACCGATGGGTGCTCGAACACCTTACGGCGGAGTCAGGAACGGCATGGCTGGCGGTGCGACGCCCGGACTGGCTGCTGCTGGAGGGTATGGTACTCCGATGATGAATGTGGCTTCTGCTACACCGAACCCTTACGGGGCGGGTGCGTACGGTCGCCCGGGCCCCGCTGGAGGATACGGAGCGCCTCCTCTCCCAGGTCCTCCGGGTCGTCCACCATCGATGCCCGGCGCGCCTCCAATGATGCCACCTGGAATGGCGAGCGGTGGCGGACCACCGGCGAATTACCCTCCACCTTTCGCTGGCGGTGCTGGCGAGCCTGGCCCCCCGCCTTCGCGTCCACCGGTGCCTCACGGCATGCACCCGGACCGCTTTGCTCAGGCTGAATACGGTGGTCGCAGCAGTCAGCAGTCGTATGGAGGAAGCGGTGGCGGTGGTGGTGGTGGTGGTGGCTACGGCGGGGGTTACCGAGGTTATTAGGACGATGGTGGATGAAACACACACACAAAACTCCATATGGCCGCGGAGGCTCTTCCCCGACATAATCCAGATGTATTGTAATCACTGTCATAACAAAATGGTCATCGCATTGAATCCTTAGACAGCACGGAAGAGCGCAGTCCGTGGTATTCTCCTGAGTGAAGCAACAATCTGATGGACCATATCCTGAGGCGCGAGACTGCATTTCGTCAGGATCATGAGAATGAGAATGAGAATGAGCGGGAGGGAAGGGATGCTCCACATTTTCTGGTGTGATGCGCAGATCGCTGAATGGCCTTCAAGGGTTCACGTGCGCTCTTGGGAAAATCGCGCTTGAGCCATCTTTGCATCCTCCATCGTCGTTTCGACGGCTCTCATCGTTTCGCCTCCAACTCTTTTCCTCCTCTCGCTGATCCTGTTCATACAGCATTCACACTGCGGATGTCGACACCGGGCTCTTCATCCACACGGGCAACTTTTGAATTCGGATCCAATCCATCCAACGATTCCACTCACCGCTTTACGTTCACATCTGATCGTCCAGGCTCTGCCAACATGAGCGGGTACCTCGATGATAACCCGAGCGCTTCTTCATCTAGCAATCGACAACCTGATATGCTAGCGCCAACATCGCTCTTTGCTACGCTAGCACAACGACAGATGGATCAACAGCAACAGCTTTCACAGTCTCAGTACGACGATGATTCAGAATGGACTTCACGATCTCGAAGACATCCTCGAAGGAGCAAACGACATCGTCGTACAAGTCGATACGCCAGCGAAAGCGATACTGAAGACGACGAAGATGTTTCGGGATACACTTCCGACTCTTCGCACGATCGAGCACTTCAACAGGAGTGGGAAGACCAGTTGGATCAGTTGAAGTTGATGTTCCAGATCATCATCTTCCCCTTCGTAGGCAAGTTTTTCGGCAGGAAGTTTGGGTATTTTCGTAAGTACCAGACGATCTCGTGATACAGAAAGAGAGAAGAAGAAGATGCTGACGAGAAGAGTTTGGCTGATGATGTGCGAGCAGTGTTCAACCGGTACAAGGTGCTAGGATCACCTTTCGGGAGTAGGTTCTGGGGTGCAGCCGCGTCTGTGGCCACCAAGTAATGTGCACACACAGCAATACGCAGAACATCACACAGCTGAGACCGTTTTGAAAAGTGCGATTGAAACGAGTGACACTGCTTAGGGAGGTCGACAACATCCCGAGCGGACATTAAGAACGTGTGAGAACTAGCGAAAAGCTCTCTTGAAAGCCTGCGATCCCCCCATCACCATCTCACCACCCGCGGCACATCCCTTGCCCGCCTCGCAATCAATACCAAACTCAACACCACCGCCACCGCACACCCGACACTCGTCACCACAAACACCTGCCTATAACACTCCTCGCCGTCCATACACAAATGGCTGCTCGCCGGATGATCCCCCCCGTTCCCGCCTTTGCCCTTCCTCAACGCCTCCATCACCACCGTCAGCACGCTCGTATCCTGCGGAACATGTCCATCATAAATCCGCCCAAAGAGCAGGTTGAACACGTTCCCGGCTACCACGGGGGACAGGCTGACGAAGCCGTAGTTCTGACTGAAATGCTGCATGCCGAACCACTCGAAGACGAGCGTGGGGCAGACGCCGAACAGCGTCCCGTACGCGAGACCGGTGAGCGCGGATACGGCGAACAGGTCGTCCACCGTAGAGATCAGCCCGGGGGAAGCGGCGACCACCTGACTCGCGAATGCCAGCGTCGTCACCACGATCAACATCCACACCCGGTTGGCAGCAGACCCGGTCTTGTTGACGAGCCAGTCGGACAGAAGTCCGATGATGATTCGCCCGCTAAAGTTGCACAGCGAAATGACCGAGACTTGCTTCGCCTGCAGCTGCTGGACGCTGGATTTGGCACTGAGTTTGAACGATTCGAATGCGGTTGCTGCGACCGTGCCGTTGTTCGCAGGGGATCGGGAGAGGAGATCGCTGTTGTCGGCGGCGACGAGCACAGGGTTGTCTCGGTGATTGTAGTCCCACAGCGTCTTTGTGATGGTTCCGACGTTGTTGATGAGCAGCAGACCGGCGCCGGAGACGAGGGTCATGACGAGGAAGATTAGGTAGAAGTCGACCTGTTCGAACAGCTTTCGGCCGGAGATGTTGATCTGCGAAGGGTCGATGTCGCGTTTCGGGTCGCGTTTCGATTCGTCCCTTCCGGTGAGAAGTCCCTGCGATTCGGGATCCATTTCATCGGCTGCGACAGCTTCCTCGTCGTTCGCATTCGTGCCGTTACTGGAACTTGCAGCGACTGACCGTGGTGCGATGTGTGGCTCGTCAGCTTCGTCATCGTTCGCATCGCCAGACACCACCTGCGGTCGATGCCAGAGGCTTGCTTGAGCACCGATTTCCGAGGATGTTCGGCGGCGCACGTACCCTTCTCCAGTACGGCCCGGATTGCCACGATCGCCGTCCTCCTCGATCGGTGGAATGATCTTGATCAGACCCAATCCGATCAACATGCTCGTCATACTGCCGAACGCCAACAGCAGCAGGTAGTCTCCCGTGTTGCCCGGGAACAACAGATGCGACAGCGTCGAGTAGAAGAACGCACTCAACCCGAACCCTGACAGCACCAACGCGGTGGCCGTCCCCCTCCGACTCCCACCCCACGATTTGGCCTGCGCATTCATCGCCGCCGTGAACCCACCGCTGTTACCCAACCCGGTGAGCAGGTTCAGACAGAACAGCAGCCCCGTCGAGTGCAGCGACCAGTCTCCCGTGTACGACAGCGACAGCCCCGCGTATCCGATGGGAACCAGCACGGCTGCGATGATCAAGGCGGTGTGCGGTCCACGCTTGTCGATGTAGCGTCCCCAGAGCGGAGACGAGAGGTAGACGCCCGCATTGCCAGCGATACCAATGAGGTTGATCTGCGTCGAAGTTAGGTGGAGGGACTCTTGCAGTTGGGGAGCGAAGGAGCTGAAGGCGTAGTTGGAGCCGGCGGAGAGGGCGACGCAGACGGAGCCGGCGAGCGAGATGATCTTGCGGCGTAGGAGACGGGCGCGTTCGTCGGGATGGATGCTGCGTAGGGCGTCGGGATCGGGTCGAGTCGGTATTGATGGTGTGGATGATGAGAGCACCATTGTGAGTGTGAAGTGGCTGGTCTGTGCTAGTGTACGGAGGAATGGTTGAGGTTCGGATGCGCAAATGATAGAAGGCTCTTGTATGGATGTGCTGATCTATAGGCTGTAGGGGAGGTGGAACCTGGTGGTGGCCGCGAGTACGAGTACGAGTATTGCTGTCGTATCCTTCGTTGCTTATTTGACGTTGGATGACAGCAAAGTGTGAGTTGATGTGTGGGTGGATAGAGTATAAGCTATCACTGGACGTGAGATAGGATCTGCGGGATCGGCACACGGCTATCGACCCAAAAGTCGACTTGAAAGCACGCTGCTGCTCATCTCGAAAATACAGTCGTGTGTTCCTTGATGATTTTCCTCCTTTTGTTGGCATTGACGTGCGCCTGTTGCAGACGCCATGCGGGAAGGAACGTGCATGGGCGCACGTCAAATTGAAGTACACTTGAACCGACTTTTCGTCACGCGCTCGAATAAACCACATGTCGACACATATCCCATTCTGGAGTGACCATACACAGTCGCATCACCGAGTGCTCAGCAATGACTTCCGCTCCTACGCTCCGAGCAGTTGGATGTGGATCTCTTGATACGCTTCTTCCTGCTTCACCTTGATCCTACCTCTGCTCGCTAGCGCCAATGTGTGATAGAACGCCTGCGCTGCCACCGCCGGCGTGCTGCTAGCAACCGGAGCCAGATCGCTAAAGAACAAGAAATTCGGATCTTCCAGCTGCGCTCGGATCGATCGAGCATACTCTCGGAAGTTGCGTGTCTCTTCCTCAATGTCTTTTTGGAAGATTTGACTGGGCGGAGTGGGAGATCGCTCTCCGATGCCGGTCGCGGCTGTGGCTGCGGTGGGCAGTCCGAGCCTGAATCGCTCGACGGACGGTGTGCCGGGGAGGGAAGGGGGTGGAAAGTCGAAGATTTCGAGAGGCGCAACGGAGGAGGGTGACCCGGGTGGGAAGACAGGGGATTCGTGTGGTGGAAGGCGACAGAGTCCGGTGGGTGTTTCCACCGATACTTCGCGAAGGCGCAGAGGTGTCGCTTCGCGTTCGATGGTCGGAGGTCGATCATACGATACGGACGGCATCATCGAGGATCGTCGACGATGCTCCATGAACACGTTCCATGGAAGAGATTCGCGGGCGCCCCGAAGTGCAGCTGGGATTTCGGGTCCGGCCGCCGCTGCTCGTGCCACGCCAACTTCGGCTGCTTCCTCTTCGTCCAGCTCCATCGGCGTCGGAGGCGGATTTGCGGGTGGCAGATCGTCAGCAGGCGCAAGCGTAGCTTCAGCCCGCATCTCGAGGAATCTCGCTCGGCGCGAAACGAGGTGCTCCCCCACGGTCGTTTGCCACATCTCGGCTAGCATCGGATCGAGCGACATGTCTTCGGGTGGACCGAACATTGCTTGTCTGACTGTAGCGTCTGCTGCTCTGTTTCGTGCTCCAGCCTCCCGAAGGGCTCTTGCCATGGCCATGCGTTGTGGATAGTTGCTGCGAGCAGCACGCATCTCGTCGTCGCTCAAGATCGTCGTTTGATCGTCGAAAAGCTGCGCGGGTCGAGGACGTCGAGGTGCAAGTCCAAGAGACGCCTCGAGCTCGGCTGCTTCCTCTTCGTCTCTACGTCGACGAGATGGAGTGACGGTGGGAACACCGTCGATGATAGGACCGATGTCCATGCGTGCTGCTTCTTCGGTGAGCCTCTCTTCCAATTCTGGCCACTCCAACATGGGCCCGATGCTAGCCGTTGTCTCGTAGCCCACGTATCGACGTTGAATTCCCTCTGGAGCGCCAGGGATCATCACTTCCGGCCTCATCGCAGGCATCTCTGCACCCTCCAAGCCCAGATCCAGTCCTTCTGCATCATCCTCGTCGAATCCGCTGTCGCCGAGCACCGGTCCGAAGTCATTTTCGTCGCCGAAACCTCTCGGTAGACCCAGTTCGTCCTCCTCAAACCCTCTCCCTGCCAACGTAATCCTCTCTTCCTCCTCCGCAAACGAGACCGGAGTCTGCGCTCTAAAGCCATCCTCCGAGTCCACCTCTTCTTCCCTCGCCCTCCTCTCCATCGGCTCTACGCTCCACCGATACATCATGCCCATCGCAACCGCATCAAAATCCAAAGTGAAAAACGCCAGATCCAACTCCATCGTAATCTTGTCCCTCCCCACCATCCCTTTCTTCATATCGATATCCCTCACCTCCATCCTCTCTCCCATCACCATCGTCCTCCTGACATCATTGTGCACATTACTGACGTCGTTGTACAGCAACTGGGTTCGATGCAGGAACAACTTGACCACCCCGTACATCAACTGACTAGACAGTCGAAGGGATAGAGGCTCGGTAGGTCGACGAACATACTCGCACGCACCGGCGATGTTGACGGTGAGAATGTCCTTTCGCGTCAAACGACGAACGATGCTTCGATCTCCTAGCGTCGCTGCTAGCCAGACGATTCCGAGCCCCGTCTTGCGCCGTGAGAGTATATCGTGGTTGTAAAACATCGAGAAGAGCAGAAGAAGGGAAAGCGACGAACAATGGAATGAATGACCATTTCATTCAGGACTCGTCTCCTTATATACAGTCGTTGGTTTGAAAAGACAACTTTGGAGCGAGCGACAGAGACTGACGAGATGGGTGCGAAACAGAATGCGAATGCTAAGATGCTATTGAAAATGTGAGCTACAGGCCCCCATTCGACGAAAGGAGGGCAGGGTATAGTCGTTCTAGAGCCTTTGCCATGGCTCTGAGACGAAGGGGAAGCCAAGTCAGACAACGAGAAGGAACGTCGAGTATGGGCCAGAGCGACATGAGCAGCTGTATGCGTGATTGCGTGGAACTCGCGGCCTTGGATCTTTAAGATCCACCGATGAGCTGAGACGTCAACTCTAATGCTAAACCTGAGGCTCAGGGCGCCTTCGATGAGCAGGAATTGCCAAATGATGAGCCGTCTGACAGGCCTGGGCTCTAGTAAGGTCGAAGTTGAGCCGCAGGGAATTGCGCGGTCCAGATCGTAGGCGTCTCTGCACCGCTAGCATCCAACGCGTCAAAGTCGCCAAGCGATTGCATCCCCATCGCCTTGTGCAGCTGCCTTCGCTGCAGCAGATTGTCGATGCTCGTCTCGGCATCCTCCGAGACTGCACCTCGTGCGTGGTGCATTGCCGCCCAGTCCTCGTATGCTTCGTCCACTTCAGATTCGTCGCAGGTGTGTATCGATCCAGGATGCAAGGATGTGGAAGCGGTAACGGCAGGAAGGAAGTCTCCGTGTTGCTCGTCCGGGACTGTATCGGCTAGGAAGGGCGCAAAGCGTGGAGGTTGTTCGTGAAGTACCGATACGGCCTGGCTCACCTCGCCGCTCGAGGTGTTGGTGCTGCGTGGACGACGAGCGTCGCCGTCGAAATGATGCAAGGCACGAATGCCGCCATGCTGTGCGGGAACGGGAGCTTTTTCGCTCGACAAGGTGTGCTCTTGTTGCTGACTGAAGCGGGAAGACCAGAAGTGTGCCTCGTCTTCCTTCTCGCCGTTGGCAGTTCGGATGTAGGTGCGGATGAGACAGCCGAGAACGACCAAGCTGACAAAGACGATGGCCCTGGCTGTCTCTGAGCTTGTCATTGTTGCGGTTGAGCTTGATGTTGAAAGTCGACTTGATGTTCGGGATATCGACGGCTTGATTGTTTGCCCTACTTGTTCCAGCAACAAGGGTGATGATGAACGAGAGGAAGTCAGGGCAAGGTTTGGGTTGCCAACGTCGAGGTTAAAAGCGTTCAGCTGGCCAGTGCGAAGCTTGATGCACACTTGCAGCTGCAAAGGCCTAGGCTAGAGGAGGTCAAGGATGTCCGCGAGTCGGATGAGCGGATTGACAGATGTGGGCCGAGGCGCGTTGTTGAAAGTCAACAACGCCCACCCACGTCAATGCTGCGTCGTAAGCCTACTGCTTGTGGTGGGCACTGGATGCCGAGAGTAGGTCTGTTATGGTGGGCAGGAGGAAGGAAGGCATGGCCGTGGATGCGGAGATGAACAGGGGTAGAGTATCGCTGGCAGGCTGTCCAGTGCTGAGCAACCAGTCACAGCAAGAGGATGTTTCAAACGGGACCAGCTTCCGAAGAAGAGGCAGGGAAAAGTTAAGCAGCGAAAAACACGGGCTCGGCAGCGTGAAAAATGTCAAATGGCGTCAACGGGAAGTGAGCATGCGTTGACAGGGTCCCGCTCTCGCATCGGCAAGCGACATCGCAGCAGGCTGCTCTCGAGTGGTCACACAACCTTCGCTGCAGATCTGGAGTCGATGTTGCTTTCGAATGCAGACCTCACATGACCTGCCTCTCGAGCTTTCGACCGTTCGATCGTTCGGATGCGGGCGGATCGTGGGCGGAAGCAGTTCCGAGGAGCCACGATCTGCGAACTGCGATGGCCGCAGAAGATGATGCATCCATCCATGGATCCGTTGGCTGAACACTGCAGGTCAGTTAGCCTTGCGATTCGGAGGTGGTTGAATCGCCAGCACGAAACAAGAGAAAAGAAGCGGGAAAATGCCGTCGCGAGATTTGAGAAGCAGGGCCAAAATCTAAGCGAGATGCCATGACAGGCTGAGTGCAGTGGTGCAGAAGAAGCGATGGATTCGAAAAGAGGCTGGAAAAATCGCTGTGGCTTTTGGCCGGTATGCACGCCGAAGAGCATGGAGCTCCTAACTCTTCTCGGCTCGACCTGCCATCTCATCATGAAAAGCAGTCAGCTCCGTATGTATTTTGGGTACAGTGAGCTGTACTGAAGTCGGCTGAGCCGCCAAGACTTTATCAGGTCCAATACAACGACAATGACGAGCTGGGCTCGGTCTCGAACCTTTTCTTTTCTTGCGATTGAGCCCACGCTCGGACAGCAACTGGAAAGAATAAGAGGCTGAGCCACTTCGAACAGCCATGGCGTGCATCGCTCCATCCGTCAGTTGTCGAGACACACGGACCAGGACGGCATACACACGCTCATGCATCTTCAATCATTTCTACGAGTTGCAGCTGCGACGGACAGGGGCTCGGGCCGCTAAGCTCGACGAGCGGAGTTGATCAGGCGCTCTCCAAATCAGAGCTTTGTCTCTGCAACCGAAAAGTGAGAAAATGCGGGGTGGACTTTTTGTAGCCGTATCGTTGTGAGATCGTGGCATATGGCTTCACCGTCACGGCCGACAGGTTCGCGCCGACTTCGGCAGGAAAGAGAAAAAAAAGAGGTGCGCCGGGTCCATGTCAGCCGACACTACTCAAATTTGACCCTGAATACAGGATTCACCAACATCCGCTATCACCATCATCATCACCCGCAACCTTCTCGCTTGACGCATCTGCCGTTCGTACGGTTCCATGGTGCTGATTGCTCGCCTTTCTTCGTCGTCTTCTTCTTTCGTGTCCGCTGCTCGTTCCGTCCGCTCGTTCGCTCCAACGCTCCGTTCCATTTTCGCGGTTCCTTATCTTGCCCATTCGACCCGTCCTCTAGGATCACTCGCGACCACGTGCATCTCAAAGTCCGCGCCTCAATCTCGACCATTCCCTAGGAATCATCGCTTTGCATCCTTCGCTACCATGACTTGGACCCCGCCGAACCCCGCATCCGTCGGTGCTCCCGCCTTGCGTGTGCCAGAGGATATCCACACCCACGCAAAGCCAGCCGAATACAAGCCGGTCCACTTGCATCTCGACTGGAACATCGACTGGGATGCCCGTACCATCTCCGGTCGCGTGTCCCACATCATCGAGCTCATCAAACCCGGACTCACTTCCATCATTCTCGATGCGAGCTACCTCAAGATCCATTCCGTACACGTCGAGGGAAACAGCGTCGACTACAGCCTCGGCACGCAGCACGGCACCCTCGGCGCCCCTCTGGAAATTCCGATCCCTTCCTCCATCAGCAACAAGGGCGACAAAGTCCACATCGACATCGAATACACCACCACCGAGCGCTGCACCGCTTTGGGCTGGCTCACACGCGAGCAGACCGCTGGCAAAACCAACCCTTTCCTCTACTCGCAATGCCAGGCCATTCACTGCCGTTCGCTTGTCCCTTGCATCGACTCCCCCTCCCACAAAATCACCTACACAGCCACCGTCAACTCGCGCATTCCCGTCCTCATGTCTGCACTCAAGGACGATGACAAGCCGGACTCACCAGGTACCTACCACTTCAAGCAACCTGTCGGCATCCCTTCCTACCTCATCGCCATCGTCGGAGGCGATCTCGAGTTCCGCAAGCTCGGCGAGCGCACCGGTATCTGGGCCGAGCCACCCAACGCCGATGCCGTCCAGTGGGAATTTGAGGCCGATGCAGAGCGCTTCCTTGAGCACGCAGAAAAGGTCATCTCACCCTACTCATGGACACGCTACGACTCGGTCGTGCTTCCCCCTTCCTTCCCCTACGGAGGTATGGAGAACGCAAATTTGACCACGCTGACCCCTTCGCTCGTTTGCGGCGACCGAAGCTTGACCGACGTCTTGCTTCACGAGCTGTGCCACTCCTGGTCTGGCAACCTCACCTCGTGCGCCAACTGGACCCACTTCTGGCTCAACGAGGGCTGGACAGTCTACCTCGAGCGTCTCCTGCTTCAGGATGTTCACGGTCCCAAGGATGGTCCTGCTCATCGTGGTTTCTCTTACATCATTGGCTCCAAGGCCCTCAAGGATGCCCTTGTGCAGTTCACGGATACTCCTCGCTTCCAGCGTCTCATCCCCGCCTTCAAGGGCGGAGAAGACCCTGACGATGCGTTCAGCTCCATTCCCTACGAGAAGGGCTCCAACTTCCTCCTCTACCTCGAGCGCACCGTCGGCGGCCTCGACAACTTCCTCCCTTACGCCAAGAGCTACTTCCATGCCTTCTACAACCGGTCCGTCACCACGCAAGAGTGGCGCGAGCACCTCTTCAAGTTCTTCGAGACCAACGCAGAGGCCACCGCTGCACTTCACAAGGTCGACTGGGATGCCTGGTTCCACGGCGAAGGCCTCGAGCTACCGGTCGAGATGGAATATGACACCACGTTGGCCGAACAGGCTTTCTCGCTCGCTGGCCGCTGGATCCAGGTGATCGACGGTCACACGACGCTCGAGAGCGCCAAGTTTGGTCCCACCGATATCAAGGGCTGGAACGCTAACCAGGTGGTCGTCTTCCTCGAGCGCCTTCACTCTGGCCCCAAGGTTCCGCTGGCCATCACGCAGAAGCTGGACGAGGTTTACGAGTTCAGCAAGGCGAGCAACGGTGAAGTGCTGCTCCGCTTCTTCGAGGTCGCGCTCGAGGTCAAGGGCGGCAAATACGCGCAGCAGGCCGCTGAGTGGGTCAAGGGTCAGGGCAGGATGAAGTTCTGTAGGACCGTCTACCGAGCTTTGAACAAGGTCGAGCCCGAGCTGGCGAAGAAGACGTTCCTCGACAACAAAAGTTTCTACCATCCCATTGCCGCGGCACAGATCGAAAAGGTAAGTCACAAACCCCCACATCCCGTTCATTCTTTCCTTTTTCCTCGACTAGGGGAGACGAGATGGCGAGCGTTTCGTTGCCAGAAAAGTTGGCACAGATGCAACCGCACGGCGTCGTCTCGGACATTGATGCGAATGGTGATGCTGACACGCATCGACAACATTGTTCGCTTCGTCGATCGCTCGTTTTGTCTCTGCCTTCTCTCTTTTTCTACCAGGATCTTGGGCTTTAGATGTTGGCATGCATTTGTGGCAATGTTTCTCACTCAATCTCGATTTCTTTCATCCTCTATCTGTCTTTCATTGTGTGGCATTTGCTTCCTATCGTCTGTCTGCGCAGGATCTTGCGTTGACCGATTCCAAATCTTTGGCACCCGCACCCGGGGTGATCACCATCTTTGGCAGCACGGGAACGGGCAAGACCAAGCTTTCGGTTGAACTGTCGCTCGCCATCGCGTCGGATCCGGCCCGATTCGGCGATTGCAAGGGAGCAGAAGTTATCTCTTGTGATAGCATGCAGATCTACCGTGGACTGGATATCATTACGAACAAGGCGACGGTGGAGGAGATGAAGGGGGTTCGGCATCATTTGATCGGATTTGTCGATCCGCAGAAGGAACCGGAGGGGGGCAGTTATGATGTGACGAGGTTTGTGAGTGATACGAATGCGATCGTGGAGGAGTTGAGCGGCAGGGGAAAGGTGGGCGTTGTGTGTGGGGGGACGAGTTATTATTTGCAGCATTTGATGTTTCCGGGAAGACTGATTGCGGGCAAGGCGGAGGTTGAGGGTGAGGTGGATTTGACGGAGGATCTGGCGTATCAGGGATTGGACGAGGAACAGAAGGATCTGTTGGATCAGGTCGAGGCGCGGAACAGTGGCAAACTTGATTTGGCAGCTAGGGCAGCGGTGGATCCGACGTTGTCGACGAAACTCTGGCAAATCCTCGACCGGCTGGATCCGAGCATGGCGGCTAGATGGCATCATCGTGATGCACGAAAGATTGCCAATTCGCTACGAGTCTACAAGGAGACTGGTCGACCACACTCCTACTGGATTGCTCAACAAGATTCCCGTTCATCCTCCTCCACCGCCGCTACTTCTTCTGCACCTATCGAAGCAACCGGAGTCAGCACCCAACGCAAGCTCCTCTTCTGGCTATGGTGTGATCCGCCCACCCTCCGTCAACGCCTTGACTCACGGGTGGACGACATGGTCCGCCGCGGTCTCGAATCCGAGGTCGTCGAAATGCGATCCATCGCACGCAACATACTCAACGATGTGGTCAACTATCAATCTGGCATCTTCCAGACCATAGGATATCGACAATTTGCCGACTACATTGATCGACTCTCCTCGCTCACTTCCTCCTCTTGTCGACAAAAGGCATTCGATAAAGCTGTGGAAGATACCAAGACGTCGACTCGGCAGTATGCGAAGTCCCAGATGAAGTGGGTGCAGAACAAGCTGATCCCTGAAGTGCGGCGCGCACAAGCTGCTGTTGGGGAAGGCGGCGAGGTGGAACTGTATCTCTTGGATGCGACGGATGTTGACCAGTGGGACGGAAAGGTTCTCGCTCCAGCATTGGATATTGCAAGTCGCTTCTTGACGGGAAAGGACCTGCCGAATCCGGAAACGATCTCGAATCCGGTTGCTGCGAAAGAGTATCTCTTCGGAGGAAGAAGCGCCAACCAAGCACTGACGAAACTCGGTCCAGCAAACCCGGACAAGGGCGAAGGTGAACGGACGATCGAAGCCAACAAGCTCTACACTTGTCAGGTGTGTACGTTCGACCCTTCCCACCCTGTCCGCGTCAGAGAAGTCGATCAAGAAACCCACACAAAGGGTCGACACCATCGAAACAACGTCAAGCGCAGGACATCAAACGCAGACAAGGAAGCAGCCATTAGGGAAAAGATTGAAAAGGGAGAACGAGTCAGAGCCGCAAGACTGGCGTTGAAGGAAGAAGAGGCTGCGAAAAAGGCGCTGTCAAAGCAGGCGAACAATGAACAGCGGCAGGAAGAGGAAGAGGTGTGACACACATACTTTCAGATATGTTTAATCAATATACCCCCGGGGCGAACGAGCGGAATCAATTTTGTTTGTGACGTGACAACTGTGACATACGACTGCATTCTACCTGCGAGAGTCGGTGATCCATTCGAGGCTGCAAATCTACAAAGCTTGTGTAGCGTCGATCTCGATAGCTGGCACGATGGAGGCCATAAACTTGAGGAAGATGATCATGTACTGGTCTACTCTCAGACCTTCGACCTCTTCTTCCCCCTCACCGGTTGCTGCTTCGCCACTTGCTCCGGCACCTGCGTCCTTCGCCTCTATCGCGGTGGTCGCGCTTGCATCCCCCGCTCCACCGGTGACCCTCTTGACAGCACTCGAAACACTCCAACCTTTCTTGGACTTCTTCTTCTCCCCCGTGCCACCCGCGGAACCCGATGCAGCAGCTGCTTTCCGCTGCTCTTCGATCACCGACGCGTTCATACGCTCGATGACCTTCTTCATCACGCTGGCGTGTTTGCACGGATGGATGCTGGCGGTCGCCACACCAACAGCCGATGCGGAAGATGTTGCCGAGCTGTCCGGCCCCGCATGACCGTGCGGGAAGGGTTCGATGGTGACCGTCTTTTGCGCATAGTCGGACGAGACGTCTTCGAAGATCTGAGCTGGTTTGAGCGGTACACCGTGCTCGTCGTAGCCTACGAGCCACATTCGGGGTGTCTGGTAGTATTTGTCGTAGGTTATGATGCAGTCATACTTGCGGACGGAGAGCAATTTGCCGTTGTCACCAGCCGAAGCAGAGCCGGATGCAGAGCTGTTGAACTTTAGTGGAGCAGCTGTAGCTGGGTCGTCCTCTTCTTCGATGCCGCCTGCGAGATCGTCGGTCTCGTCATCCATATCGGGGATATCTGGCATGTCTGGAATGTCACCGATATCGCCTGCCGAAGCGGAAGGCTGGATCGGATTGTTCTGGTGCCCAATGCTGACGCCAGCTACACGAGCGGCGAGATCGTCCTGCTGCACGTCAGTGAGCTGATGTTCGGGTGCAGACTGATCTTCGCCAATGTCTGGGATGTCGATCATATCCGCTGCTCGGCTGCTACTCCCTGTCTGCTGGTCGTCAAAGTGGGTAGCGACCCACTGATCGTCTTCGGATGCATCTGCACCGCTGTCCTCGCCGAAGCTCATGAGCTTCTCATCGTCGTCCTTGACTCCGACCCCGACGCCCTTTTCTATCTGACTGACACGTCGCAGCGATGGTACTCCGCATGAGATCAAGAACTGCTTGTCCTTGGGAAGGTAGTCGCGCGCCTTGGAGGAGCTGCCTGCACACCATTGCCAGGTGGGGAATTTGTAGGATAGGAAGTCACCGGCAGCTACGAATTCGTCTGTGTGTGCAAAAGGGATTCGAGAAACTCAGAGGTCAGCACCGTTGCAGATCTACTCGCTGATGCCATGGGCGAGAAGGTCGCTGCTCACCAGGAGTGATCCTTCCGTGCTCCTTGAACTTCGACTCTCGCAGGACTGGCGAGAGGTATTCCCTGACAGCCCAGAAATGGGTTTGAAGTGCGTTCATGTTGCCTGGTCGTACTGACCCCTCCGATGCCTTTGAACAAATTGAGAATGAAGAAGCGAGTATCGAGGATCAATGCGAAATCGTGGGGGACAAAGCGACAACGGGCGAGCGAGGCGCTGCGTGTACCACGGCTGAGTTTCGTAACGGCATGAGATGGTCCGTGTTCTACTCTTGACTTTCCGACAAGACCCTTGGCAGAGCACGCTCGGGTAGCATAATCTAACAAATCCATTCGGGTCTGGCCGAAAGCGAGTTTTATCGAAACCTAGCCCAGCTGGGTAAGTAAAAGCGTGGGCCGACGACCTAACAAGAGCTGTGTCGGCTACAGTCGAACATGAAACGCTGAAGTGTTACTCGGCAAGGTGAGAGTCCATTCGCTTCGCAGCAGCGAACACCACCCAACACGATACTTCGAGAAGTTTCATCAACTCTCTGCTACCAGCTCAAGCCGAGATCAGACTTGTGGCTTTCGAGAGCTGGCTGCTTGCGAGCGTAGGAGAGCAGGCCTGTTCCAGTCGACATGTGGCGCTTGCATCTGGACTGACCCGAACAACGGCGATGCCGTTCCCGGTCATCCATCTGCGCCACCACGAGCCACTCCGACCGGCCCACAATGTGGCCGAGCAAGTGTGGCGGCGGGTCCTCACACACGCTACCAGCTGTTACCCCGCCACTCTTGTGCACGGTTGACCGATCTGCGATCTTAGGTTGGCCGTTTCGGTGTTTGCAGATAGTGGGCCTAGATTGCTCTTCCAAGACTGCTCCGGCAGCATTGTCCTTCGGACACTGAAATGCGGGACAGGCTTGGGAACGTGCGGCAAAGAGACGAGGATCTAGAACTTCACGCTCTTCCGGCAGGATTCATTGAAACACAGCGGCAAAGAGTGTGAGATCGGCAATTGTGAAGCCTGAGGCAGTGGCAGTGAAAGGTCGTTGGTGTGGGAGGTCGACGTGGGCTTCTCTTGCGCGGGCACGGCTGCATGGGTGGGATTCGGCAGCTTAGCCGACGCGCCGATCTGCACGTCCAACTTTCCGAGCGACGCAAGCAGACTCCACGATCGAAGAGTGCATCGCAACGTGCGCGTATGTCCGCGTTGCGAAATTAGGTGTGGCTCGCTTCGCATTGAAGCCATTTGCTCCGCCTCATGAGAGCACAAGCCGCTCATGCCAAATTAGCCACAGGTCGGAATGCAGACGCCGGCAGCAGGAACAAACAGAGGTCGGCTCGCCATAGCCTGTCGGTCTCGGCGATACATTTGCCCAATTGCCAAGCGAGCCTCCAGTTCAAGCCGCTGACCGCTGTTTCGGGTCCTGGCTTGACTTCCGGCAGACAAATTTTGGTCCGGCGTGCATTCGCATAGCCGTGGTGGATGAGATAGATCAACCCCAGGAGCAAGTGTTTTCGGGCTGCGATTCCAGCTTAAGAGCTCGAAGATCTTCGGCGCGACTGCCTGATCGAGGCGGTCAAGCTGCCGACGAGTTCAATCGAGCACACAACGATGGATGATCACGTTCTTTGTGTAACACTGTGGGCGGCTAAATTATTCGAACTGCAGTGGGCTGTGTCGAGTCTATCGAAGCAAAGGCCGATGCGAAGCACTTCGTCCGGAACTCGGCGCCGAACGTTCCTTATGCCCAGGCGAAGGTCGGCATCTGCCGTCGTTGGCGGTATCAGGGACGGGCCAGAGGCCGACAACCAGAGCAACTTGGCTCTAAGCATACATCGGTGATAGCCGGTCAACTTACCAAAGAGTAGGCGTACATTGCAACCGTGCCAGATGGCGCTGCAACAGCTCCACGTACGCTGCACGGTTTCATGCTGTGTCACCCTGAACTCCGTAACTTTGAGACTGCAAAGCTCGAACCCTTTCATGTGATCAGCCTTTATGTAAAGCTTACCGAACGCATCATCATTCACGTGAGCGGGCCTTTCCATCACCATCGCCTTGGGGTCGCGTCCGCGTGTGGCCACTTGTCGAGAGAATCTCGTGTGTGGGGCCAGAGGACAGTACAGAATGGAAGGAGAACCGCTTCGATCTGGACGGAAGGTATCAAAGTATAGCCGAGCTGAGCGGCAAAGGTGAGGATTCAGTCGCAGGCCAAGCACCGCAATGGCGCAGGTGGAACAGGAAATAGCTTGGCTTGTCTTGGTTCAGCCAACCTCTCTCTCCGAAAAAAATAGAATGCCAACAGATGCATCGTGCCTTGCCTTGCGCAATTTCACATTTTCCCAGATAGTTATTCGAGCTCTCCCCTGACGCTCGGCACAGCAATTCTTCTTTTCTTTTTTTATTTGTCAGTAATATAGGTCAAGGAAATGTGGCAGTCTCCAAGGCTCGATCTGCGTGGATGCCAACTATTTCGAGTGCCGCGCCGCCATCCATCCTTGCACGCCGTATCGCGCCTCCTTCCGCACGCTGTTTCACATCCTGGAAGACGCTTCCGCGGCGTTTGGAGCTGCAGATTATGCACTGTGCTGCTGCATCTCACCCTGAAGGAGAAGACATTCGCCCCCAATCGCTGGGTCACATTGCTGAAACCAGGTCGTATTGCATCGCACGCCTTCCGGATGGATGCCAGTCGCCTCCATCCTCCATTGCCGCAAAGCGAGATGCGATGGGCGATGGGCGATGCAAGTCGCAAACTATGAGAGTCCGGGTGAACCTTTCGTCTTGTACCCTGCTGTACCGCAAAATTGTGGTTGCCCTGTCCTCGGCTGCCCCTCATCTCTACATCGGCTGTGTTTTGGTGATTGCCTCCCACACGAGGGGACGCTGCCACACTCTGCCCTGGCCTTATTACTTTCGGCCTGCCGTATGGCGAACTTCCTTTACTACCATACCATCCACCATACTTTCTACCCTTACCGTCGACAGCAGCGCCTTGTCAGCAGCCTCCTTGGCTCTCTTTTCTTCTGCCAAGAGTCGATCCTAGAACAGCTCAATTCAGCTGAGGATTCGCCACCTCGACTTCATATTGAATCCTTCCAGAGTTCGATATTTCCCTGCCCATCACCTCTCTCTCAACCTTCAGCTCCACTTTCTAACTCTCATATTGACACGATGTTGCACCAACGCAGCACATCCAGCACGTTCGTCGGGCCTATGGGGGGTACAAGGCCGACCGTCCATTCCGAGCACCCGCCGTCTGTCCCTCGCTTCGCTCAGCACAACCCTTACGACGGCGGTGCTGCAGATTCTTTCTCAACAGCACGGACACCTGCCTCGTTTACCCGCAGCGCCTCTTCACGCAACACCAACAACCTCATACCCGCAAAGCGACCCTCGTCAGGACACTCGTCGCGCCAGTCTTCTTCCGATTCGATTGAATCGGTGACGACTGCCTCTTCGTTCACTCGTGCTTCTCCATCGAGCTCCGACTTTGGCAGTGGCGAAGAGGATGATCTGATCCAAGTTGTGTACACTTCATCTGCGCGATCGCGTCTCATGTCCATCGACGAGGTCAAGTCGATCCTGCGTGCTTCTCGCGCCAACAACACCGCGAAGGGCATCACCGGCCTCTTGCTCTACCGCGACGGCTCGTTCGCCCAGTTCCTCGAGGGACCAGCGCATGCGGTCGACTCGCTCTACGACACGATCGAGCGCGACCAACGTCACCACGGTGTCATTCGTGTACTCCGACAGTCTGTCACCAAACGTGACTTTCGTCAGTGGAGCATGGCGTTCCGCGATCTCGACATGCTCAAAAGGCGATCCCCTTCGTCCTTCAAGTTCGACGAGGATGATGGCGAATTGGCACCCGAAGAGGCTGTCAATGAAGGCTTTAGCCAGCTCATGAACGTCGGTCTTCGAGCGGGCGATGCCTCCGACAACGAGTACCGTCCCGATGCTATGGGGAATGCCAAGCTCGATCTGCCAGCGGATATGTCTGCGAGCATGCGAAGGCTCGTCACCACGTTCTACCGTCTGATGGACAGACCTCTTTAGCTTTTCTTTGTAATAATTAGTATTTTGGGCCGCTACGTTTGGTTTTTCTTTTGGTATACCCTGCGTTGGCTGCGCCACACCTGCCGCCATCTCAAGTCTCTCCTGTTGCAAATCTGCTTGTCCTTGTCTCATCGGGTAATTCGATTGTCTTTCGTACTTCTCTCTCTCTCTATCTCCCTCCCCGGTTTCAGCGTTGCGAACATACACGGGCAATACAGTCACGATTCTTCTCTATTCTCGCTTCGAAAGCTGAATCTCTCCTGACTATGGCTGTTGTACGAAGGTGAGGTGTCGATCCGCAATTTGCCCATCGAAGTAGCGATATGCGTCTACGAACCAGACACCGCACAGTGAAAGCGGAACAAGGCCAAGACTGCAGCCTTCCGTATACGACGCATTCGAAGTGTGGCGCAGGCGGAGTTTATGAAAGCTCAGATCGAACCCTGACTTTCCCTTCGCAGCCCAAAAAAAACGATCCCTGTTAATTCATAGACGTGCAGCCCCGCCCTCGGAAGCCGGACTTGAACATTTTTCGAGTTGAACCCTTGCGAAAAAAATTAGGAGAGAATCCAGATTGCTTGTTCAAGCTTTCTTCTCGCAAGTGCCACCTGAGCATCTTCAACACCACAGCCTTCAGCATCCGTCAACATGGCAAAAGGCAGCAAAGGCTCCAGCGGTCGTACCCCGCAGACCTTCGCAGATGCACCGGTCACGACCGACCCGCGTTTCGCAAAGGTTCACACCGATCCTCGATTCTTGAAGCCCAAACGAGATGATACCAAAGTCGTCGTAGATGATCGTTTCAAAGGTCTCTTCGAAGATGACAAGAGTAAGAAGAAGAAGAGTGACAAGTACGGAAGGAAGGTAGGAAAAGGACAGAGTGATGCAGAGCAGATGAAGCGGTTCTATCGGTTGGAGGATGGCGATTTGGATCCGAGCAAGGAGGGCGACGAAGCAGAGGAGGAAAGCGATGAGGAGGATCAAGATGCTGCGCCGGTAGATTACGCCCGTGGTGAGGGCAACTTGGACAGCAGCTCTGATGAGGAATCTTCGGAAGAGGAAGACAACGATGATGACAGCGAGGATGACAGCGAGGACGACGATAGCGAGGACGACGATGTTATGATCGGACCCTCGAGCGTCCTCGATCGAGAAAGGAGGAAGAAGGCTGCTCGCGCTACCCGCTTTGACGAGGACGAGGAAGACGACGACGGCCTCGGATCCGACATTGGCGAAATCGACCTGGACGAAGACGTCGATGAAGCCGTCTACGCCCAACTCGATGCACAAGCCGAACGTGCCATTGCCGAAGGTGGCATCGAAGGCGACGAGTCCGACTCTGATGCAGAAGCCTCTTCGTCGCGCAAGAAGAGCAAAGGCAAGGAGAGAACGCGCAAGACCAAGTCGAGCAAAAACAAGGTTCCACGCGGAGACGACACATGCCGCCTTGCCGCCGTCAACCTGGATTGGGATCACGTTCGAGCCAAGGACATCTACAAGGTATTCAGTAGTATCGTCTCACCCCTCGCATCCGTCTCTGCCGCAGACGCACTTCAAGCACACCGTCGAGCTGCCGCCGCTGAAGGCTCCTCTTCGTCCTCTAGCCGAGCCCGCGCCGCTCCTGCCATCTCACAAGTCCGAGGCAAACTGCTCCACGTTCGCGTCTACCCCAGTGACTTTGGTAAAGAGCGAATGGCCAAAGAAGACCTCGAAGGTCCTCCACCCGAGATCTTCAAAGGGTCCAAACGACGCGACGGAGACGATTCCTCATCTGAAGACGAAGAGATCACCGCCAAGACGATCGTCCAAGTCGATGAGGGTGGCGAGTTCGACGAAGAAGCGCTTCGAAGGTACCAGCTCGACCGTCTGCGCTACTACTATGCAGTTGCTACCTTTGACAGCAAAGAAACTGCGCGTCACGTGTACAACGAGATCGACGGTACAGAGATGGAGCGCACCGCCAACGTGTTCGACCTGCGCTTTGTTCCGGACGGCATGGACTTCCCCGACGGGGAGGATGGCAGGGATGCCGAGTTCAGAGATGAAGCGACCGAAGACGCGGCCAACTACAAAGGTGTCGACTTCAAGACTGACGCATTGCGACACTCGCGTGTCAAGCTCACGTGGGATCAGGACGACCCTGAGCGATCCAAGCTGACCCGTATGGTCGCTCGCGGTGGGTTGAGCAAAGAACAGCTGCGAGATGACGATTTCAAGGCGTACCTGGCGTCTGATACCGAGTCCGAACCTGACGAGGATCAAGTTGCGGCCAAGAAGGGAAGGGATCGTCTGCGTGCACTGCTCAACGTGGATGGAGGCGAGGATGCGGTAGGTTTTGGAAGGAAGGGCAAGCGAAACGGCGGAGTCTTTGATGACCCAAGACGGGATGAGGAGGAGCAGGGCGAGATGCAGATTACTTTCATGCCAGGCTTGTCCGAAGCCGCCGCTAGGAAGGCAGCCAACAGCAACAAGAAGGCGGGCGACGAGGACGAGACGACACTGGAGAAGTACCTGCGCAAGCAGAAAGAGAAGAAGGAACGCAAGAAATCTCAGCGTACCGACGAGGACGGCGGACAGGCCGACAACAAGGACGATAACGCCGTCAACGGTGCCATCGACAGCAACGATGCTGGCTTCGATGATCCGTTCTTCAACAACGATGACATGGACATGGAAGCTGCTCTCGCCGCCGAATTCGGCGAAGGTGTCCCTTCCAACAACACCAAATCATCAAGCAAGAAGTCCAAGAAAGTCACTCGCGACCTCGACAGTCCAATCGATCCAACCGAACTCGCCCGTAGCCGAGCCGAACTCACGACCATCATCGGCGACACCAACGACGAAGTCACCGCCGACGGTCGTCAGCACTTTGACATGAAAGACATCCTGCGCTCCGAAAGCGGCAAAGACGCCAAACGAGCCAAGCTGCTCAAGCGACTGTCCAAGAAGAAGCAACGCGAGGAAGCTGCGTTCCAGGAGCTGAAGGGGGCGCCGTTGGTGCAGGATAGCTTCGAGATCGATGCCAAGGACGAGCGATTCAGCGCGTTGATGGACGATCATCGGTTTGCGATCGACCCGACGCATCCTGGGTTTGCGAAGACGAAGGCGATGGAGAAGATTATGGGTGAGAGGAGGAAGAGGTTGGATCGTGCGGATGGGGATGAGCAGGCGAGATTGGGCATGGAAAGGCAAGGTGGGGAAAAGGCGGTGGGCGATGGGAGAGAGGGAGATTCCGAGCTTTCGGCGCTGATCGAGAAGTTGAAGCGTCGTGGGGATGGACCTGCAAACGGAGATGGTGGGCAGGTGTCGAATAAGAGGAGAAAGCGAAAGTCGATCGCTTGAAGCTCGGTCCACTTTCCTTCTTCTCAGCTTTCTATTCGCAATATCAATCACCTGCTTGCTGCTACAAACGACATTTGACGCGGATGGTCGTTGCGTGTGTCGGTTGCTTTCCGAAAGAATGCTTCGCTGTCTGGTCGAAAGACGAGTCGAGCTGAGACCTTCTGCCAGCCACATGCCTGCCTGCAGAGAACACCGCAGGAACAAGCTCGTTCACCCTTGCATCTCCGCCTGACATCGATGTAAACGTCGTTTTGGTTTGCTTGAATACAAGTACATTAAGAGCCACCTGTCCTTTGTGCTCTCCTTACGAGTCTTCGGGACCTTCGGATCCTGGGATGAGCTGACGAGTCGTAACAAGCGTACAAGGCGTTCGAGCAGAAGTTCAATGAGTCAGTGTCCTATCGGTGCGCGAGAAGATCTTTGGAGGGATATTGATGATCTTACCATGCAAATGTTGTTACCGTTGAGCAGGGTTTGACCGAGCTTGGTTTTCTTCTTTTTGCCGTCTGGAGAAGTCTCGCTGTTGAGTTGACGAAGCGCACAAAGCAGGAAAGCGATGTCAGCTTGCTCTGTCCAAGTAAAAAAGATATTGCTACGGCAGTAAGAAGGGATGCTTACTACTCTGTCACATCTTCCAGGACCATGTCTACATGCAAAGGAACCAGAAGATCGGGAAGAAGTGTCAGTCTCAACTTGAAAACTTTGCTGCCATCGCTTTGCGAAGCTACACGCCTGCATGTGACCGTGAGACTCACTGACGTAGTCGTCGAATCCCAACAAAGTGCCACTGAACTCTCGGTCTGTCTTCATGATGACCCAGATACTCGATCCGATGCATTTGTCGATCAGTTCGAGCGGCAAGATGGTGGGCAGAGCAGCAGCGGCTGCAGCAGCTCCTGCTGGTGTTGGTTCTCCTGGAGGTGCCATCTTGTGTGTTTGTGTGTGTGCGCGTCTGTCTGTCGTACAGATGTTGTGGTCTCGGAAAGAAGAGAAAGCGAAGATCACAGATGTCACAACAGAAAACGGGCGCGTGCAGGCAGCGTTGGATTGGACCGAGTTCCGGAAAAATTCTAGGAGTTGCTCAGTCCCGCATGTTGATCGTTCGGCCTGTTCTCCCGCCAAGCTTCACCTCAACCTGCAAGTTCGACAATCATCGTTGTCACAGCTCTCAGAGTCAGAGCCAGCGGAGTACAGGAAGCCGGGCCGATCTGCGCCGGCGCTCAGTCACTGGTCAGAGGAAGCGCGAGGATGCCTGACCCAAACCTTCAGTCCTACATAGCAGCGCATTACCTCTCGGGACCCAAAGCCGACGCTATCCTCGCGCGTAATTCGTCAGATACCAAAGTCAAGCGCAAGAAGAAAAGGGCCAAGACAGACGAACCTGTAGGAGCTTCGTCCTCGTCAGGGTTGGTGTTCAAGGATGATTCGGATACGTGGAAGAAACTGGCAGAGGATGAGGAGGACGATGCTGGTTTGACGCCGCAAGTTGTCGGCGAACGGGATGCTGAAAGCTCCAGCAAGGCCTTTCGCAAGATTGGATCGTCCAAGAGTCGAACGGAAGAGCAGGAAGTGTCATCGGATGTAGCGCAAGGCAGCGCCTCGGTCTCGGCAGCTGACGAGCCAACAGAGTTCAAGGCGGGTCTCAGGACAAAGGAAGAGATGAAAGCGGCACGACTTGCACGAGAATCACGAAAGAAGCGAGCCGCGGAATCAAGCTCTGTCGAACCATCAACATCATCCGCGCCACAGCCAGACGAAGACGAAGAAGCGAGGCTCGCCCAACAGACTGTCTATCGAGACTCTTCCGGCCGCGTCATCGACATCAACGCACAGCAAGCCGAACAGGAACGTCTCGAACGCCTGCGTCTGGAAAAGGAAGCCGAACGTTCCACCTGGTCCCACGGTCTTGTGCAGAAGCAACAACGTCAGCGGGCAGCAGCACAGCTATCCGCGGTCCAACAGCAAGGTATCGCACGGCGTGCCACCGACGACGAGTACAACGCCCACTTCAAGGAGCAACAGCGTGCCGACGATCCCGCACTGGCGTTTTTGACGAAGAAGCGAACAAGCGGTCCCGTAAAGCCGAAGTACAAGGGAGCATGGCCATCAAACAGGTTCAACATCCCACCTGGATACCGCTGGGATGGTGTCGATAGAGGCAACGGCTACGAGAAGGCCTTCTTCGAGAGAAAGGCTCAGCTCGAATCTAGAGAACAGCAGGCGAGAGCGTGGAGTCAGTCGGACATGTGAGATTCGAAGCTTCTCCATCAACATCACGCGAAGTATACCCAGAACCGAACAATCGAGTGGCAGACGAGAAGATGGAAAGGAATGTGTGGTTGCGCGTGCTAGGGTACAAATACAATGCGAGGATCCAAGTGAGGCCACGCGGGAGCGCTGATGGTGAGAGGGGGTCCGCGGTCTAGGATGATGGCGGATGATAAAAATACAAAATGTCCGACGTGATGAGGATCGGCTCATGGCGTGGGTGATGAGGCGGACTCTTCCTCCTCGAGCAAACTGCCGTCCCTAGGTATAGAGATGCCGGAGCCATGACGTTGCAAGCGTCCGTTGCCACTGCTTCCCGGTCGACTCTGTGGAGGGCTGATCGGCTTGCCATCTGAGATGCTGCCCTTTCGCAAAGGCCCGTCTGCCTTGTCGAGTCCACCAGAAGGCGCAAAGAGCGTGGCGTCCGAGGAACGACGCGACTCGGTCTGCGGCAGATGTAGGGCATAAGCGGAAGGGAACTCGATCGCCTGTGAAGCCGAGTCGGCACCATGCTCGTTGTGACATGGTCCTGAAGATTTGGGTGATATGTCACCGCCCATGATTCCGCTCGGAGAGCTCACGCCAATCCCATCAGTGACAATGGCGGAGAGGCCAGACGGGCTTTCATCCGAAGCAGGGGTGGTGAGCACGTTTGCGCCGCGGCGACGGGCATCCAGCGATGGAAGACGCGAAGTGACAAAGTTGGGCCTAGTTGGCGTGCTCCTTTCCGACATGAGTGAGTCGAGGGCGGGCACATGCGGAGCATCGCGTGCAGAGATGGTGCCGGCGGTGAATGGATCGCTGGCATTGCGCATGCCAGGAAGCACAGCGTTGTCGGGAGCGAGATCGTCCGTGAAGCGATCCTCTCTCCACCTGTAGGCGCTCGATAGGGAGGCAAGGACAGCGCCGAAGGCCTGGACGTAGACATTGGCTACGAGCATGAAGCCCATGTCGACAGCGGAGAGGTCAAGTGCTTTGGACAAGACAAGAGCCAGCGCGTAGATGGTGGGGAGGACGTATCCAAAAGCAATCGCAAACATGACCTGCTTGGACCAGCGCAGGACAGGGTGCGACTTTTTCTGCATCAGCTCGTTGTCACGACGACCGAGATGCCAGTAGCGCCAGAGAAGGAAGGTAGACGCATAGACGGTGTCGGCAAGCTGGAAGATGAGCGTGAAGAGGTTGCTCGTGTCGTTGGCGGACCTCGACACAACGTAGCCAAATCCATTCCGAGCATACGAGCTGGCGGCATTGGAGAGGGTGATGCTGATGGTGGTGAGCCTGGCTACCTTGAGGAGACTGGGAACGATGCTGATCATGATGCGCTTTCTCCTGCTGGCCAGAGTTGTGGGGTAGAAGGATAGCAAGCGAAGCTGAATGGCGAAATGAGTGACGAGGGGCACGATATACAGCATGGCTGTCGAGGACAGCCAAAGGCGGAACATGGTGTTCTGCGATTCATTGCCGAAGAGCTGGTAAGCCCAGAAGACGGTGTTGAGCGTCGAGCCGAGGAGGCCGCCAAGCATGGCAAAGCCGAGGACCCAGACAAAGGGCAAGCGGCGCTTCTGCGGACTGAGACCGTTCTTGAACAGGACGGCACAGAGAAGGACGAAGAGGAGGGTGGCGAACATGGAGTAGAGGATGATGTAGGTGACACCATTTCGGACGAGGGCGACGGGTACATATTGGGCAGCCAGCTTCTCTTTGGTTTTGGGGTCTTCGACGATGAGCAAGACGCGATTGCGCCACTCCAGGTCCTGCTCTAAGGTGGCGCTAGACATGATGAAAGACTGGACGACAACAAGCCGACGAGAAGCCAGTCTTGGACCGAGACAGTGTCTGAGTCGGCGTAGGTATGATCAGGAAATAAAACGCTTCATCCAGTCGAAGTCAAGCAGATCATCCGTGGTGATCAAAGCTGACGATGGAAGGTCGAACAAGTGTTGCGATGGTGGCTGGCGATGAAGGTCACTAAGGCAGGCGAAGAGATGGCTCTACGAGAGCATGCCTTAAGAAGCAGAATGGACGAAGGGCAGGCGTCTCGAAGGCGATGCTATGCGAGCCCAAGACGGTCGAGAATTCGCTAGCTGGGCGATGAAGACAAGCGCGTGCAGGGTCGGATGGACGGGTGAAGTAAACGGTGATTGTCGCTGAGGGTGGGTTGTGCCGAAGGAAGGATGAGAAGGATTTCTGTTGATGAGCTGTTGGAGAGAGTGAGGACGGGCAAGGGGCGGGAAAGAACCAGAAGATGAGCTCCGGCAGCTGGTCTCCAAGGCGGAAACGCTCTACTGGATATGTTGTGAATGGGATGCCGTCGGGAAGGCGGAGAAAGGAAAAGGAGCTACAGAAGGGGGCAACCAGATGCGATTCGACGGCTTAGCTTTGGCGCCACTCTGGCATGCAGTCAATTTTAGCGCTTCGTTACTAGGTCGGCAGGCGAGGTGTTCCAACGAGCCGGAGCGGCGACTGAAATGGAGCTAGGTAACACACAGGATTGCGAGCAGTAGACTGACAAAGGTGTGTGGGCCTTGACGAGTGAGCGCGGCACCGACGGGTTTCTGGCAGATCGACAATATGAGGCGTAGAAGGCGGCTGTTGCAGCAGCAGCTGCTGCTGCTGCTGGTCCTGCAGAGCGGATGCGTACAACCGTGTAGAACGGGGACTGCGGCTGACTTTGGGCGAGATGCGGTAGGCGGAAGTGAGGCAGGGTGTCTGAGGACTTGGAGTTTTCATCACTCTATTGCTCGCTTCGGCGTCGTGGTGTGACAGAGACGAAAAGAGACCAAGGCTGGGAAAGGCAAGCTAAGAACCCAAGCGAGGCTTTGCATTGAGTGAGCCAAATCACTGACTACCCCCTTTTCAAGTTCCGAAGGCGCTAGAGCATGCAGGAGGCGCTTAACCGAGATTTGACCTCGAAATTGCCAGGCCGGAAATGCTCAATGGTCCGACGTCAGTGGAGCGACGGTGTAAAAAGTTGGGAGGAGGCTGTGACCCGCCTCTGCGGAAAAACATCGAATAAGGTCACTCCGCCCTAAGCTGGGCGCTCAAGTCGTTCTACATCGAAAATGAAGCCCTGCATTTGAGACAAGGAGCGTTACGAAGAGGGATTCACTGATGCTTCGGCTGAGGACCTGTTGAAATTCAGGGATGTACGATCAAAGGTCCCAAGCTATGTACACTGGAGACGAAGTCGCTCTCACCCCACAAGCGAGGTTCGAGGCCTGGACATACACTGTACTTCTAAATGTTGACCGAAGCCAACCGAGGCACCCCTGTCCAATGGAGCTGCCGAGCGATACGCCCATAGGTTACACTGCATGAGTGTGACGAAGTGATCATCGGTTAGTGCAATCGCCGTCAAACGAGCTGTACTGCAAGTAATCCTCTTTGTCCGAATTCCGTTGAAACGCACCGATTTTTTCCTCTTCTGTCGAACCCCTTGCATGTTGCAGCTTCAGCAAAGGCAGTTGCTCGAAGCTTAGAAGCCGACTGAGCTAGACCGAATTTGAATGCATAGCCTAATCGGAGTTTGAATCGTACGACATTACTCATCGTTCGACCCTGTACGAGAATCAGTCGTCGCAAGAAACGCTCTAGCCGCCGGTAGCGAGAGGCAACCTCATCCCGTTTGCTGCTTTTGACTGGTGGACAGCTGACACGAGCCCTGTTCGTGTTCATCCTTTCGACGCCGAGCTTCTTTTCATGGATCGGCGCCACAATCCTCTGGAAGCCAACACGGTCCTGACTCGGTGACAGCCGTGGGAACGAGCGATCGCCCTTATGCAGCTGCAAGGGCTTCTTCCGAACAAGTTACCCACGGTCCCGCGTCGACCCTTTTCTTCTCACGCCAAAATCAGCTCTCGAGCGCGACTAGCGACTGGCCCGCCAGCGGCTTCGATATCACCGAGTGAGATTCCCTCTTCTGGTACAACGGCAAAGGTGTGGATGCAGCGAGCGACCCGCTTGAGCCTCGCGGGCCTCGATCGCATACCGCGTCTCGAGTCTGGGCCCTTCTGCCGGAGCGGAAGTCTCCGACTCCGACAGTCGGTCAATACGCGCATGAACATCGTGCCGATTTCTCCTTTTCTCCCGATTGCCGATCCGCTTTGTACCTCCACAATCCTTGGGTCCGCCCTCCGCATACGCTGACGCTCGAAGATGCTTGTCTTCCTTGCTGCCTTCAACCCAGTGTCGCTGGGGATCACTCCTCAACATGTCTTCGCGGTCTGCTGGCGACGTTCTCGCGCATGGTGCAGGCCAGCGCGCACCCTTAACATCCCCTTCGTGGCTCAGCATCCTCGGCTTTCGACAACACGTGACGTGGCGTAACGCCATAGCTTTCCTCATCCACTGCTCGGCGTCCATCCTCTTTTTGGTGTTTCTCAATGCATCGCAGCCCTTCTTGATCCATCAGCTCGAATCCAAGAACAAACAGGGACACGGTCATGGCCAACCAAGCAGAGCTGGCTCGCTCAGTGGCTCGCTCATCTTTTACGATGAGCTTCTATCAACGTTCATGTCGCTCATCTGGGGTGCGCTCGCCGAGCTCATCGGCCTTGCAGCTGTGACATCCACATCTTACATCTTTATCTCCATCGGTCTTGTCGCTTATACACTTCCCACCAAAGCATGGCCAGATTTGCTCCCCGCTCGACTCGTCTTTGCGGTCGGCGGAAGCGGTGCCACCGCCATGCTTTCGGGTATTCTGTCCGAGTATTCGGGGACGACGATCGCAAACCCCGGCTCGACAGAGCGGGACTTGGATGTGACCGCCGCTTCAGCACAGGCTGACGCCGGTACCGGCACCGGAGAAGAAGAGCGCCTGCTCGAAGCTGAAGGCGAAGAAGCGCGTGATAGTCCTTGTGACGCTCCCAAAGCGGGACAAAGACGCCGACACGGTCGGGCAGCTGCCATTGCGGGCGTCTTTACCGGTATCGGCGCTCTCATCGCCGTCTTCGTGCTCGTCCGTCTTCCAGAAAAGATCGCCAACTATCTTGAACAGCGCGAAACAGCAATCTGGTCGCATGATCCACACTACAAAGCACCAGATGACAAAGCTATCCACAGAGGCACCGTAGGGACGTTCTACCTGGTAGCAGCTCTAGCTCTGTTGACTGCTTCTGCCACGGCTCTGGGTCTGAAGGAGCCCAAGAGACATTCGCGCCGCGCTACTCGAGCAGATGCGCTCTTGCATCGCTCCCGACAACGTCAGGAAGACTATGGCGCATTGCACGACAGCACGATTGCGATAGCTGAGGATACGCGGCAGGCTCGACGTGCTCGATTGCGGCAGAGACAGCAACGTCGCGAGCAGACGTCCTGGACCAATCTGATACGGTCTCATGTGCGTCGCTTCGTCAGCGCGTCCGTGGGTGGCTTCCGAATGGCTGGGCCTGTCCGCCGAGGGCAAGACGCCGACACGATCAAGCTCCATCAGCGATTGGCATGGGAGCTGCGCGTGGCATATGTGGGCGGAGCTCTGGCCAGAGCTTTCACCATCGGCACAACAGCTTTTCTGCCTCTGCTCGTGACGCATCACTACTACACATCGGGTCTATGCCGACAGTTGCCGTCGCCGGACCCGGACTCGCCGCTTCCGAACGACGAGCTGAAGAAGCTCTGTCGCAGCGCGTTCACAGCCACCGCTATTCTGGGCGGTACTGCGCAGCTGACGGCCCTTCTGGCATCGCCGCTGATCGGACTGCTTTGCGACACGCTTTCGCCTACGACGACCATCTCTCTCACCTCTGCGCTCGGAGCCGTCGGGTTCTATTTGTTGGGCGTTGGCACGTCAGGCTTTGGCGGCGATAGACAGACGGGCGAAGAGGTGCCTGATCCGTTGACAGGGCTGTCGATCGGCGCTGCAGTGCTCATCGGAATCGGGCAAATTGGTGCCATCGTTGCCAGCCTGGCTGGCTGTGCTCGCGCGAGAGGCCTCGTTGAGGAGCAGCGATCAGAAGACACAGGTGCAGATGCCAACGACGTGAGTGGCGATGCGAGGCCGGCACAAGAAGCGAGCCATGCGAACGCCCGGACGGGTGAAGCGCACCAAGCAGGTCAGGGAGCAGGTGCAATCGCTGGAGCCTACTCTTGCACAGGGTCCCTGTCGATCCTCGTCATCTCCAAGTTGGGCGGATTCCTGTTTGACATGTACGTACCAAGTCCTTTCCTGCTGATCGGCGGCTTCTCCGCCTTTGTCGCACTCTGCGGAGCTGCTGTCAGTATAGCTCAGCGCTTCGGACGTGAGCAGATGTAGAATTAAAAGCCATTGCGAGCTCCTATCTTCATGCTTCATGTTGACCGCGTAACTGATCCGACTCGGACGGAGCTCAACTCGAATTCTGCACTGACGTCGTGAATGTTGGCATGCGCATCGAAGAGCTGAAAGTCGCGGAGATTGGTTGCGTCTAATGCTATACTGACAGCAGACTCACGCAGCAAACGCCGAATCAGCGAGGGTGGCACTTGATCAATCGAATTCCGAGGCTTCTCCTCGGAGTGCCGAGGTGCAGTCGTTTGCGTTTTACGGCACAACGAGGATGGCATGGCGATGCTTGGTCTGTAAGCTGATGGTCGATCTCGTCATGATCCCCAAAATGAAGTCGAAACCGAGTGGGAACGCAGAGGAAAAGCCGGGCTTTGATTGTTCCTGTTGCCATGAATTTCGAGACGGCTTGCCATCTGAAGTTAGCGATGAGATTGCCGACGGTAAATTAGATGACGTCCCTGCCATGTCATATGACAACCCGATCTACGAGAACAGACACATCAGAGGAAATTGGCTCGACGAAAGCCATCGTGCTTCACACATGTACGCACACTCCGGGTGGGCTCAGGCTGTTGGGCGCGGGGGCGGTGTCGGATCTAAGCGAGAGGGCTGATGGGAGCTTTTTTGGTGGTAAGGTTGAGTTCAATAACAACAATTTGGCTGGACCCGCAGCTCGCTTAAGCGGAAGCGTGACTATGGCTTGCATGACAGTAGTCGAACTAAGGCTAAAACAGAATCAATCGATCAGCTGGGCTTTTCGGCTTGCAGCTCGGATAGCTTTGCACTTTCAACTCGACAGATCGGGTTCGAACGATCTTTGCACCGTTCTTGAAATCCACTACTAGCTTCGAGTCAGAGTGTGGATGCTGGCAGGAAGATGTGGGTCGGACTGGAAACGGAACTGAACCGATGAGGTGCAAAATGCGGACGAAAGAATGGAAAATCGGTCGCCGTGGAGATGGGACGGCGACTGCTGGATTGATTGGTTTGCTTTCCGGCGTAGCACGGAGTCGAAATTCAATTCTTGCACCACGGGAAACACCGAACGAGACACAAGGAGCTGCGCGACGAAAGGGGCGAAATGCCAGAAGGCTGCAGTCTTGCTTCTTCACGAACTACAGGTAGAGATCAGCCGCCTCTGGTACCGCCGCATAAATTTCAATCGCACTACTTGCGGTGTTCGGCCAAGACGATTACTTGTATTTGGTGCAAAGAGAACAAGCCGAATTTGAGGTCGACGCCTCATTGAGATCTGGCAGAGAGATTTCCCCAGCTGTTGCTGTGCTGCATTTTTATGCCGATTTCAGATCCAAGCAAAGCATGCAAATCCCGAGCCAAGCAAAAGCTTTCTGCCAAGCTCCGCTCTCGCTCGGATTCTCGACCAAGCCGTGCATGTGAACAACAAGGAAAGCACTATACGCCTTTCTGCTCCGCTTGACCTCATAGACAAGCTTGAGCAACGGTACACTGAACTTGCCACTCGACGCACAAGTGCGGATCTTGGCTGCCAGAGGGAGTTTCAGTCCCGGCAGTAGGAATAATTTCTCGAAATTATATTACTGCAGAGCGTAAAGGCGAGCGAATCCAAGGGTCTCGACCCTCACATGGGTCTTGCTCGTGGTGATTGCCTTCCGGTGCCTGTCCCATCTCGGTCTACGACTGTACCCGCGTAGCCAGCCTGATGGACCGATGCACTGCAGCCTCTCTCGATTTGCTGTGATGGGATCAATTTACGCCAAGCTTGCTTTGTCTCGTTGCTTGCCCTTGTCCGACCATCTCTTTCCTCTCTCCCTCTCTTCGACGCAACTTTCTCGCTCCATTGTTACTCCTGGTCTCTCATTTCGTCCACATCCTCCTTCACCGACTTTGTGGGGCACCCGGTTGTAGTGATTTGGATCTCATCCGTCTCCTACATTCCATTACGACTCCGGGTCACATTGCGCACGCACGGCCTTCAACGTATGTCCACCTCATTATCTTGCATATCATCCTCAAGCCTTTCTGCATCCTCCTACGTCTAAATCCTTGCAAAGCCGTCTAGCTCTTTGCTCAGAAACACCTCGTCGCCCGCGTATCTGTCTCTCCCACCGTCCGCCAGCCTTTAACTGGCATCGTCTCAAGATTAATCGGCGGCCAACCTCTGCTCCGACAAGCTTAGCCTCGACGCATCTTCCCAGCGCCATCTCAAGCGCATCTCCCATCTTCTCCCTGTGCACCACCAAGCGATTACCCAGCGGCACGCGCTCTTGACCCTTGTCAGACGCCGTGGTGCTCGACCGTCTTCGACGCTTTAGCACACACCTGTCCATGTCGCTGCACCCTTTCTAACTACCAAAGACAATCGCATCAACGCCCACGCTCAGATTTCAAGCATGGCCCAACGTTCGCTCTCCTCGGCGTACGGGGTCGCGTCCGCATCTGGCGATCCACTCTATGACAATTCGCCAAGAGCCATCAAGGACTACGATGTCCAGTCCCAAGCACAGCGCGCCACCTGGGATCCCAGCCCTTCCGACCCTTACGCCGATCGCCAATCCGCTTTCCAGCATCAGAGACCTGCGCCGTACCCGTACGAGCCCCGTCATCCTTCCGATGCAGACTCGCTGCGTGGCTCTACTGCCCACTATCACCACGGCGCCCAGCACTCACACGTTCATCATCATCCTTACAACAACCCTTCCCATGCCGCAGGATCCCTCTATGCCTCATCCTCCCGGCAAGCCGACCTAAATCACAGGCATGTGTCCCGTGCTGCCTGTCTATCGTGTCGCTCAGCAAAGCGCAAGTGCGACGGCGCAAAACCCGTCTGCGGTCCATGCGCGCTCAGAGGCGTCAAGGATGGTTATCCCCAGGACGACGGCGGCTGCGTCTACGTTGCCAGCAAGCGTGGCGGCCCACGCTTTAAAGGTGTCAAGGGTGCAGAAGCCACAAAGCGCAAGCTCGACGAGCGCGACAAAGGTGGCAACCTCCGAGGCGGTAGAGATTCCAACAGCCACGACGACATGCACTCCCAGTCTCCGCCTGAAATCGCATCCTACCTCCACTCGTCCACCGCGCCCTCCACCCCCCTCGACGGTCGCGCGCCAGTTTCGATAGCCCACCTCGATCCATCTCGAACAGCTCCGGACTCGCTGGGCGCTACAGCAGCCAACCTTCCAAGCATGGACGGCCCATCCGACGCCTTCGAGCGCGAGAGAACCGCTCTTGCCACGCGCAACTTGTTCCGACCCGACTCAGCCGTCAGCGGCGGCCTCTTCGACGATCTGTCGATTACCAACTTCGACTTGCTCCAGAAGTTCTCCGCCAATGAGGCTTCGGTCGGCCTCTCGCTAGCCAACTTCTATCACAAGCTCGAGGAGTTGCCAAAAGCAGGTGTGCTCGCCATGGCCAATGTCGACGAACGTGGCAGCATAGAGGTCGACCTGTCCCAGGCTCTCCTGCAAGAGATCGAGACCGCCAACAAGTCGAGCGCCGCTGTCAATTCCGAGCAGCAAGCACGGGCACTCCTTCAAGACTTCTACGAGCTCGTCTATCCCGCATGTCCCGTCTTGCCCCCGTCAGGCCACCTTTCATCGCTGGCGTTCCATCTATCCGAGGACGAGTCCTCGGCGCTGCTCGCCGCAATATCGGCTTGTGTCGCCCTCCAGTTACCCCAGATGGAGGCAAGACGCATTGTCAAGGGCAGCCTCTTGTTCCATGATCCCGATGACCACGAGGCCAAGGCCGAGCTCCTCGATCTCGAACATGCCTCTCGCGACGAGATCGCAGCCTACCACGCCAAGTCGGCTGAAAAGCTGCTCCTCAAGAAGGTTGCGCTCTTGGCAAGAACCTCTTCCTTTCCTTCCGAGGCTGCAAAGGCCATGGAAACCGCCAAATTCATGCCTAACAGCAGCGGCACTCCAGGCGGCGACATCGAGTTGGTCCGAATCAAGCTCGTCGCCACGCACACGCTCCTCGCCCACTTCCACTATGGCACTTCCAACAGCCGCCGCGCCTTCCATCACGCTTCGCAGGCATGGAACCATGCTCAGGCGCTCAACCTCGATTCGAGCGAGACCGTCTCGACGTCTCCCTCCTGGTTCAGTCACACGCAAAAGTGCGAATGGGCGCGCAGAGCCTACTGGACTTGTTACACCGCAGCCACCGTCATGTCGTGCACTGGTGGATTCAAGCCGCTCTCGGTGACCCGCGACATGCCTTCGGACCTCGGTTTGCTTCCCAATCTCCTTGGCGACCGGTCCAGCTGGAAGGTGCTCGTACGCGGCGCCCAGTTCGTATCTAGATCATACGCTACTCTGTACGACCTTGACTCGTACAAGGCGCGTCCGGAGAACAAGACGCAGGATCCTGCTCATCAGCCACGCGAGCAACGACGCAAATGGGAGGTCATCTTTGAGCGTATGCAGAAGGTGGACGCCGACGTGATGCAGTACGCAAGATCCGACCCAGTCTGGAGCGACGAGAGCTGTTTCGAGCCCAGCGTCGGTCTTTCGCGACGTGTCGAGGAGTTCGAGGAGGAGAATGAAGTACGGCTCAGCCGCAGTCTGCGTGTTGCAGGTAAGCTCATGACCAGCGGAGCTCTCATCATCCTGCATCGCGCACAAGCCTTTGCCAACGCACGCATCTTTGTGGCGCCAACCTGCGGTATACCCGGCGCCTGCGAAGACTTCAGCGACACGGCATCTGACAACGGCAGCAGGACCAGAGGCGGTCCGGATCGGCTGTGGCACCGCGAAGCCGAAGGGCTTCCGCCTTCAGGTAAAGCGGCGCAGAGCGATGAGCACAGCCACGGCTTCGATGCGCCTGCCTCTTCCAAGGTAACCACTGCCAGCCGGTACAAGCGCTCACGGAGCGCCAGCAGCCTGAGCAGCAGCAATGCAGGAAGCGTCTCCAAGAGTCAGGTCAGCTCGACGTCTTCTGGCACGGAAGCTGCTCACGCCACATATACCCCTTGCGGCATCCCAGTCAAATTCAACAGTGGACCCTTTGAACCTTCCGACTCCCTCGACCGATGCCGGTTTGCCGCCGGTGTCATGTACCAGCAACTGGCGCACATCAACTCGAGCACCTTTCGTCTGGGTAGACGCGAATCGATGGCGCTTCTCCCTGTCGAAGCTGTTCATGGTCGTGAGAACCGCGAGCAGTGGTCAGCCCCCTCTCTGCCTCCCTTTTCGGCGTGTTCGCTGGTTCTCGCAGCCTACGTGCTGCTCATGGAGACGCTTCACGCGCAGATCGCTGCGGGTCTCGAAGAAGACCTTGATTTCACCAACACCGACTCGCTCGACGTGCATGAGGAGAGTCTGTTTCAGCTCTCGCCCATTCTGCAGCCCGATCCTCACCGAACAGCCAAGGTCCCGCAACTCGCAGGGCGCCAGGCTTACATGCTAGCCATCAAGCTCAGATCGTGCATCTTGCAGATCGAAGCGGCATTGGACAAATTCAGCAGAGCATGGGAGATCGCCAAAGGATACGCGCAGGAAGTTAAGTTGCTGTTGGAGGTCAACCAGTCGTTGTTCTCTGGGACCGTGGCGCAGATCAAGTCGTAGTCGACAGCTCGTAGCGAAAGTCGAACGATTTTGTGCTTGATTGTATTGTTATACCTTGCCTTGTCTCGTGTGAATTGCATTGCCGCTTTGGCACTGGATTACAGCGTCGGAACGAGGCCGCGTTTGTGTGACTGCGTGTGTGCCATTGTTTGTGAGAATGAAGAAGATGGACAGCTGCCTTGCCGGAATCACATTGTTGTCGGAGGCAATTCGAGAAGGAATGCCTGTCACACTTGTCACACTTGTCACACTTGTCACACTTGTCACACTTGTCACACTTGTCACACTTTGTCAAGCATCTGAAGGTCACCCATGCTGATCGGCTACGCTCGGTACCACTAACACTCGCTGCTCATGTGTCCACGGTCCCGGCTTTGAAGCACCAGCACATCGAACTTTGCTCCACTGCCAATGGGGCTCACGCTCAGCGCCATTTCACCCAGCATCGCTGCCAAAGCTTCCACGAACACCCCCTCCGCCTGCCTCTTTGTCCACCTTCGGTCAGGCTCTGACGATGAGGTGTTCAGTGACTTCCGATCTCGAGTCATCGATCACCACTGCATCTGATTATTTACTCACACGCACACACACACACACACACACACACACACACACACACACACACACACACACACACACACAAACGCACACGGATCTGCGCAGCTCACACACACACACACACACACGCACACGGATCTGCGCAGCTCACACACCCATCAAAAGACGACCGCATCAAAGAAGTGAAGGGAGCTTTCGTATTATAGAAAGAGAGTAACAGGGTTATTAGGCGACACGGATCAGAAGGATGGTATCATGTAGACGAAAGCGAACGATTGAGGGAACAGCGAGCGCCGAATTTTGCTTCGGACGTTGCTTGGTCGACCCCGGACGTGAACTCGAAAAGTTTGGGAAGAACCTGAAGACACGCTCGATTTAGTCTCGGCGCGAAAGCTCGATGACGGGGAGGGTGAAGTAGCTGGTGTCTGGGGTCAAGAGACCAGCGGCACCAACATACCAGGCGATGGCAGCAGTCAGGATACCAAAGGCGCCACCAGCGGTCTGAACGGCCGATTTGCCAGTGAACTCGGCAATGAAGAGGAGGAGGAAGGTGATGTCAAGGAAGAAGAAGAGGGCGACGAGACCGACCGAGGACCTGAAACTGGCGAGGAGCATGATGAAAGTGAAGATGAACCAGGCGGCGAGGTAGATACCAAGAGCGTTGGCGACCTGCGCCTCGGGAGTACCGTTGGGGTTGTAGTTGCCCTCGACGATACCGAACCAGGGGATTTGGATGATGGCGTACGACCACCAGAAGGCACCGTAGGAGGAGAAGGCAGTGGCACCGAACGTGTTACCTGCCGCAAACTCCCACATACCGGCGAGGAACTGTGCAAGACCACCGTAGCCGATGGCGAGACCAACGACGACGTTAGGCACCGTGACGCCGCGGGCCTTGACGTTGTACATGGAGAGGACAAAGGTGGTGGCGGCGAAACCGAAGAGACCGAGAGGAGCAGGGTTGGCGAATCTACGGTGGTAGACGGGGAAGGCGGGCTGCGACGAGTCCTGGGGGTGTCCACCGGGCGTGAGCGCACGGATGGGCTGGGCACCGCCCTGGTAGCCGTTTTCCTGTTGCTTGATCTCGGACATTGCTGTAGAGTGGGAAGTAGTGAGGAGACGGCCGTCGAATGGGAAAAGAGGACGAGGACGGGAACACAAAAAAGGGCGTGGCACGAGGGTGTGGGGAAGAGAACGACGTTCAATGGAGGGACGGAACGCCTATAAGTACGATTTCCCTCCGCACACCCCCACACTTTGACTCAGACTGCGCGAGGCGAAGATGTGGGCGATGGAGCCACGGTGAAGGTACACACGGACGGGGCGGCCTTCCAATCACGAATACGGCGGTGGTGAGGAGGGCGAGGGAGCACACTAAGCGAGTCAGTGTGCTGGGATCGCCTTTGTGTTGTGCTCTGAAGCTGCGTCACATCGTCAGTCT